TTGGCCAAAATAAGCAACGGTTCACACAGTACAAGATCAAAACCCTGGATATGGAGAGAAATTAGGAGGTAAAGCATCTTTCCGAATTGCAAGAATTGCTCTCTAATAAGTTTGTTGAGGACAAGTTTCCTCTCGATGCAAAAGTTCATCGACTGCACTTTTGTTTTTCAGATTTCTCCTGACCAAATCTCCCCGCTGATGATGTGACAGTGTGTGCAGGTGTCACACAGCGACTCCCACCAGGTAGATACTCATTTGTCTTTCCTGTTGCACCGCATAAATGAGTTAAACTCGCGGGGTGGGCATACATGTTAAGTGCCTCTCAGCTTTAAAACTCATCAGGAGAGGGAAGGCATGCTGGGAACCTGACAGCAATCCGATTAAATGATGTAACCTTTGGCCTGTAGGCGACCACATCACCACAGGAGAGCCAAGATTTTCAGATTTTAATAACATATAAAAGTTTGGAGTCAAAGATGCAGTTTTCAGTTACGGATGAATGATTAAAAGTCTGCTGGTTGGCCTTTACGTGTGTCCCTAACTGCCACCTCATTGGACACGATCGTTGGGATTTAATGAAGGCAGTTTTGACGGTGCCCCGGTGCCCCTACAATTGCTTTTGCTCTGTTAGAGGCTTTTGGAAACACAGCATAACACATCGTACATCATTAAAATCTCTCTGTAACGTGGTGTTCTTACAAGAGTGCACAACACTGAGCAATTAATTTCTCACACAGTCAGAAACCAGGATTTGGTTGTGGCCCAGGGTGAGCATGTTTCACACCATTTAGCCGTGGCAGACTGAGGGTTTAAGTACAAAAAAATAACTTTTACTCTTTTTTTGATTATTCAATTACTTTAAAAATCATGACAACACCAACTGCTCTTGGAAAATCGTACATTTGTGGTCAAATCACAGCCGTCTGAGGTTATGCCTTATTGGTAGTCAACATAACCTGGTTTTAACACAACTATATTTTGTTTACACACAGATTTGTACTCCCCAAACTTTTTCTTTTGTTCTGAGCTCCCTGGATTTTATGGCTCATTTGTTTCGTATAAAAAATGAGGAGAACACTGAACCTATTTATTTAAAGCATGCTGTAAATACCCAAACTTGATTTGTTTTGTAAGCGGTATTATTGCTTTGGCCATACATTATCGTCTCAATATGCCGGTCCACACCCCTACCTTGGGAATTTCAGAGTACAAATAAAGAATATGATTAAACTTGACTGTTTTTGCTGCCTTTTTAGTTCTGCTGTATCCCAAGAGGAACATAAAGTAGGGAAGATGGATTTGGCTGCTGGTTGGCTGTATTTTGTGTTTCTGGGGGTTATACGATGTACTTTTGTAGGGAAAGACCTTCAGTGGCTGCAGTCACTATTTCAGCTTCAACCATCAAAAGAATAGACCCTGACAGAGATGTAATGAACTAAAATAGCCTTAATGAGATCAGCGAGGCCGGGGTTGTATCCTCGCTGGAATTACCACCAACCAAAATAGTCCCGGTAAGTCCGAGCAATTGAGTGGAGCTGTTTTAGTAACGCAAAGACAAACAGATGAGCGCCACTAAAGGAGGCAATTATCAAAAGCATGAGAGTCTCTGTCATGACATATGGATACAAAAAAACTAGGACAATATTATTTATGTCAGGATGGACATTGTGTAGCTTCTGATCAGAACTCATGTTTGAATTAAATCTACACATGAATTATTCCTAATAGAAACCATTCAGTTATTTCAGCATTTATTAGATCAACATAAATTTGTGCACACTGATGCGGCAATCCAATATAAGCCAGCAGAACAATTAAGTGTCTAAACGTGTAACTAACCATTATTGCAAATAGAGATAAATGATAACCAAAATGGAGCTGCAGAGGATTAGTTTTAGTTTCGTTGCCATGAGTATGTTTGGCTAGAAATACAAGCCAAGATCGAACAGTTCCTGCACTTTGTCAGAGTTTCAGGTGAAGTTGACGTCAAGTCTTGAAGTATTTCTCTGCAAACATGCTTACAATAACAGTGATGTCTCTGACGGTAGAGTATGTTAGACTCCTGATGTTTGGTCTCTGTCTGTCTGTTAGTGCGTCATGGAAAAACAAGCAGCAGACAAAAAAGAGAGGACATTTTGGGGTTATAGTTGAGCATTCACTAGAAAGATATTTTCTATGTCCTGAATATTCAGCCCTCACTAAAGCCATCACAAAACTAACTGGGTTTTTTTTTTTCAGGTCTGAAAAACTGAACTAACAGCTGTGAATACTGATTCAGTGTTTAACTTGAGAAAACTTTAGAGGAGAGCTTCTGAACTCTTATATTGTTTTTCTGCTAAAAATTAATCAGTGGCTGTCAAAATTGAGAAAGAACGTGCTCTTCAAGCTAACCCCACCTCACAACCGTATACAGTAAATGACCTACACACCTAGACGGACAGTTCTATCTGCTGAGAAGGATTGGTCATTTACAATAAAATTGATATAAATATGATCTGACAGAATATCATCAAACTTCCCCTTGCCTCAAAAATAAGCCTGAAGGTTTGGGTCTGATCCAATTCCCTCTCTTCCATGGCTGCTGTCAGAGAGTCCTATTCATCTTCTTTTTCATTTTCTCTTGTAACTAGGAGCTGTCAAGGCCTGCGGGGTTTGCCTTGCAGTTTGCTTGGCTATATTTATAATTGGACCCTGTCAACAGTGTCCAGTGCAACTCAACTGCATGGTTTGTTATGGCAGCTACTGTGTACAGATTTCAGCACATGCCAGCTGAGAGACATTTTGTATGTCATTAATACACAACGAGGTAGGTGCAGCAGACACAGTGGCTGCACCAGCAACTTTGTGAATGGAATGAAAATCATCTTGAGGGGGGATCAGAGGGGACTGAGCAGAGTTAAAGTCAAATTCTTTCAAGCAATGTAAAGCTCTTGGGATGCACTGGCAGGGGAGCAAAGGTATGTGTGTACACGTCTAATATATACAAGGGCAGTGAGGTACATCAGACATCCAGAGCCGCGCCTGTAGCCTTTTACAATGAATGTAAGAGCTGTAATGTGTTAAATCAATCAAATGTCTTCAAGTGTTGTTTTGTACCTGCCTTTTAAGATATGTAAAATCACTACAAACATGATTAGGGGTGAAAAATGCAATAGACTGGATTTTTCCAACTCCTGTCATACACCCAGACTCCCTCATGGATGTATATCTTTCTAACCTTTTCTAAAATATATGGGGTTATTATCTGGAGGTGCAGTGGGGGCTCACTTTGCCTGCTTGTAATATAAGTGATTCATTTTGGCCTGTCCTGCTGTGCTACACAATGTCTTTGTGGGTGTCCTCTAAATCAACACTGGTTCTCCAGATGAGAGGTGCAGAGACGGATCATGACCGGGCTTGTCAGGAGTCAGAGGAGAATGCTCTGCCGGGTGAAGCGTCTGATGCATGAAGGTCCTGAGTGATGAGGGAGCAGCATAGCAGCAAAAGAGGACATTGTCACCGGTGACTCTAATGAAGAGAACTTTTGACTCACGCTTTAAGAGTGGACTGGGGGCTGTTTTGGAGGGTTAGATCTGTCAAGTGGAGCAGCTGTACCCTCGCTCTCTAGATTGCCTGCGCTGCATGACAGAAAATCAAATTCCTGCAATGTTCCCTCTGCTGACGCTCTGTTATATAAGGAAGCACACAAAACATACTGCCTTATGTTTTCATACTATGTACACATGTTTATTCTCCAACAATACAAAGTACATTACACTGCAGGGATCTCTCACATGCAGCGCAGAGACTATTTTGCACCAGGAAAGAGAAGGTGTGTGATGAAATAGACTGTTATTGAGTGGTGTATTGTGTGTGTTGTCTGAACAATGTAGTGATGGGCATGGCAGTTCTTTTAGATGTACTGAATCACTAAAATCAGTTCACTAAAAAGATTCGTTCAAAAGATTAGCTCACCAAATCACTGAATCATTCAGCGCTTGGCAGGAGGAGCCTGCAACTCCGACCTCCTGAACTGATTCACAGCTGAACGGTTCAGGATTCAGTTTAGCTCATAGCTTCTGGGACCAGGAGACAAGAGTGTTTGGGTGTGTTGCTTTGGCAAACAGGTGTGAAATTGAACTTAATTATAAGTCATGATGTTTTAATTGTACTGTCTTATGGTATGCTATTTGATTCGTTCGCTGAAAGTTTAGAACAATCCACACTGAACATGCACCGTGATAAGATGTTGTTGGTTTTATGCACTACTTGTTACATGCTGTGTCCTATTGTATGCAAGTTGTTGTGGTGGCAATGTAGCAGTAAAAAAAAAAAAAAAAAAGATTCCAGAGAGTGTAATTCAATGGTGATTTGTTTAAGTGATTCAGGCGTCGGCGCATGCGGTCCCTTGTTCGCCGGCTGCTCGCCTGGCAATGCTGCGAGCTATAGCATCTGCACTGCTGACAGTTCAACTGAAGTGAAAAAAGAACGATCACTTGAGGAAGTGATTCGGTTCAGTACGGTCACTTAAAGATTCGGTTCTTTTGAACGAATCGTTCGCGAACGACACAACACTAGAACAATGTGTTGAGCATCCTCCACAGCAGCTCAATCCAGGAGAGGGAGACAAAGCTTTTCTCCAGCCAGACTGTGAGTGAGGAGACACAGAGATGTGCTCATCTTCTGAGTGTTGATGAGACTAATCTGCAAAAAGCAAATACCGAGGATTAGAGAGCAAATATTAATTAATTGTGAAACATCTAATATTGGAGATTTATTTGACTTTTGATGCAAATTAAGTGCATTTTACCCTTCATGCGGGTGGATACTCATCTTGCCTTTTAGACCCACATCACCTCTGTTTTTTTAATCTTACCTTTTCGAACCTGTCGAGGTCCAGCCCCACGCGGTACCGTTTTGTCCGCAAAGAATGGCACGAGCCTCGTCCATTTAAAACCTGACAAACGAATTCCAGCGGAGATGTGAGCCAATGGGCTGAGAGGAGGGCGTAACTCTCCTTACTCCAGCATAGCAGGAGTATGAAGTTTAGGTTATCAGTGTGCAGCAGCTGCGAGAGAATGGTGCACCTCAGAGTCTGTAGGTGCGTAATTTTATCCAACTCTGATTTTTTATTTTGGGAACTTTAACCGCCTCACGTAGTTGTGCAGGGGTGTATGCGCAAAGTTCAGCGTGTCTTCTCCGCGGTTTAACACTACAAATGGCTTGGATTATCCCCCCGCATCTGCACAAGACTGGCGCTGCTTTTTTCCTGCTCGCCGTGATTCTGACAGGTGATGCAGTCGCGCAGGTTTTTGACAGCTATGGATTATCTTACGCCTTGAGGTCCGAGCTTTCAGAGGACACGATATTGGTTGCCAATAATGGGATCCGTGTGCCTTTCGGGAGATCTGTCTACATTGATCCCATCAACGATTTGGTTATTCAAGTTCAGCCTGGCGATAGGTGCAGCATAACAGTACTAGACAATGACCCGTTGTCCCAAAGACCTGGACACCTGTCCCCAAAAAAGTTTCCATGCGAATTTGGCCCCAACGACGTGAAGTACTCTCACTTTGGCTCCAGGAGTCCCCCGAGGGACAGAGTGAGACTACAGCTCAGGTATGACACTCAAACGGATACAATTATAATCCCGTTCATGATGGAGGTTGAAGTTATTTTCACGCAGCTGGAAGTTCTTACCAAAAACATGCCTCTCACTGTAGAGAAACTGCTCGGCACAAGTAACCCCATCGACAGACGGATATTGGAATTCACCTACGACAGGAGTGCACAGCAATGCAAAATAGCCTCTCTGTCCAGTGGCAGTGTGCTGCCCAGGTATGGGAAACTTGTGGATCAGGACAGCTGGGGAACAATGGTGGACTGTGATGAATTCATTAAAATGAACATCCGCTATCAGCACACTTTTGCTTTGAAGTCACCAAACAGAGATTACATTCCCATGCTTGTGGAGTTAAATGATAAGGAAGGCAACTTGCTCAAGCAGGAATTTTTCCAAATTTTAGTGAGGATTAAAGACGGAGAGGAGAACACGGCTCCAAAACCCAGCTTTGTTGCCATGATGATGATGGAAGTGGACCAGTTTGTAATGACAGCTATAACCATGGATATGCTGGCTGCAGAGGATGTCGAATCTAATCCTGACGAATTAATTTTTAACATTACATCGACCCTGTCCTTTGAAGAGGGTTACATAGTGAGCACGGATGATAGGAATTTACCAATAACCTCTTTTTACCAAGGAGACCTCAAAGACTTGAAAATTGCCTACAAGCCCCCTGCTGTGGATTCAGACTCTGAGCGGATTTTCCAGATTGAGTTTGAGGTGGTGGACTCAGAGGGGGCTGTGTCAGACCCTTTTGCTTTCATGATTGTTGTTAAGCCAATGAACACACTGGCTCCTGTGGTAACGAGAAATACAGGTCAGTTACTGTATGAAGGTCAGTCCAGGCCTTTGTCTAGTTCACAGAATCTGGAAATCAGCGATGAGGACAATTTAGACAAAGTCAAAATCACTGTTATTGATGGGCTGAGACATGGGGACTTGACTGTTCTGGGCTCCAGGAGGAAATTTTTCACCCCGGCTGACCTCGACTCTGGAGTCGTAATTTATCAACATGACGGCAGCGACACTTACAGCGATAATATTATTTTCAGAATGACAGATGGCACCAACGTGGTGGAGTTTCTGTTTCCTATCACGGTCGTGCCAACTGATGACGAGCCTCCCATAATTAACGCCAACACTGGTCTGGTTTTATTTAAAAATCAAATGATGCCAATCTCTTCACTTATGCTCAGTGCAGCTGACATCGACTCAGAGGATTCTTCCATCAAATTCACCATAGACCCTCCCTTTTCTACAATTGGGCAGGTATTACTGCGTCAGTCTGAAGCCCCAGAGGACCCCTCAACCTGGAAGTTTAATACTGAGGATGAGCTGTATGAGAAGGTAGTGACTGAATGGCTGCAGCAGGATATTACAGATGGTAAACTGTTTTACAAGCATGTCGGGCCTCACAGCACCAGCACAGTTATGGATCAGTTTGTGTTTAGGGTGCAGGATGACAATGACCCTCCGAACCAATCAGGTGAGAGCTCGTTCATTATCAAAATCCTTCCTGTTGACGACCTCCCACCTGAGCTGTACGCTGGCACCACTCTGCAAATGACAGTGCATGAGTATCATCTTACCTATTTCAGAAGGAAATTCCTTCGTTACACCGACCTGGACTCGGAGGATCGGGATCTGAAATACACAATCATCCAGCCACCGACAGATACGGATGAGAACAATCCTATTATACTGGGAGCTCTGGTATTAACTGAACAGCCAAACATTGAAGTCATAACTTTTACCCAGGCACAGATAAACCACCACAAAATAGCGTACAAGCCGCCTGATCTCGAGCTTGGAATTACGCCTCGTGTTTTGCAGTTCAGGTACACTGTGGAGGATGTTTCTGGAAATATTGTCGAAGGTGTTTTCACAATATTTTTACAGCCTGTAGACAACAAGCCGCCTCAGATAACAAACTCTGGATTTACTGTGCTTGAGCGAGGCACACATATCATAACAAGTGCCGAGCTGGACACCTCAGACACCGACACAGACAGCAAGCAGATATCCTTCACTGTTACCCAGCCTCCACTGCACGGTCAGATCCAGTTTATATTCACTGACATGACCAAAGGGGACACATTCAGCCTGGAGGATATTGGAAATGGGAGAATTTCATACATCCACAATGGAGATGAATCAACGGTGGATTCAATACAAATAGATGTCAGCGATGGGGTCCATATTGTCCCAATTACGATTAAGATTAACGTGAAGCCAATTGATGATGAAACTCCCACTATTAGTCTCCCAGCTGGTACAATTGGCTCCTATATAGACGTACTGGAAAATGGAGCGACCGAAATTACGAGCAATGTCATTCAGGGGAGAGATGAGGACACCGATGACCTCCGTTTGACTTTTATTGTTGAGGACCCGCCATCATTAGGTGAAATTCTGGTGAGAGGCGTCCCAGCTGGCACTTTCACTCAAGCCGATATCATAAATGGCTTTGTGGTCTACGCTCATACGGGTGGGGAAATAGGTTTGACCACAAAGGAAGACTTTTTCAATCTCACATTGACGGACATGTCTGATGAGTGGACTGTTGGAGGAAATAAGATCACAGGTGTCAGAGTGCATGTGACTATTCTCCCTCTGGACAGCCAGGCTCCAGAGGTCTTTGTTGGACCACAGTTCTCCGTCATCGAGGGAGAGAAGAACGCCATACAGATTCTTTATATAAGCGCAGATGATGTCGACACCCCCAATGATGACCTTCTTTGTACAATCATTGTACAGCCGACTTCGGGGTATGTGGAAAATATTTCCCCAGCCCCAGGCTCGGAGAAATCAAGGTCTGGGACTGCTATAAGTGCTTTCACCATCAAGGACATCAGACAGAATCACATTTACTACGTTCAAAGCATTCACAAAGGAGTGGAGCCGGTAGAGGACAGGTTTACGTTCAGATGCTCTGATGGCATCAATTTCTCTGAAAGGCACTTTTTTCCTATCTCCATAATCCCCTCTAATGATGAAAAGCCAGAGATTTACATGAGAGAGTTTGTGGTTATGGAGGGCATGAACATAGTCATTGACACTCCCATTCTGAATGGCGCTGATGCAGATCTTCCCTCTGATCAGCTCACATTCATTATCACCAAACCCCCCAAGCATGGATTTATTCTCAATCAGCTCACCACTGGCACCGTACCAGTCACTAACTTCACCTTGGATCAGATCAGGGAGGCCTCCAGCATTGTGTATGAGCATGATGACTCTGAAACCACAGAGGACAGCTTTGATATTGTTCTCACAGATGGAAAATTCAGCGTGGAGAAAACAGTAATCGTAATGATTATCCCCGTGGACGACGAGACCCCGAGAATGGCGATCAATGACGGCCTTGAAATCGAGATAGGTGATGTTAAAGTCATAACAAACAACATTTTAAAAGCTACTGACCTGGACTCGGAGGATTCCACTCTGACGTATATCATTCGCTACGGACCCGGTCAGGGGTATTTACAGAAGACCACGCCTTCTGGGACATTTCAGAACATCACAGTCGGAATGAACTTTACCCAGAGTGATGTGGACCTGGGTTTAATTATATACATCCATAACGGGCAAGAGGGGATCCGTGACCTTATCAAATTTGACGTGACTGACGGCATCAACCCCCTGATTGACAGATACTTTTATGTGACCGTGGGAGGCATTGACATGGTTTTCCCAGACGTGATCAGTAAAGGTGTATCCCTCAAAGAAGGCGGCAGGGTTACTCTGACAACAGACCTGCTCAGCACGAGCGACCTCAACAGCCCAGACGAACACTTAGTTTTCACAATCACCAGAGCTCCCATGAGGGGACACCTGGAGTGCACGGATACACCAGGGATGCCCATCTCATCCTTCACGCAGCTCCAACTGGCTGGAAACAAAGTCTACTACATCCACACCGCCGACGATGAGGTGAAAATGGATAGCTTTGAGTTTGAAGTGACTGACGGTTACAACCCTGTGTTTCGCACTTTCCGCATTTCCATCACCGATGTTGACAATAAAAAGCCTGTGGTGACAATTCACGGCCTTGTGGTGACAGAGGGGGAGAACAAACTTATCACGCCTTTTGAACTCACAGTGGAAGACAGAGACACTGTCGACCGCCGCTTGAAGTTCACAGTCACTCAAATCCCAGTTCATGGTCGCCTGCTCTTTAACAACACCCGGCCCGTCACCTCCTTCACAAAGCAGGACCTGAATGAGAACATGATCAGCTACAAGCATGATGGCACAGAGAGTTCAGAGGACAGCTTCTCCTTCACCGTCACTGATGGCACTCACACCGACTTCTTCATCTTCCCTGACACGGTGTTTGAGACTCGAAAACCTCAAGTGATGAAGATCACCGTCCTCCCGGTGGATAACGGGATACCGCAGATTGTCGTCAACAAAGGAGCGCCGACCTTGAGGGTTCTTGAGACTGGTCACTTGGGGTTTGTGTTCACAAGTAAGACCCTTAAAGCAGAGGACAGAGACAGCATTCAGAATTCGGTGACCTTTCGAGTGACTGTTGCCCCAGAGCATGGATACCTGATCAACCTCGGCAGAGGAAACGCCACAATCAAAACCTTCACACAAGGTAAGAAAGCAGCTTTTCAACATCTTAGTTTAGTCTGTTAGATTTGCAGTGTGCTTTAGAGACTCGTTGAAGTTTGATTTTAATCATCTAGAGCCCACTCAATCCTCAATCTGCTTAATGTGAGCCCCGCTCGTATTTTAGAAATGCTGAGTTTAAATGTAAAGGTTTTTGTTTTGGCTCAAGAGACTGCCTATTTACAGAGATGGAGTATGCCAGCACTGCAGGCTGACCAACTCTCAGTAGAGCAGAACATTTTTCAAACAGTGCCTTTGGGGGAGAGCTGATGGTGATTTGTATATTATGGTTAAAATTGTCTCACAGAGGACAAAGAAATTACAGAAATGATGATAGATCATGCAAACATGTCACAGGGGGGTGGCAAGTGGTCCAGCTCCTCGCAGACCACTGACTTTGCCAGCGGGAGTGCTTGAAGCAGTGCAGACGAGTCTCCTCGTAAATGTCAAATATCAAGGCAGCAAAAGCACTGTAAAGGAAATGTTAATGTATTTACTGCTCAGATTTCCTGAGTCACTGTGAGATACTTTCCTCAAGGGGCCTGTTCAATATTTTAACAGTTTTGACTAGAGTAAACAGACAGTAAATGAATATACTATCTCCTGGGCATATGAAAATTGTGACTATGCATTTTGATGTTGTTGGTTCATTTGAAGAGAAATGTTTGACATGAAATATTAAAGAAAACGAGGGGATGTAAACCTTGAAATCTCTCCGATCCAGGAATGCAGAGAACCTGTCTGGAAGCATGCTAAAGTGATGGCAAACAGATCTCTGTGATAAAGCCCCAACAACCGAGCTATTCTCTCACTCAGGAATCTAATGCTGGGGGCTTTTTTTTCATCACATCCTCCGCCTGTCTGTTAAAGCCCGGCTCAGCAGTAATTACTGGACTATATTAAATGTTTGATTGCCGACATTTATGCAAATGTGTGTTCTTTTTTCAGCTGAAATTGACGACATGAACATATGCTATGTCCTGAGAGATGGAGACAATGCTACAAATGATATCTTCTCCTTCTCCATTGAGGACAGTGGTGAGTTACTCAGAACATTTTTTTAAAAACCATCTGTCTGATTTAGGGCTGGGCGATAAAACAATATTGATATATATCAAAAATGAATTTTACTCGATATTGATATGAAACATCGTCAATATGCTTTTCAGTAGCCGTTATTCTGCCATGTTTTGGTAAACTATACGAATAGCCAATGAAAAGGGGAGTCTGCTTTCTCTAGTGCAACGCCTACGACAAAAAATCGAATTGTTTTGCAAAAGACATGCTACCAATAAGCACTGTTAAATATCATTTAAGAGTAACAGGGAACATTTAATATCGACTGAAATGAAAAATATATATCTTTATAAATATTTTTTTCCTATATCGCCCAGCCCTAGTCTGATAGTGTTATGCTGTTTTATAACACCAAGGTTTGTGACACTATCTCAAGTTTATCTTTGACAAACTTGGACGTCTGAAAGAAGGAGCATTTACGGGCCTGCAGATGGGAGAGATGGCAAGGGCAAAAGTTTTTCATGTTTTTTTTTCTAGTGTGAGAAAAGAAGAACGAATGAAACAGAAAAAGTATTGCTGGATAACTTTTGTTTATGTCATGCTCCGTGGATTCCCAGTCAGCCAGCAGCTCCGCCGAAAAATTGAATTTCAGGGTTTCCACGCTCATTAACCTTCGATCTGGGAAGCCAGTAAGTCTTACTCTGCAGTTTGCAGCTTAGTCTCACCCATGATCACGTGTGTAAGGGCCTCCTAATTTAGAAACTAATGATTGTTTTAGCAAGTAAGTAATTAGTCGAGCAAATTGTGAAGACCCTCCTCCCACTGCAGATATGTGATCAGGCGCAGACTCAGGCACTGGTTTGAGGTAATCATGTCGGTGTTGCCGATTAGCAGAAGCAGCGTGCCTGACAGTGTGTCCTTTTTGCTCCCCTTCAGCTGTGATGAGTGAGCACAAAGGACTTCCCTAATAGGGGCCCTCTTTTCCCACAAGCACCTCAGAGGGCCCCTGTGCACATTTTCTCATCTGGTGTCGCAGGAGTTTCCGCGGCTTCAGCTGAATAATTGACAGGTTAACATCAACGCCAACAGGTAGATGAGGCGCTAATGAGTAATGACTTAACTGCAGAGGACAACTTCTTATCAGGAGTATTAAAAGCGTGCTACCTGAGCTGCTGACTAGCGCAGAGCCCAGGCAGAGCTCTCATTTGCTCAATGAGGGTTCAGCTGGTCCATTCATTATTGTTCCAAATGGGTTATTTGTCATGGAGGTCTTTGTGCTCCTCTGTGTCTTTCTCTCTCTCTCCATCTTGCTTGATGCAGGATGACAGACTCTGTAGAGGTAGTACGAAGCCTCCCATTACTTTTACCCTCGGTAGAAAAGTTGAACAAGTCTCTGCACAGGTCTTCTTGTCTTCACTCATAGTTGAAAGAAAACAGGAAGTAGAATTGTTCGGTCACTTTATATATCTCGGGGAACAGTGCCTCACAGTCACACATAAATGGCTTTACAAATTGATGAAGAGTTTTGTTGGATGACCCGTCTGTAAGGACTCGACACGTACTGCACTGCAGCTTGTGAGGCAGTCAGTGAACATTTTTTAATAAGATTTAAGCTGTGCTGGTGGCTGCCCTAAATCCCCAGACAGAGCCTCCAGCTCTTTGAACAGTCGAACTCTAGAGGTGCTGATGGTGTACACTGGCACACAGCTGCACTCTGTCATGTTCAGCCGTGGAAAACACTCTCTTCCTCGCTGTAAGTTCATCGGGATATTTACCAACTGCGCTCGGCTATTTAGTCATGGTGAAAAGTTGCTTTTAATGTTCGCAGCTGCTCACTGGGATTCCAGGAGCTTTTGCTCACAGCTGTGATGAACCGATTATGCCACAGAGTTTGTGATTGTAGTCAGAGGGTGGCCTTGTGTTCAGATTAACATGATTTGCAATCGGGAGACCGTTAAGGACAAATTTTACTTTCATGCAGGTTTGACATTTAGTCTGTGAAAGTCAGAAACTTTTAAAAAATACATATCTTTGTTTGATTTTATCTGATAAATTATTCAACGTCTGTCTTTATCTGCTAGTTCTCTACAATAGCATCAGGGTAGCACTTGACATTGGGGCCGTACGATTAATTGATTTTAAATCGTAATCGGACGATGTTAAAAAAAATGAAAATCGTCAAATTGATTTTCCTCTCCATCATGTCTAGCGCCTCCAGGCCACCATAGGCTCACCGTTCCCACTCATAACAGTATAAAAAAACATGTCCCAAAAGAAAGTGGTAATTTCTTGGCTGAATAGGACAAGAGCGAGTCAGTCGTATGGAATTGGTATGGCTTCACAGTTTCGGACGAAGAGCAAACCACTCCCCGCTGCGAAGTCTGTCTGAAGGCGGTATCAACCCGTTCACACGGAAACGAATTCAGGAGTAAACGCAAAAGTTTTTTGATGTATCGGCGTTTCATCCACACGGAAACGGCATTTCAGGTGACTGTAAACGGTACACAGTACTTTTTGAAAACGGTTCAGAGAGTGCATAAATTCATAAACGACTACCACTTCATCTCTGTGTAGATGTCACACAGCGTAACTCTTTTATGGCACCTGTGCATGTCTGGTCAAAACAACCTAATACGCCTGTGCAGCGTCACAGCGCCACTTACTGGCTTGGCATATACTCTGCATCGTTTTCAGTGGTTTAATTTTAAGAGATGATAGAAAAACGTATTATTCAAGTGAAGTTTGGTGAAGTTGACACTGATTAAATTATTGAAATCAAAATCCAAAAATCGATTTTATTTTTGGCCATAATCGTGCAGCCCTGCCTGACATTGCTTCTTGCCTCACTATTCTTGGATTAGCGCCCCACACAACTGATTGTTACAGGATATTTGCGGGCCCCTTTGTTAGGTTTGAAAACTTCACTGATTTACAACTCTTTGCTCATTACAAGGTATGTTTTTACCGCAGTGGGACCATTCGGGGGAAAGTGCCAAGCCATTCATTATGCTAAATCCAGATACTCATGGCAGTTTGACTCCTGACCACAAAGCTGTTTTGGCTGTTAAAGCTGAAAGTTTCCTCTGACAGATGGATCGTCTTGGTGCAGGCTCAGTCTTGGCTCTCACTCTGTGTCATTTTAAAAAGGCTGTTCGTGGCTTCCTCTTGGCACTCGTCTGCATTCCCAATACTAATAATGACCTTTGATTTAATCTCTTCTTGATTGTATAAAAAATTCTCAAAAGGATATTAAAGATTTATAGCTTTGATCAAATTAATTCTATGACTTACACTTGAATAAAAGATGCTCTTTCACATAGTTGACTTGGGTACATAAAAAAACACCAGATGGGCTTTTTGTCACAAATAACAGCATGGTAATCAGGCCACGTCCCAAAATGCTGATGATTTTAATCAGCATATGTAACAATGAGAGGGGATTCATTAACACTGCTGATTTTACCCTGCTGTAAAGGAACAGCCCACAACAAATAATATGGAAATCTGTTCAGATCATATGGAATTGGCGTTGTAATGGTCTCCAACTTCTGAAGATAGAAAGTCTTTTTCTGCTCTGGCTCTGTTTCTTTCATTTAAGAAAGCTGTCGCCGTGCGCCTTTACTTCATTTAAGTTTCCAGTGCCAGAGAGGAGATAGCAGAGCTTATTTTCTCAGAGCAGCTGCTCGTGTGACTTGTTATTTGTCGAGCCTGTCAAAGCTCTGAATGAATAATCACAGAGGACTGAAATTACACATATTAATTTTTGGGTGTCTGTTGACAGTCTTGGAGTAACATCACACCTGGATGGTGAAGACACAATAAGAGGCGGGAGCCAAAAACCTCTTTAATTACTTGGAAAGGGTTTTCTTTGTTAAAAAAAAAGATTGGTATCTGAGTGTGTGTGTGTGTGTGTATGTGTGTTTGTGTGTGTGTGTCATTCAAGGCAGTTAATTGCTGTGTGTCAGTGCGCTCCAGTCCTCCCCCTGCCTCCTGGAGATTCAGGTGCATTCAGGTGAGCTTACCTGAGCACACACAAACCCCTGGCATTCCCGAGCGCTTGTTTGTGGAGCTGAACCCCGTCTGCCTCCAGCCAGTCAGTCAGCATCAGGGCTGTTCCTGCTGACAGACACGGCGCTCTGGCTTTTGTTTTTCTGTGCAGGCACTCACTGCCCTCTCATTTTTTCTTTCACTAAGATTCAAAGAGGCAGCAAAAGATCATTGATTGTTCAGTCTGTAGACGTGGTCTTCTTCTGAGGGACGGGGAGACATGTTTAGCATGATAAATCCAGAGTATGAAAGTCAATAATCCAGATTTGTGGTGGAGTGGGTCTCAAAACAAAGAGCAAACTCCTGAGTGAAGCATTCTTTATTTTTTAACACGGCAGCTTGCAAAAGGTAGAATTCTGCCTCTTTTTCTGCACCGACCTCAACAAGCAAGTTTTGTTTATTTCTGCCTCAGTGACAAAATGAATTCAGGTCACCGTGAGTACCTCCATTAAATAAATCTACTGAACCGTTTCAGCCTGCAGCCATATCTACCATGTAGATCTTCCATGATATCAGCTCGTAATCGCCTGTGACACTGAGTGCATACCTGAATGCATCTACCTTGTCTCCCGCTTCCGTCTAATCCCAGGTTAGGAGGGATTATCTTTCTCCCCATGGCGTGCAAGAGCATAAAAAAGTAAGGCAGAGCATGCACACACATGCAGTTGTGAGGTTAATACAGACTTTGTGTATGCTATAATATCCACATCACACTGCAGGTGATGACTCTGCAGTTCCTCGTGTTGTTTCCAGCCCGTTATTAATGAAACTGTCTCCCCTGCACTTTTCTTGAGGGTCATAACATTCCTCTGTCTTTGGGACCTGAAGTATGAATCGTATGCATGAAATACATCGACCGCTTCAGCAAATTACACAGGGAGGTTTTTGGATGTTAGATTTTCCTCACAGTCCATCTGTACTGTAGCTAATAAAAAAATCAGGTAGTCATTTCACTGTTATTGGCAAAATATTTTGTGTGAAAACATCTGGGACCTGATTAGAGGAGCTGCTCCAGGGTAACACCTGCTTTATTTTAGGAATGAGAAACTGAATTACGGAGAGAATTTAGGCTAATCGTTTTGAGATGGAGAGAGATTTACGCAGCTTTTCTGGTCCCCGGTGTCCTTCGTCCCAAACTTTGAATCATAATTTTTTCAAAGGCCTGCAATGCAGTCATATTTGTAATATTTAGTACTTGTCCTCTTTAATGTGTGTGTGAAGAGCCGAGATGTGAAAGCATATCTTGTTAGCCCCCGTAGCGACTTATCAAACAAGTGAAGAACCTGTGCAGGGGTTGAAACATTCAGTCTGATCTGACAGCGAATGAGCGAATGTTGCTCCGCTTAAAAAAGATTAAGAAGTCATTATTTAAGATTTGCTCACCCCACAAGACTGCTGATGACAGTTTTCATTGTTATAACATCAATTATTAAACGGGACAGCGAATGCCCCTCAGTTTTTTTTTCTTCTTTGGCTCAAGTTTGTTGGATTATTATCAGCAAATGTTTAAGTTTAACTCTCATTTTGTCCATTGTTGTTTCTGCTAAACCACCCATGTTTATTCAGAAAAGCATGTTTTCTGTATTAGATGAGAGTCTGCAGGGACCGAAAAAGTGAGCCTCAGATGCATTATTTATGGACTATGATTTGGAAGAGCACTGACAATTTATGATACATTATTCAGGCTGGTAGCAATTGTGTGTCTCATACAATTTAGGCAAAAACTTGCTGCTGCTTCGGAGACTCTTTCCCCGTCTTGGAAACACGAGGAATACCCTTCCTGATAACTCCTCTCCTTTGTCTTAATTGCTTCGAAAGTAAGAGTCTGCAGCCAAATTCCCAAAAGTGCAGAGAGTCCAGGCCCAGGCTTGTTCCCTGGATGATGATATGTGTCGTCATCCCTGCCTTAGGATATCAGTCTAGCAGAACTGGGGTTGTTCAAGCACTGGGTTTATAGAAAATCTTTGTTTTGTGGAAACAGTTTCCAGACTGTAGTGTTACGCTTTCACCAGAGCCCCATGTAGTCAGAAAACCTGATGAACACTATCATTTTAATATGCACTTGTAGCTCAGGTCAAAAGAAGATGGGGGAAAAAAAAGTGTAAAAGCTGAAATGTTTATCTAAGTTGTACCACTTTGGCGGTTTTTGTCACATCTTACATGAAAAGAGAAAAACCAAAACTCTGTCTCTGATGGGAGCGCTCTAATTGGTGTTGTTTGATTTTTTCCGTGTTGAAAAATCTAATATTCCCAGAAAACAGCATGAAACTCCGAGAGTAAGGGATGCTGTATTGGCTGGTGTGACATCTCTCTTTTCACAGTAGCAGGGCTTTTGTTCAGTCTAGCAAAATCACTCTGGATAATGTGTTTTTGGCCCCTGAATCCCAGCAGTGGGCCAGAGCTGCTTCTCTCAGCCCGGCTGCATGATAAGCCTCTGACAGCTGGGCGAAGGCTGCGGTGTCACAGCCCTCTCCAGCTGAGCCGGGGTTTCAGGGCTGGAGCTTAATGCAGGGTGCACTTTCTTTGACAAACACATGCACATTTACGCGCACACAATTCATCTGTCATCTCTTCATTGCATGGCCAGCTGCATGATCCTATAATCAGAATGAGGAGCTGGCAGCGCCGAAGATTCTGGCCATCAAATACAGTTTAATTGATAACTGCTTCGCCTTTGATTTGAAGCTGTTGTCTCATTTGATTACGGCGCCATGATGTGCACCAGGAAAACAGTAGCTGCTTTCATAGTGATATCATCAGCATTTCAGCGTGCCAAGAAAATACATAGAGTAGAGGGGAATTGAAAATGTTACACACAGTTTGAAAGAAAATCTCCTGAGAAGGTTTGCATTTGATATCCTCCATGTCAGGAGGGTGTCTTGAGAGTAGCTGGGCTCTCATCTCATAAAAGGTGTGGATGAAACCCTTCAGGGATAGTGAGTGTGTGTGTGAGTGTGTGTGTGTGTGTGTGTGTGTGTGTGTGTGTGTGTGTCAGACTTCCTCTCACTACCCCGTCCACCACCTGCTTTCCTCCATAAGTGGAGCCTGATAGGCAGGATATGAGAAGGCATCTAGCTGAGAAATGGGAGGGAAGAGCAGTCAGAGGAGATGAAAGCTAGAAGTGCTCTGTTGGTCTCAGTATCAGTGGGGGCAAGGCATCAAGCTGCTTCCTGTCGCCTACAGCGAAGGCATCAATGTGCTGATGTGCAGATCACTCTCCAAACACCGCCTGTGTTGACAAGTTCTGAGGGCTATAAGGTAGCAGGTCAATTAAACTGGAGGTTCGATTTATCTCAAACATAAAAAGGACTAATCCCTTTGTATTTTCTCGCTTTTTGGAAAGGAAACACGCCTGGAACTCTGTCCAGAGCTCGTGCTCACCCTTTCTCTGAGCGAGGAATGTCAGCTAGTCCTTATCTTGGTTTTCCAGTCTGTGGGCTTGTAGTTACACATTAGCAGGCAAATGGGAAACAAAGATAGGCACAGGGCACAGGTTTAGACCACACGGCAATCTGATAGTGGTCACAGTTAATTCCTTTAATCCCTAAGTAATTGGCTGAAGCTTTTACAATTAGTACAACATTTTTCTGTGGTACTTTAAGGGTTATCGCTGGTCCATCAGTGAAGTTAATTTTTTTAAGCATATTGTGTTTCACAGTTGGCACATTCGGTTTTGTGAAAGCTTTGGGGTAGTCAGCTAACAGATTTAATTTGCGCGTTACTTACCTTCTGAAGAGAGTTGATCATTTTTTAAAGGGCATTTGGTGTGTGTGAGTAAAAATGTCACGGAAAGAGCAGTGGGTGTAAAACCAACATCTGTATGCCTCTCATGGTTATCCCTTTTGACATTTAGCTTTTGTCCTTCAGATCTAATGGTTTTTTTCTCTCCCCCTGAAAAAACCCCCCATCACATCTTATTACTTTATTCAGTCCTCTGGGGATCCAGATGTTTGTGCTCCATGCACCAGGCTTTGCATCTTTATGTTAACTTTGCATACTCCGGGTCTCTGAACATCAGTCTGACAAAGAGGGCCGATTTTAAAGTTTGCTCTTATTTTGTTAAAAAATGGAGGGACGTTTTATCCGGTTTGCTGGTGGTTTAAAAGTTTCAAGGTTGTTTGCGAACTGTTATCGTTAAAGGTGGGGTAGTCAGGATTTGAGGAAGTACCTTCAATCTTGAACGTAAACTCTACCCTTTCCAACCAGTTTTCCCCTCAGCTCCTCCTCTCCCCTCAAGCCCCGCCCACAAACAGACGCTCCTGCTTGCTTGTACCGTTCCAATTAAATTCAGTCATAATGCAGATAAATACCTCAGATAATTACAAATGGGGTCCAGTCAACATGAAAGTAAACAGCATTGGTGCAGATGTAGATGCCAACAGACTACCAGCAAACACAATGTTTGCAGGACTTCTACAACTAGGATAAAGTGACATAGTCCAGGACCCGAGGTCAACAGTTTAGCGGCGCTACAACACGCTACAGCAGGTCCGTTTGACAAGAAATACTTCTGTTACAGACACTTGACTTACTTTGTTAAAGCGGTTTACCTGTCCAGCAGAAAGGTTACAGGGTCACCAAGATCCCGAAGCGTCCCCCATCATTGTTAACCCGGCTTTTTTAGCTGTTGTCCAGATGGTCTACCTCCGTTTTAAGCGCCTTTTATTCCGCCAGAGTCTCCGGTATTTACTTTGTTTTCTTGCTTGTGTCGGCAGTCGTGGCTAAAGGAGGATTCAGACAATTTTCTGAACTTTCTGGTTGGTTTCTACTGTCCGATATTGTAACACGCTAACTTTGTTTGGGCTCCTGAACGACACGGGGAAGCAGGGTCTGCCTCAAAACCAATCCGGTTGGGGAGGCGGGGAATGGCTTCATTTACAGTCAAAAAGAGTGTAGCGCTCTGAAATTTTAAAATGTTGACTACACAGATTTAAAACACAGCGATATCGTTATATGAACAAGTGTCATCAATGACTAATAACTATTGACTGAGATTAAAACCTTTTTTGTATAAACACCACAAAAAAAGTTGGTTCTTTAATGGATTCCTGCCTACCTCACCTTTAAGTTTGCTCTTATTTTGTTAAAAAATATAGAGACGTTTCATCCTTTTTGCTGGTGGTTTAAAAGTTTCAAGGTTGTTTGCGAACTGTTATCGTTAATGCATTTATCTAACTAAAACTAGACGCTGTAATACTGTACGCTAAGTTTTCAGTTTTAACGTCTTTATAATGTGTCAGGAGGTGAATTTGATTTGCACGCAGGTAAATAAATTAGCCATGCACCGTTTAAAAAACCATCAGTTTAAACAACATTAGCAGCAGCAGCAGACTGGGGTCACACAAACCTTCTGTAATAATAACAGACTGAAGCTTATCTAGCTGGTCTAATTCAGGTAGGAGGTATATATGCAGTATTAGAGTGAAGGTATATGCAGTCATTTTTCATAAGATAAGGCTGTAAGGATCCCCAGGCTGCAAATTATATGTTACACAAACAATTTGACAAATATTATCATATTTTTATTTATTTATGAAACTGCCGGAGTGTGCGAGACAAATTTAAATTCCCCAAAAAAGACCCTCGAAGGTTGTTTGTACTGTTATTTAAATTCAGGAAGAAAACTCGCACCCTGACTGTCATGATAAAAAAAATGTTAGTCTCCTTAGAAGTAATCTTCTTTAACTCACATGTTTGTGTTTTTGAACTCCGGGTCTGTATGTCTCACGCTAATCTTTAGTCCAATATTACAAGAGAAAGACAATGACAACGGTAAATCCTTACACATCCCCCCCCCTCTCTTTAAGAACGCAGACTAGCATGCTTATCTTTTACATGCAGGTTTGCACAGTTCTACTTGAAAGCTTCTTTTCACCAGTTGTAAACAAAAACCAGAGTCATTTAACACTTCTTTAGGAATTACCATTTGAGCCTTTCATGGAACGTTTTCCCTCTCCGGCAAAAAGCCTTCCTACATGTGAGGATTTGCGGGCAACAACTGTGAAATTCAGCTGAAACATGTTGTTATAAATGAAAGCAATTGAGGCCGGCCCTGAGAACAGCCTCTACAAACAGTGAGCTTGATTAGTATGGAGCGCATGAGTCTGTGGGACTGGGTTTAGTTTTATATTCTATGGCCTCACACTGCTGCTTTCAGCAAACAGTCCACCATTATTCGGTCTGACAAGAGAACAAACACTGCACATTCAGGGGTCAAGAAAAGCACGTCCCCCTCTCTTTGTCGAGTCCCCTCATCCTGCATCTTTATGTTGCGTTGTTTTTTTTTTTTACAGATTTTCACACTTTCCCTTGTATCTGCTTGTTATTTCACTTCCTCTATTCTTTTCTATTCTGTCACCGGCAGCACTGAAGAGTTGAGGTACATCCAAAGTGTGTATTTTCAACAATGCAATCCTTTCAGCTCCGGGGATACACACAAATTGTTGTTTCCCTGTGCTCATCTTTTAAGGCAGAAAATGTGTGAAATGATTTGTTTTCTTGGATAAAAGTAAAGGGGTGTTTTTTTCATTTAAACCTGTCATATATTCTTAGAGGTTTGGTGAGGTGTCAGTTTCCTCCGCTTGGATACATTCCCTCATTCATAGTACCTAATCATTTTCAGTGAGTCAGAGATATGCACCCGGAGTCGTAACTTTGGTCCTGTGGCCAACAGGGCTTTGGTACTGTACGTAATTGTCTGATAATGAGCGAGAAACTCTTGATTTTAAATCCTCAATGACCTTTACATGGCAAAGAAAGGCCTGCAGCTGCTAATTCAGCCTTTTGTTGTTATTTCCCTCGCCGCTGAGAGTTGAGGCTTTCGCTCTCTAAACTGTGTGGCTGACTGTTAATTAAGACACTCGAGGCTGCATCCTCTCTGACAGACAGGAATGCCATTCAAGGGCAATCAAGGAGTACTTTGTCAAAGCTCACCTACACAATCGAACAAAGCCCTCAGCTGAGACGTTTATTATGACGTCTTTTGGACGGAGCCTGAAACACAACCCTTGCTAAATGATTAATTTACTCATCTACACCGAGATACAAGAGAATTACACATTTTATCTCTTTTATTTTGGACGAACAAGACCAGACATGAAAGGGAAGAACTGAAGCGCCTGAATGCCAGTGTTAATATACTTAAATTATTCAGATGCAGCATTTGTATTCAAAAAGGAGTGAAAGGTGGTTTCTAAAGCTGTCCAGTTTTAGGGGAAAAAATGACTTCATTAGTGACAATAACTTTGCCAACAAGGAAAAAAAACATTCTTGGAGCTTGGTGCAGGATGTACTGAAATAATTTGTGCCAACTCCAGTATGAGCAGCCTGTTTTCAGCCCTAATGATGTTGTCATGACCAGGGATGAGTCTTGACGGTGGGTGCTTGGCAGGACACCCCGTGCTCCGATTTGGAAATCAGCAACCCGCAACAGTGCAGGATTTTTTTTTTTTTTCTGCAGAGCTGTGCATCCAGTTTGAAACTTGCTAAGCCTTAAGGTGTTTGGAAAGATTCTGTTTCAACTAATATGTCCAGGCGAGGCTAATAGGATTAAACTTGAAAAACCCAGAGTATTTGCATGAATGCAGTGCCAGTAATTTCTTGTCACAGATAAGTAGTGACCCGAGCAAATATCCAAAGAGCGCTCTGTTCGGCCTTTTTCTTTCAACCGTTTTCACTTTCATTTAGTTTGTATTGATCACTTAAAGAGTCGTGTCTTCAGCCAGTGTGTGATTTTGTGAGTGTTTTCTATAATTAAGGACTACTGACGTCATTGTGGGGACACTAGAGCGTGAAGTGGACTCCGCTGACAGGAGTGACCTCCCCCTAGAGTTGCTCTGTGCAATATTTCCTCCGTCACGTTTCTCTCCGTGGACACAGATAAAGGAGTCTGAGGAAGGGTGCTGCTACTGCTGGGTGACTCAGGAAGAAACTCATCAAACAGTTTCCACAGCTCTAAGTCGCTAACATCCTGCCTGCCTAAACAGAGGAACATAATAGTTTATCTTTGTAGGCTGCAAACAATAAAGCACCTTTACATTTACTATTGGATCAGTAGCAATTGAGTCAAAAATCTAATCTTGCTTTTGAATTCTGGAAACAAGTGGAGCACTAAGTCTTGGATCACCTCTAGAGTTGTGGTTCAGATGTTAATCTCAAAGAACTTCCCTGCTGAGAGAAAAGTCTTAGTTGCTTTAAGCTCCGAGTGGCTTTCTGACCCAGCACTTTTGTTCAGACTTGCCTTTGGCCTTTGTTTCAGAGAACTTCAAATGTCGCCTCGGAGTGACCACTGTGTCAGAGTGGACGCAGAGGCGACAGCAGCCGGAATGGACCCTGCAGAGCGGCCGTATTTATGGCGGAGCTGTCCCCTGAAAGGCTCTGCTGATAGAAAAGAGTTTAGGGCCTGTGAAATCATAACAATTCAAAGTCTTTCAAGCTATGGCCAACTCGTTACTGCTGATACCAGGCTTAGGGTGATTAGACCATATCTCCCTCCCTCTATTGCTCACTCTCTCTCTTTCTCTCCCCTCTGCCATGTGGTTTCTTTCCTTCAGCAGGATTATCATATCTCTTTTCCCTTAATTGGAGAGATGAAAAGTATGCTGGTACGGGCAGGAGCACTTACAACCTTTAGACAATGCATGTGGTGGAGTTAACAGAAGTTGTAATGATGGCGTTTACTTCCTAAAAGTAACAATCATGTATTTTCTTTTGAGCGGTGCATTCTTTCAATTATTCAGTAACTTAAATGTTAAATCAGCTGACCACTTTGTGTCTTATTTTTACTTTTAATGTGATATTTAAGAAGAACTTTAATGAGGGTTTGTAAGGTTTACTTTTCTGGTGGCAAAAATAGGGCTGGGCGATATGGCCTCAAATCGATATTACGATATATTGAGCAGTTCACCTTGATAGCGATAAATGGACGACAACAACTCCATAAGCTGCTCACCCCTTCCCACATTAACTTTGTCTACTTCAGCTGCTACAACTTTTGAACCGTCCTCCATCTCCTCACCTGTCTTTCCCTCTTTGTTACGGACTGGATGGGGTGGAGTCACGTCTCTGACGTAGGACAGTATCTTAAAGGGACATGAGACCAAAGCCTACCTACACACATGCAAAACCAACTTTTATTTATTTATTCATTTTTGTCACCGAATATACCGACATGGGCAAAATGACGTCAGTTATTGCCGTAAATTTCAGTATCGGTAAATCTTCGGTTTATCGCCCAGTCCTATCACTGTCTCTAGGAAAACATCTACAATACTGCGTTACATTGGTGCACTTTGGGTCGGGGTTTGTTTGCAACTTTATGGGCGTGTTTTTTCGTAGATTATCAGCGTAACATAAAGTACCACTCAGACACATTCATTACATTCACTGAATGCTTTATTTATTTATTTGACGCCAAATATATTGACATGGGCAAAATGATATTGCTATTGTTGTAAATTTTGGTTTCTGTAGATCTTCGGTTTATCGTCCAGCCCTACATTTGAATGCTGTATCGGTTTAAAGTTACTGCATGTCACATTGTTGAATCTGTTAGCAGGGGAAGTCCATTTGAAGCATATGGTCATTCAGTATTTTTAGCTGCATTGTCAGTTTCAAAGAATTCGCAGGATAGTCCCGAGTTATCCGGCCTAATCAGTGTACTGCTGGCTTTGTGGGCAAAGTGCCGCCTGTCTGTCTCCCTGCCTGAATGAACAGACGGGGGTCCACGGGGCATCGATGCCCTGTGATGCTTGACGGTGACCAAATAAGGGCTGTCTGCTACATGTATGCAGGGAGGAGACAGGGGCACCAAGTTGGCACAGTCCGGTCTCTCACATTCTTTGGCCTCTTTCAAAAGGCTTCTGTCCCTCATCGCACATCCACCGGTACAGACCCCGTATAAAGAAGTGCAGCCGCAGGATTTGTTCAGGCTGATTTTTATGAACTAGTTTGAGGACTAGACAAGACTCCAGATGACTTGGACTAACAGTTTAGATGTTGATTATCATTCAACCATATGTATTTGGTTAAAATTCATTCGAGTAAAGCTCATCCACCTGTTATGAACACATTAAAAACTTGTGATGATGTATGCTCCTGCACCAGAGCGCACCGCATTGCAGAGACTTGCACATAAGAGACAGATATTGTTCACTAAAATATGTCTCGGTGCATTGAGTGCGGGTTAAAGATTAACTCGGGTGTTTTCCTTTGAGGCCTCTTTGAAGTGGACTTATTCCAGTCTCTGCTTATCTTAATTAGAAAGAAATCTGGAGGAGTGAAGTGGTCCTCTGAAAATGAGCACCTTCACTCCCCAGTGCCCCACAAGGCCACACTGAAGCTTTTTTATCACAACTCTAAGACCTCTTAAACTCCATATTTCCTCGTGTCACGATGGGATTGTATTGTGTTTGAAAAATGGAAGCGCTGCTGTGGAAGTATCCTCCTCAGACTTGCTGGATATGAAAAATGAATAATTGATGGAGCCACTTGATGTTTGCGAAAACTGTTGAAGGCAAACAGGTGTTAAATGGGATTCATTCTGAAGGGAAGAGCTGCCTCTTTGAGGTTCAGCTTGATGTGTGGGCTGTTTTAAAAGTGTCATGTAAGTAATTATGCAAAACAAGACGCCACTTAATGGTGTTTTTGAAATGTATGAGGTAGTTGGGATAAATCCTACAGAAAATGGTCTGAAATGGGTTTGTGTTTGATTACAGTCATGATGCAAATCATTTATAGTCTCCATTTTTTAGAAAAATGCTTCAGAACTTGAGTGTCAGCTGCGTTAAAGCTTTTACAAAGCCTGTGCCAACGTGTGAAGTCGGATAAATAGACCGTCTCTGTTTCCATTTCTTCAGTGGAGCACGACTCCTTCACGTCTCACAGATCACACATGCAGTGTTTACCGGTGGCATGCGTGCCATGCTGCTGGCGGTAATCCAGATGGAGTGGGGAGGTCCTGTCACACACAGGTCGCCTGTCTCCACAAGACGGATGTGGAACTCACAGAGAGCAGAAACCAAATAAACCACAAAAATGTCTCACCTGAGACGAACACTGCGTCTGCACAGACATTATTCACTCCTATAAAGTCCCACTCTGATCATTCTTTTCAATAATTAAAAGTGTTATCAACGATCTTTAAATTGTGATTATGAAGTTTTCGTCACGTTTTAGGGTGAAACAAAAAGGGGAAGGACTCAAGTGCAGAACCAAAAATGATTTATTTAAAAATAGTGAAACAAAAAGCAACAAAAACTTAATTCCAGAAATGTCCAACTAAAAACCACAAGGGCAAAAAACAACAGACGACACTGGGGGAAAAAACCACAAGAAGACACTTGAGACACACAGGGGCATCGACATACATTCACACAGACCACACACACAATGAACAAACAGGAATACAGGGGAAGACAGGGATTATATATACACACACGGGGAAACGAGTAACGAGAGGCAGGTGAGACACTGAGACACAGGTGCAGACGATTACAGAGGAGGGAAAACTGAGGAAGTGGAACAAGACTAGAAACACAGGAAATAAACTACTACAAAATAAAACAGGAAACACTGAAAACTGATATAAAGGATAAAACACAGAGAACATGAAAGAACAAGACAGGACAGAAAAATGCATGTAGACAACAAGAAAAACATGATTTTCATTGGAGTGGGTCTTTAAAATGTTTGTTTTTCTTCTGTTTTTATCTTTATCTATTGCTATTTTCTGTACAAAAATCGTTTAAGATTCTCAGATCATTTCCTTAAACAGAAATCATGTTTGGTGTTCATTTTTTAAACATGATTGCACAGTGTCTTGCCAACATTTTTAGTAAGATTAGCGCATCGTTATTAAATTAGGTGATGCTCTCGACATGATGCGTATTACCATCAATAACAGAGTACAAAAGTGACTTTGATGACTTGGGAGCCAACCAAATAACTCTCCTTCACGCTTATTTACTCTGCTAAATGGACATCTTGTTTGAAGATGGAAGTGTCACTTAATTAAAAATAATTTGGTGGCACGCAACCTTAAAGGAAATGCTGAGACAAATTCCTCTCATGGTATGAAGTGTGACCAAAACAAAGCTCTTAACCGTAATAAGGTCAGAGACTCATTAGCAGCTTTGTACTCGCAGCATTCGGCTGTGTGGAAAATGTGTCTCTGAAGTTAAAAACGACTATTTCTGAGAGAGATGAAGCGGCTCTGTGTGTGAGAATTTCTGCAAATGTACACAAGTAAACGATTCAAACATTTTGTAGTGTGAATTTTGCCAGACGGAGGAGAAAAGAACAGTTTCTCGTCTCCATTTTTCTCCATTTTTCTTCAAAGCTTCCTCAGGCTTTTGTCCCAATTACTGCTCAGAGTCGACATCACAGTCTCTTTCTGACGTTCCCTCTGAACTAGAACTTCCAGGAACTATCGCCCAATTTCCATAAGACTGATCACTGTGGGTAACCAAAGCTTAAGCAATAAATGAAGGAAAGTCATGTTTCTGTTGCTTTACTGTCAGTCTTTTTAAGCTTAGGGGATTTTTCGGATATTTAAACTGAATTTCATCAGTGTCTTGTTTTCGTTAGTTTCTGCACTGACAGAAAAAAAAAAAAAAGCTCTGAACAGGTGCAGTGAACATTCCTCACATACACACACACACACTCGTAAATGTATGCACCCTCACACATAATAAAACACTCAGGGTGAATGTGTGCGGGTCTCACCGTGTCTGTCGAGAGAGGAAATGAACACAGCGGAGCAGTCAGCTTGATGTTACAAATTTACTGACCAGAACAGCAGGGGAGGGTGCGGTAAAGAGTCTCAGTCGTCCAAAACACAAACAACAGCGACACACTTAAACCTCTGAACAAGGCTCCTGCACACTGCTCTTAGTTTTTCTTTTACTCCCCCCGTCTGAAGAAGTGGCAGATGTTTAGTGTCTCGGTCATCTGTGGCTCACCATCGAGTTCAGGAAGAAGAAGCAGTGGCTCTGAAACCTGGTTGATGTGAGCACAAACAACACACAGAACTGGAGATATGTCAACACTGGAATCTAGTGTGACATCTTTATGAGTCTGTGTGTATTTATCTTTGCACATTTTTCAGTGTGTGTGTGTGTGTGTGTGTTTGAAGTCTGTTTTGAGTCTTTTAGGTCAAAAGGTAGCAGCGATACCCGCCAGGACCGCAGCCCTGGCCTTTGAATTCGACTTCAAAAGATAAAGATAGAGCGGCCAAGTTCAGACAGGAAACACACACCTTTTATCTTAATTAGGAACAAAGCAATTAGTCTGCACAAACTCTCCTCTTTTTGCATAAGCGCTGCGCTCCCTTCATACCACCCACTGAGCGCTGGCTAAGTGTGTAAGCTGAATCCTAAAGGTATCCAAAAGCTCTCTATTAAGTGTAAATGAAAATCCCTGTTCTGTTACAGTAAACCAAGTATGAGATGATCGGGGGTCTTCAGTCTGTGTTATGAGGTGGGGGGCTTTTTGGAGAAACATTAACAGAACCGTCTCTTTCTGTCCGCAGGAGGCAACAAGCTGAAGAACCAGCAGTTCCGCCTGAACTGGGCCTGGATCTCTTTAGAGAAGGAGTACTACGTGGTGGATGAGCAGGTCAAGTTCCTGGAGGTGGTGCTGAAACGTCGGGGCTACCTGGGGGAGACCTCCTTCATTAGTAAGCAGACACTATCTCTGGTTTTATGAAGTCACCTGTGAGAGAAACTTTATCAAAGTTCATAATCCCAAAAAGTTACAGGAGAGCACTAATACATGCACCAGAGTAACTTATTTAAATCATTGTTTTATTCACAGATCTTTTGACTGTACTGAACTTTTAGAATCCGTTCGTTAAAATGATTCGTTCAAAAGATTCGTTCACCGAATCAGTCAGCGCTTTGGAGCCCCGTCCTGCCGGGTGCAATACACAAATCTTTTATTTTGTGGGAAAGTGGAGAGGTTAAAAATAAATAAACATTGCAGCTGTAGTGGGGATTCTAACGCTTTTAAAGATATCAAGTAGCGTATTGCTTTATATCAGCTGAAATTTAGTTCCAGTTGGTAGTTTGCCTGGACTAACATTTGGAGTGGCGCCTTGGCGTTCCTAATTGGCTGAACGAATTGGTGCTCTACAGTTTGTGAACCATGCTACGCCCCTCCCTCCTCTGCCTGCTTCAAGTCATCTGTTTCGTTCATGGTTTGACTGAAACATGTCGTTCATTCTCTGTGAGCAAATCACCAGACTCTACCCGCCCGCCCGCTCACAAACTGGCTGTGTGTCGTTCACCCAAGAGTCAAAGGCGGCAGTTTCACTCCGGCACGCCATACCCACAGCTGAGCTCAACTGAACTGAGAAAGGAACGAACCAGGTCTTGGAGTGATTCACTCAGCAGTTCCTTTCTTTTGAACGAATCATTCATGCACGACGTAACACTACCGTATTTTTCGCACTATAAAGCACACTTAAAATCCTTTTGGCTTGTTGGAGCACTGCAGCTACCATAGCCTTGCAGAGTTATTGACTGTTATGTCTGGCTTAATGCGCCTTATAATCAGGTGCGCCTTATAGTGCGAGAAATACAGTAATCAGATCTGCACCATGAAAACCTCTTAGGAGACTGATTTAGAAATGTGTCGCTAACCAGAAATGATGTCAAAGATAAGAAAAAAAACTATATAATCTTCTTTTTTTGCGTATATATTTATATAAGTAAAATTTTAATACTCAGAGAAGGAAACAAACTTGATAAAAACGTTACTTCTAGTTTTGGGATTCTTTATAGACGCTTTAATTTTTTTCTCTGGGCACCTGCTCGAGGCAAAGTTCCAGAGAACTACACTATTAAAAAAATTATGCACAAACACACACATACACACACGTACGCATGCATTTAGGTCAGTTTTACGACGACTCTAAGGTTGGCCTCAACACCTTTAGGAGTCAGAGAGTACACGACCTTTGACCCGTGTTCTCTGCTGAGTATTTACGTTCCAGTTACACAAAGCAAGGGAGCGATTTCTCAGCGGCTGCAGGCACACATTAGAAAGGTCACTCAAAGTTAGTGGCCGGGGGAAGGCGCCACTCCAAATGTTAGTCCAGGCAAACTACCAACTGGAACTAAATGAACAATAACTGTACCCTTCCTCTCACAAAATCCTAACTGCTGCGGGGATTTATGAGTGGCAGGAATTCTAACTGCTGGCACCATTGGCCTTTTTAGTGCCGCCATTTATTCTGTCCATAAAGACGAGGTGTGATTAAAATGACCCGCTGTTAAAGGTCAAAACCCGGTAGGATCATTCGCTGTTCTGTCGCCTGTATCTCTGTATGCCTCGGGGTGTCAGACTAATGAAACATCTCTGAGGTGATATGCAAATTCAACTGACCTTTTTATGCCTCACACTGTATGGTATATCTACTCTGCCTCATTAACTCAGTGAACTAGAAAAATGCGCTTTTAAAGGCAGATTGTCATATACTCTTTAGATGGACACAGAAATTGACTTTTTAATCCGTACAGCTTATATTTAGTCATTAGATATGAACTCAGTAAATCGATAACAACGTGAAAATGCTATATCCTGTGTATGGAGCTCGGGCAAATAAACAAATAATGACCCTTGTTTGTGTTTTCCGTAGCATCGCTGCTGTTTTATTAATGACTCACTGCATTACAAATTAAAGAAGCTGTGTTTTGAACTTTGGATGCACTCGGGTTCCGTAGCTCGGAGGATAAAAAAAAAAAATGCCCGGTGTTTTCATAATGTCCGAAATGGCTCTTCTGTGCTTTTAAGTCCAAACCCGGGCTGTTCACAGAGCTGCTTTTGTATGATTGAGGCAAGATGAAGGGGAGCGATAATGGATGAGGGAGGATGCTGTACTTATCTGTGGCGATAGAAAGCGCACAAAAGAAGCTGTAATTTCATTTTTTCTCCTTAAGTCAGAAAAATTCAAGTCGAAATGCCCCAACGGTGAAAAAAGCTTCTCTTTCTAAACATTTTCATTCTTGTTTTCTCACTGCAATAAGTGCAGAGCATTTTACATTTTACCCAGGCTTCGGTTCTTTGATCGTACACCACATGCAGCAGCACTTAGTCTTATAAAACAGACTCATTATTTATTTCTATAAATAAAGAGACAGAAATTTGAGTGAGCTGTTTAGTTCATGTGTGTTGTTTATGTTGCATGAGGGTTTTAAGTCTTCAGAAATTACAACAACTCTAAAACCGCTTCCTGAGGTTTATTTTGAATAATTGGACATTCATCATCTGTCTTTGCAGCGTTTCCCAACAGTCTCTGACTAAATAAATGTTTTCACTGTTTTCTCACGTTTGAGTCCAACTCTGATCAGACTTTGAAAGACTTCAAAGCAAAAAGTAGGAAATAGTTTTAATTCATCTCCGCGAACAGGAGAGACCAGAGCAGCCTGACAACTACAGCCACCCATCTGCCGCTGTGCTGGGATGAGATAGTGACTGATCCCAGGCCAGTGCGCTCTCATGAAGACTGAGGATATCTCTTCTTGCTGAGCCCTGCTTGAGTGAACACTGATCAGAGAAGCCCACTGGTGGGCTCCTGCTTCATTGGTCGATGTGCACAGCGCAGGTGGCGCGGGTTTAGGGGCTTCGGCGAGCCCACCAGCCCTGCAGCCTCAGAGTGACTGCTGACATCAGGACTAATCCAGTCCTGCATTGTGAAGGAGATAGTACTCGCTCCTCTCCTGGCTACTCTTTGAAGACTGCTGGTTTTTTGAGCACCGTTGAGCTTGACCATTTTATCTCGGCACATATGTGGAGGGGCTGTCTGCACTTGCATATCAAAGCCCATTTTTTATTTCCATCAAAGGACAGGATGGTAATTTCCCCAATAAAGACCAGCTCATGCATTTCTCAATCTGTGGTCTTTTGAAGATCTTGTGTTTGGTCCTCATGTGATTTTTCAGTTTCTCTTTCTTCCCTTAGAGTTGAAGAAGTTGGGAACAAACTGCATTTTTAAGAAATCTTTTTACTGTGGTCCTCCATTTATCCAGTCTTTTATTCAGTAATGTTCAGAAGTCTACTTCCTAGTTAGTGCGTTTTTTTGTGGGCGTTTAGCAAAGACGATGAAGAGGCTGAGTGACGTGTCACCGGCTTGAATGCCCTCCTTAACAGGAATCCTGTCAGCGTCCCTTCTATAGGGACTATAGGTCCCATTAAACTGCCCTCATGTTGAAGGTCAGAAAACGCAAGACAGCATCCAGCTGCTGAGACCAGGATGACATCGAGGTAATTGGTTTTATTCCCTCCATGGCCAAACAGTGGAGGTGTGAAAGCAGAACAGCTAGATTGGAGGATATTGTCACTTCAGACAAACCTCAGAGCCTAGTTGTTGTGGTTCTTGTACATGTAATGCAAGGACCATACTGGCAGATGAAATGTGGTCCAGCTCTTCTGGATGGAAGCTGCATTGGCGCTTTCTCACCCAGTCTTGCATTTGTTTTGTGGACTTGGAAAAGGAGTAAAAAGGAGGCCTAATCGCATCCCCTCGGGCAGCCCTGCGGGGGGCGGCTGGGCTCGGCTCTGTAGATAGGGTAAGAGGATCAGACATCCAGAGGGAGAGTCATTAGAATCAAAAGGAGCTAGTTAGTTAGAGAGGTGGAGCAGACATTGAGGATAACATGATCAATTTGTTTAGTCTTTAGCCTGCTGTTCGTGTCGCTCATGCAGAAACAGAAGAGAAAAATGGACGGATGCAGAATTAGGATGAATACAATTCAGAGATTTAAATAGATGATTAAATGGATTACTATTACTATTACTAGGGTTACTATGTCTGAACCAAAAACGGAGCAAAGAGATAAGCTCCTATGATAAGAATGAAGCATGACCGTACACGATAACGACGATAACCCAGTTTCCCTGTCTTTCCACAGGCATCGGCACAAAGGATGGCACGGCGGAAAAGGACAAAGATTTTCGGGGGAAGGCACAGAAACAGGTGCAATTCAACCCGGGCCAGACCACAGCCACCTGGAAGGTCCGGATTTTGGCAGATAATGAGTACGAAGTGTCGGAGAACTTCCAGATTGTTCTGTCTGAGCCGGTGATGGCTGCACTTGAATTCCCAGAGGTCGCAACCGTGGAGATCTTGGACCCTGATGATGGTCAGTTTCAACAAATTTAAAACGAATTTCTTAACTTGCTTAAAACGAGGCTCTTTTTTGGCTCTGACTCTGGCTTCGTTTAGGCTGAGGAATGTCTTTACCATAGCCAGAGCAATGTGTGGTTAGATCTGGTGGAGGAGGAGGAGGAAGGGTGTGTTTCATCCATCTGTCTGAGAGCATCGAGCGTAAAATACTGAATTAGTATTGAAAGCAAAATGTATTTAAGGCTGGAGGAGAATGTTAACATCTTGAACCTGCACTGATTAAGATGCTAGCTGTATACCGTGCATGCATGTGCTGTATGTTCCTTCCACAAGCATAGATACACAAGGTCAAAAGGACACGGAGATAAACATGCTGACTCCCTCCACATGTGAGACGGGCGCTGAAAGAAGGGCTGAACTGCAAACAGCTGGACTGCATTAGAAAAACTGCATAACATAAATATTGATAATGCTTCTCCTTATGCCACGGCGCTTCATTGTGTGAAAAAGGAGAATTTTGCTGTCAACAATTTGTACTAATTAACATTTTCGCTGCACAGACCTTCATTCTCTGGAGTCCAATCATCCAAACTGGCAGCTATCTCTCTGCAAACTGGAAAATTGTCTTCTTCTTCTTTCTTGTTGTTGTTACTCCTCTTTTCTTGCAACAGCTTCGCTTTAGATCATTTCAATTAACTGTTTCTTTACCTTCAAAATATCTTTGCCTCTCAAGGTCGGACAAAGTCTGCAGGCTTATAAAAAAAGTGTTGTGTGTCTTTTGAATAATAGCAGAAAAACGCAGCTGCCCTAGAGCTGCCGCCATAAGAAAATATATTGTTTGACATGAAGCAAGCTGGAGCGGCTCAGACTGAGTGTTAAATAACGTGAAGCGAAAGAGAAACCACATTAGTTTTTGAGTGCATGGTTTCAGGACAGGAATGAAAAGGTCAAATTCTGTTGATTCACTGACACCTTGTTAATGTTGTTGAATAAAAAAACAAAAGCTGGAGTCTGAGCTCGGAGGATTTCACAGCTGAAACATTACAAGCTCGTTAACTTCCTGATTGTCGTTCGCGGCTCATAGAAGGAGGGAGACAAAGAGATGGAGAGCTGCCAGTGAAAAACAACCGCTTTGTTTTGCAAATGAAAGCACCTTTTTTATTCAAGCTCATTTAAACCGACAATCGACTTCTTAAATGAAACGAAATGTGCATGCGTGCGTGTGAAAATGATTTGTTGATTTCCAGTCTCTTAAGGATGCCCGGGTCTTTTTTTCTAATCAGTATTTTTACAGACATTATCCACATCCGGCTGTATCACTAACTGGGTCAATTACCGGAGCTGTCTCTCTGTATTATCAGTGTAAGCAGCCTCTAGGTTAGAATATTTACTGCAGATAAATCAACAGTAGATGGAGGCTTTTAATTAAACATGATGGAAGCATCAGTGGAGCAGTAATGAGAGCAGTCATTGGTCCCAGTGTGTTGGCTGTTAGCCTGCATAATGAAAGCTTCTGATTGAAATCCTGTCACATGTGGTTTCATGTTTAAAGGAATTTTCTCTTCCTTCATCTGATCGGCTTCTTCAGATCATTCAGTTCAATTTAGATGATGTACAGTTTGACTGCACACGTGTCTTCTTTACAAGTCAGAGGACGTTGAACTTAAAGGTGTTTAGAGATGATACCGCTGCTGTACATCAAAGTGTTGCGCTCATATTTGCTGTTGATTTTTTTCTTCACATCCAGAGTCGACAGTGTTCATCCCGTCTGCTACATACCACATCGAGGAGGACATCGGGGAGCTGCTCATCCCTGTGCACAGGAGTGGAGACGTGAGTCAGGAACTCATGGTCATCTGCTTCACACAGCAAGGTATCACAGTCACTCTGGGTTTGTTTTAATGCATCAGATTTTTTTTAGATTTTTATAGTGCTTCATCAGAGACCCCCAAAGTGCTTTCCATTGGATACATCATTCATTCATTCGCTCACACAGTCACACTACCTCACACTGGTAAACTACCTGGTAAAAAACTCTCAGATTCAGATCATCCCTTGTTCAGAGAGTTTGAGCTGCTGCCCTCAGGCCGCAGATACTGGTGCCCAGTCCTCACCAAGAACAGGTCCAGGAGGTCGTTTGTACCACAGGTGATTTTACATTGAACAAACTAAAATAGATTGTGGGCAGCTTTATTCTTAAAATTTTATTTTTAGATACTGGTTCAGCTGGTCTGAGCACAGATACACTATTTAAAGACTATTTATTGAAATACTTTTTTTAACTTTTTCGGATTGACACAGTGGTATTTTTATATTGTCTTCTGAGTCGTTTTGTTTTATATGGAACAGTGTATGGAAATGTGTGTGTGCTGTCTTTGTGCATGTTTTGTGCAAGTGAATTTCCTCATGGCGACAATAAATTCAACCTACCTACCTACCTACCTCAGTAGTCACAGCTACGACAAAAACAACACTGTACGATGCTCCATCTTCTTGCACTTCTGACGTCTGGCACGGACCTGCTGTTGTTGTTGACTGCTGTATGGGGTCAGCTGCAAACTATGAGCTTAGTCTGATAAAGCTGTGCATGTAAACACACTGACAGATGTCGTTGGGGAAATGATGAAAGCTAATATCATAATTAGCTTTCTTACAAGCATTCTTCCGCAGTCGTCTAACTACTTCTCAGAGTCTGGCCTGCACAGCGGGGCTTCGGGGGCGGAGCTTGGATTTGTGATGTAGGAAATCTCACTGAATCTGAACCTGCCGTTTGAGTCTGCCAGAGAATCACAAAGATTTGAATGTAGAAATACAATTTTCCTCATGATATGTCCTGTAGCGTCAGAAAAATGTCATATGAACAACAAGAAAACAAGAAAAAACAGGTTTTCATCGGAGTGGGTCTTTAATCACCTTTCTTTCACTGAAAAATGAGATATGGTCTGTAGATGTAGACTGCACTATAACAGGCATCTATAAAGGCAGCAGATGGAAAAGGTTGCAATATTGACGAAAACTCTCTCGGTGATGAATGACTCTGGGAGTAGTTCGGTACTTTTGGCCTTTGTGACAGTCAATAAAAATACTGTAAGAAAAAGGAACCAGGTTGCAAACTGTCCTCTTATGACTCCGCTGATGGCAGCCGTTTATACAAGGTGTGATCTTTAAAAAATGGAAGAGCGAGTGTGAAAACAGGAGCCGATGATTATTTCATCAAAACGTTTGTGTGAATAATGAAATCCAGCTGAGAGTAAAGGTTCCTCCTTCTCATTAAAACAGGCTGGTTCCTCCTTATTAGCCCCTCGGTAACATATCAGTGATGCATGTTAACATTTAGCATGAGAAAATAGTTTCAGGGAAAAACAAGGAATCATTTGTGTATTGAATTTCATGAGGAAACAGTATTTACTTCATTAACTTTGCTTTCTGTTCTTCTGTTTTTTTTTCCCACCCACTCAGTTTCAGCCACAGGCACCATCCCGACCGCAGTGCTATCCTACTCTGATTACATCTCCAGGCCTGAGGACCATCACAGCATCGTGCGCTTCGACAAGGGGGAGGAGGAGAAAACCTGCAGGATTGTTATCATCGATGACTCCCTGTATGAAGATGAGGAGAGCTTCAATGTCACCCTCAGCATGCCCATGGGGGGCCGTCTGGGCTCAGAGTTCCCCACAGCTAGAATCACAATCGCAGCCGATATGGAAGACGGTGAGATGACATTTCACAGATCATAAGTGTGAAATTGAATATAATGCACTCGGAAGAAGTCTGTGCAGGTACAAAATGTCATAAGGTTATGATTATTGAAAGTTTTTCAGCATATAGAGACAAGTTTTGTGCTTTGCTTTCAGTTTTTTAAGGTTTTCCAATTTACATTTAAGTCCCAAGGAAAGATAGACAGAAAGCATTCACCGGCTAGACTCTGTCTGTGTACGCAGAGGACATGCAGTAGCTGAAAATAAGTTTGGAAATGTTGCATAACCTCTTGATATTTAGCTATACAAGTCGGTCCAAAGAGAGGCACTCGAGGCAGGTGGGCACACAGACAGCGAATATGTTGGTGTGCAGGTGGAAAGTGTGTTTGTGCTTGTCTGACAATATCTCAGAGTGAGGGCGTTTGAGTGTGTGAGCCTCCTTCCTGGAGGCGAAGCCTTTATCTCATATCTGCAGGCTCAGACTGGAGGGCTGATAGTCTCCCATATCTCCCTGACGCCTCTTTGTTCCCCAACACCTGACGGCCATTCCTCAGTTCCCTATCACTCCCACTATCTCAGGAAGCACTGCTGTGAAGTCAAGACTCTGTGATTGCATGCAGGCAACACTGGAGCTCAAAACCAGGATGATTGCGGAGGCATCTCTTTTTTTTTTCTTTCTCTCTTTCAAATCAAAACCCTGTAAGGAGCTGGATAATTGCAGTGACGGCGCAATGTTCAATTCAGTACAAGATCTAATTGCTTGTTTTAAGGAGTCAGAGATTCATGACCTTTGAGAAACGCATTGAGCTGCATTTCAATCTTGTCCAACGGCTCTAATTACTCGAAATGAGAGTCTTCCTGTGGTAGGAGATTCCTGTATTTCTGAGTGGAGTGAAAACATCACACACTTAAAGTTTGGCTTTTGAAAAGATCATGATTTCAGCGCGTAACACTCGACTCAAACCTAAATGTTTTGTTCAATTTTAAAAGACACATATGTTTAATTTTCCCTTTAAAATATCTATTCATGCTTTTTTTATAGCTAGTTTGAGATCTGGGCCAAAATCAGTGCTAATGATGTAACTCACCTGGCCGTGAACCTGCTCTAAAGAGGCCTTGTCTTCGAGTCTCTCTTGCAGCAGCAGTTCTCAGACTGTCTAACAGGTTCTTTTCTTCTCCTGTTCCCCGGGGAACCCAAAGCAGACACATTGCAAGTGGATTTGTTTGTCCTGCTTGAGGAAGGAGAGGGGTTACGTGATTGCGTCCGGTGTAACTTGAGAGTGAGTACAGGGCCTTTTGACCTCCCCTGCTCCTGGGTATTGACTCAAAACTGCCGAGACAGCTGCTGCAACACACACGTTTTTAATGGCCGTACAGCACTCGCTCCTTATGGCGCTCAGACTGCGTCACAAAGACGTGAGGATATTTTATTTCCAGACAGTGTTACAGTTTTTATGGATGGCTCTAACACTGAAAGTATTGCTTGTCTTTACAACTGCTGGAGCGAGTATTGATTGGAGACGTTATTGATCGATCTTTTACTATAACTGTCCTAACTCAGGCCCATACAAATTCTTGGCTTTTCATTCAGCGGAGGCTGACAAATGAATCGCATAGATTTCGAGAAATGGAGAAGATAAGCCAGCTGGATGTTTGCTTTGGGAGTGGTCTCAGAGGAGCAGAAGGACTCCCCTTCAGTTTGACTGATAAATAGCGTATTTATGTTCGTTCATTTCTTTATCCTTGTGCCATCTGATCAAAAAGTGATAAACAATGACTTGCCTGTTAGGTCCAATTACGCTGCGCTCAAAGTCAATTAAATATTTATTACGGTAAGAAATGTTCTCACTTCGCAAATGTGAGATTTCCTGGCATGCCTTTGCTTTCATTAGCGGTCCACAACTGCATTATCACACAGAAACAGGAGAAAAGTAAGCTTTGTGCATTATAGGATTAACATGACTCACACTGACAACCAGCTTTAACAGTCTGCACTCAGGTTTATTCTTACCTTATCTGCAATCATGTTTTCTTTGCGATAATCAAGATCTTTGTATGCACATCAATTGTCAGAAAACACAAAACTCACAAAAGGTGAAACTACAGTCCGCTTTTGTTCGCTCTTTTTTGTGTGGATTTTATTGTTATTCTCGAACACTTGTCAAGACTTTTCACCGAGACAGGGAGAGAAACAACGCCTGAAGCTATTGTCCAACAACTTGGCTCCTTATTAAAAAGACACAAATACCTGACATCAGATCGACTGCCTGAACGCATGAGGAGACATGCACTCACAAACACACAATAAGCATAAAGTTGGCTCAGCAACACCTCCTAAGCCTAATTCTGGTTTGGTGCTGGAGGTGTTTAGGTTGCCGGCGCTCGCTGAATAAATGGAACATGAGGAGGGGGGAAAAGAAATAAGATGGTGTCAAAACTTCATATCTCCCCAAAGGAGGTGATAATGAAATGGCTTGAGAACTGATGTCGAAGTAAATGGTAAATAGCTCTGAGGCAAGCAGAATAAGACCGATATCCTGTCTGAAAGAGCGGCAAAGCAGCAGCAGATTCATTCCACTTCAAGTTCAGCCCCCCTTCCTCGCTCGGTATTACATTAAAGAACATAATCCAGGTTCTTTCCCCGACTCCTCTCAGGTATATTCGGAGTGTAGGCAAACTAGGGCATCACATCCTTCTTTGTCATCCCTCTTAGCGGTAGCTGTCCAGAGGGGTTATACATGAGGGGAAGGAGCTGGTGCTTGGCCGAACACCTGTCCCTGCCTGTGAGAGGTCTGTGCCGGGTCTCTCAGGAGGCCTCTCAGCAGCTACACACATTCACGGGCTGGAACGGCTCACACACTACTACTGATATCAGCAAAAATGCATGTGGCAGAAGCACATTATAATAAAAATGAGAGCCAAAGGGCACGAATGCATATGCTCCCTGCTTTATGCAAATACGGTCATGGCCACCTACTGAGGTAGAAACCACACAAGCGCAGAAGAAGAAGGTGAGGCTCCTATTGTCTGATTTTAATCTGAAGATAGGTGATGTTTAAAGCTTTTACAACTAAATTAATTAAAATTTGCCGCACTAATAAACACTCATGTAGACCTGTGCTGAGGAGGAGGAGGAGAAGGTGTGTTTCTCTTCCAACTAAAACATTAATTTCTATAATTTGCTCATCTTTGCCTGGAGAGAAGGAGTAATTAAAATCTGCTTTGTTTGGAATGAAAACAACCAGACTCTTTGATGGCACAAGAATTGGTATTTTGCCTCATAGGGGGGACTTTGTCTGCAAATGATTTCACACAGGTATCATTGGAGTACAACCAAACTTATACCAAACCCATCTGGGAAGTCTCGGAGATTGGTTGATTACATTAGATCCTATACTTCCAGCATCAAAGGTTGAAAAGACGATATCCGCCAACAGCTCATTGTAAGTCTCAGCAAAGAAACGAGTTTTTAACACTGATAACCCGTGAGCATGAAGGTGGGTGTGAAGTTTCGTATTTGCCCAAAGTCTCCGAGATCCATACAGGATCAGCCTCTTCAGACTCTTCGACAAACACACTTGTCAGTCTGCACAGATACAGAGGTGGTGAGGATCACTGTCTGATCTCTGCACTTTGATCCTGGCTGGTTGTTCAGGTTGTCCGCTCAGCAGGCGGGGGGGATTCAACAGGGGTTGTGTTAACCCTTAACATGTTCCTGAACACACCTCGCAATAATTAGCCCGTGTCTCAGAAGCTCAGGTTGGTAACAGAGTGGGTAAGATCTTTAAACCTCTCTGAGTGACTGTGTTTTAACTGTGTAAATGTAATTAAATGAGGCAAATTATCACTGAAATGGTGTTTTTTAGTGAAACGGCACGAAGCGAAATGAGGAGGAGGAGTGGGTTTTTAAAAGGCGCCGACGAGTAATTGAACAACAGGACTAGCAAACAGAGTCTTAATGATAACAGAACACCACTCTGAAGAAAATAAAAGCTGACAAGTTTAATTATAGCATTGATGGGTCTGCGTTGATTAGCTAGAAACTGTTTGCGTGTGTTAGGAATGGTTGCAGCTTGTTGTTTTGTATTGCTAATAACTCACAGCCTAATAGATTTCCACACTCCTGTCCTCATTACACACAAACACACACTCCAACTTAGATTGGACCTCAAACAGACCTCATTTTTTGCAAGTCTGCATGCAGGACTGTAAACTTTCCATGCTTTCTGCAGCAGCTGCTTTCTCCAAACCACTTGCTCTTTTCCCAGTGCCAGACCATCTGCACAGAAAAAAAAACAACCACATCCTTACAGTTTCCACCCGCTGCAATGGGCTGGGAGAAACGTGTCCTTTCTTGCAGAGGTAATTACTGTTTGATTCTAAACTCTGCATCCGGGAATTTCCTTTTTTTGGTGGTAAGACATGAAAATGCTTGTACGGCAGGAGTCGTGTATTATAGTCTTGTGTCAGTTGCCTGTAAATTTTGTCCTGGTTCTGCAGGTGTGATTATGAGCCGTTTTAAAAGACGGGCGTGTGTGCGGTGTATCCTGAATGGTGATGAATCAGAAGGGGAACCCGCTAACCCTCTTATTATGTCTCACCTGGATTCTCCTGCATCCAGATATAAACAGATGTCCAGAGTATTTAAGCGGAGAGGTGCTGACTGCAATCATCATCCTGAAGATGCTCAGCCCCCGCGTCCTCTTTGAAAACCATGTCTCTCTCACAGACCCGTTCATGGTTGAAGTGTAGATTATTCTGTTTGAATATGGAGCCGCTGCTTTTATATGCTTTCTCTGTTGGAGGGAGATTTCTTGAGCACACAGTGGGCAGAGGAGCATTTGCTGAGGCTCAATTGAATCTCACCATTAGAAGAGCCACTTAGCTCTGTGGGAATGTCATGCAAAGTTCAAGTGAAATCAAGCAGTCAGTGGGAGTGTAAGAGTCCCCTTAGGGATGCCTGTGTCTCTCTTAGTGCCTCCCTGTTCTTTTTATGTTCACATGTACTGCATGCAACAGTTAAGACTTCTCCTTATTGATCCGTATTACACAACTATATATAAACACCTTTCAATCTGACCTGATTGATATTTTTATCTTCTAAATAATACAATATGTACCATATGACGGAGTATTAGGACCATACTGAGAAAAAAAATTAAAGACCTGAGAATTAATTTACGAGAATAAAATGATTACTAACGAGAATAAAATCGTAATTAAGTAGAAATATATTTTAACCTGTTGTCGTACTTGTTGGAGCAACAAGTATGACCTATATTGTACTTCAGTATAGGTTTCTCAAACAAGAAAATACTTAATCTTAATGCACATCAGCACCACATTATCATTAGTATCATAATTATTTTACTACGACTTTATTCTCATAAGTAATTACTTTATTACAACTTTATTAATAAGTAATTACTTTATTACAACTTTATTAATAAGTAATTACTTTATTACAACTTTATTAATAAGTAATTACTTAATTACGACTTTATTCCTATAAGTAATTATTATATTACAACTTTATTCTATAAGTATTCACTTTATTACAACTTTATTAATAAGTAATTACTTAATTACGACTTTAGTCTCTTGAATAATTACTTTATTACAACTTTATTAATAAGTAATTACTTTATTATGACTTTATTCTAGTTAGTAATGACTTGACGACTTTATTCTCATAAGTAATTACTTTATTACGACTTTATTAATAAGTAATTACTTTATTATTAAAATAATTACTTTATTTATTCTAGTTAGTAATGACTTTACAATGACTTTATTCTCTGAAGTATTTACTTTTTTACAACTTTATTCTTGTAATTACTTTTTTACGACTTTATTCTCTAAAGTAATTAATTTTTTATAACTTTATTCTCTTAAGTAATGATTTCATTTCAACTCTATTCTTGTAAGTATTTACTTTATTATGACTTAATTCTCCTAAGTAATTACTTATTACGACTTTATTCTTGCAAGTAATGATTTTAGTACAACTTTATTCTCTTATTACTTTTTTACAACTTGATTCTCGTAAGTAATTACATATTATATTATTATAGTTATGACTATATTCTCATTAGTAATGACTTTATTCTCATAAATTAACGACTTCAATCTCAAAGTCTAATTTTTTTCCTCATAATGTGGCCCTAATCCTCCGCCGTAGTACCAGGATTTATCATATGTAATTGAAAAATGCACGCGAGTTTCTACACCTCACATAAATTAACATAATAAGACGTTCAAATCGGGGTCTTCTCCACTTTCATCCAGGTAACCGAAGATATTGTTCTTTGGCACAGAAGGCTGCTGCTGCTGCTGATGGAGCCCAGGAACCAGCGGTTTACCTTTCAGTTAATGGGCCGTAGCTCTTTGAAGCTCACTGTTTGTCTGCTTCACAACCCTTATCTGATTACCGGGCTTGTACAACAGGCCCAAGTTCCTGGCTGCAAACCTCAGGCTAGTGGATCTGATTACTCCTCGTGTCGGAGCCCAAGTGCAGGCAGCCAAAGCCATCTTTGTTTGGTTTCTCTGGTGGGGTGAAATTTTGGCAGCTGTGAGCCTCCTGATACTCCGCTCTCATCTCCTGGTTGTGCTCTCAGGAAGGATTAAACAATAAAAAGTTTTTTGTCCTTTGCTTGTTCTCGGGAGAAATATTATTTCAGCCACCGGGATGACTTCTCTAAGAACCACAAATCCCGAGGCTTTTCCTTAAAAGACTTTTTCCCTTCAGAACTTGTCTTATCTTGTCAGTGTGGAGCTGTTTCTGCCAGAGCAGGCTGCATCAAAAAACTGCACAATCATCTGAGGCTGAAAATACTTTGAAAACAATGATGGAGAGCAAAATAATAATTACTTTGCTACTGATCGGTAATTGTGCCTGGCAGCGCTGTTGACTGACAGTTAATCTCGCTTTTTTTTTTGTTCTGCCTTTTCTTACATTTGGGTTTCATGAAAATACATTATCATCATGCAGTGACAATAGTGACGATTTGTTTGCAGCTCATTTCTGCATCCCCACGCTCCTATTTCCTCCATACTGTGTGATGAGAAACACTAAGTACCATTTTGTAGGTGCAGAGTTCTATTGTCATGGAAACCACAACTCTACCCATGGCCATCACTCTCTTAATTTATTCATTATTTGGTCACAGTTGCTCTCAAAAGCGCTGTTTTTTTTTGCCCTGGTTCTCACTGGTCGTGCAGACAAAGATGAATCACCAGTATGTGTGCATTTTCTTTGTAAAAACATCCATTTTATCAGAAGAGAGTTATCCCCTTTTGGCTGGCCTAATTATTTCCGTATCGCTCTAATAGACTCTGACACACTCCCCGCTGTTTGAGTCCATAAATAGTCTCTTTGTGATGACACTTGTTACAGTGACTGACTGCACCACCTGAAGGGCACGGAAACAGAGGTTCAAGCCCCCCCGGCCATTGTTGCACGAGCAGCATGACATCTTGTACATTGTCGGGCGGAAACAGGGTCTGAAAGGGTTAAAAAGAATAAAAGTGTGTGAGCTGGCTGCGGTGGAATCTCAGCTCATAGAACACTAATTGCAGCGAGGCAGGCCTGGGCTGGCACATTCGAGCTCTACATCCCCCAGACCTCCTGTCAGGCCTCCTGTCTGCCTCTCAGACCCGTCACTTTTAAAAGTCAGATCCACCAGCGGACTCATCCAGAACAAAAACCCCTAAATGCAGCTCGTCATTCAGGTTACTTTATTTAAAAATTCTCCCGCAGATGTGAAAATCCCCCCCAGAACCTCATTCCAGGAAATAAGAAAGTGTTGTTTAAGAGCTTTAATCATAGCGTTGCCTACCTGCCTGCTGGTGTTTGGATGGAAACACTTCCCCTATTTCTCCTGTAATTAGGGGAAATCTTCCTGAGCATGCTAGCTATTACAGATTCACCTCCACAATTACAGCTGACATTCGGTATCCTGTTATGAAACTACAAGATGATTACGGATTACGCTCTTTTGTGTGCTTTTCGACATCACCTTTACTTCTTTCCTTCTTGTTTTTTTCCAGCTCCCGTCTTCTACTTTGGCAACACCGACTACCACGTGGATGAAAGCGATGGCTTTGTGGAGGTGCAGGTGTGGAGAACCGGGACAGATCTTTCCAAAGGAGGAACTGTCACTGTGCGCTCCAGGAAGACGGATCCCGTCTCAGCTGAGGGTATGCATACCTGCTAGGCGCCTTTCTCTGACAGCTTTGGCTTGTTCACGCTCAGGAAAACATAAACCACAGAGAACAATGGTCCCAAGTCGTCACCCCGTCACTCTTTGTTTTCCCGTGCTCAAGAGTCCATGGAGATGTTAACGGTGAATATGTGAGGTGGATGACCTGGGGAATGTAAACATTGTTTAGGGTTAGCGGGGGAGACAAGTCAGGGCTCTTCTGTTGGACCCTCGCCTCGTAGGCATCGGATATACACAGTGTGGCGAGGATAATGGTTGTTTGAGAGAGGATGGAGCTTGAGGAATGCATACTGATTGTTCTGCACATTGGTAAGCGCTTTGTACTCCAAAACTGGCTGCTATCTTCTCAAGCCTTCCCTGCAGCCTCTATTATCTCCTACCCTCAGGCGGTCTTCTCTCCGCCTTGTACTGATTCTTAACATCTCTGCTCCGGCCTGTGTTATAACTGTAAAATAACTAGCATCTAATAATATGCAGCATGGTCGAGATTCAAGCCCACACTTATGCACATAACTGGGTCATAAATACATGAGATAAGCCTGCGGGCAACGGGTGAGCTCTCAATACTCAGACTCTTCAAAGAATGGAGAATGAATAACCTGTTTGCGCTCAGGGAGGTTTGTCGTTTCTCTCAGATTTTCTTTAATCACGCAACAAATTCTGCAACTGTTCATTGCTACCAACCCCCCAGATAGAAAGCGTCATTTGTCAGCAGGTGGGGCAGATTCTTTTATCTCGCTCGCTCACCGCCTGACACTCAAAGATGAATTATGAAGTAACATGAGAGCTACAGTCTGAATGAGATCAAGTACTTCACTCCAATCACACTAGATCCACTTTATCCCATAAGCACTCTGTTCTTTGAAACATGTCTGACCCATATTGTGTCGTGGAGCAGCTGGTGTGGATTATGTCGGGATCAGCCGGAATCTGGACTTTGCACCAGGAGTCACCATGCAGACGTTTCGTGTGACCATCCTGGATGACCTGGGCCAGCCGGTGCTGGAGGGGCCGGAGAAGTTTGAGCTGGTTCTACGGATGCCCATGAACAGGATCCTCGGGGAGCCGAGCAAAGCCACCATCCTCATCAACGACTCTGTGTCAGACTGTGAGTGGAAACAAACACGATTCAATGCAGTTTTTATTATATTTGATTTCTGACATTAAGGTTTGATTCTGTTGGATCAGTACCAAAGGTGCAGTTTCGTGACGCTCTGTATGTGGGCGAGGAGAACTCTGGGCAGATCACAGTGACTGTTTACAGAAGCGGCGATATCAGCTACAAGTCTACGGTGCGCTGCTACAGCAGACAGGGGACGGCTCAGGTCATGATGGACTTCAACGAGAGACCCAACACAGACGCGTCCATCATCACCTTCTTACCAGGTGCAGTAGAAAAACCCCACAGACGCCTCTTTGGATTATTGTTTCGGATGGTAACTCATTATCTTTTCTCCTATTTTGTTCAGGAGAGGTTGAAAAGCCGTGTGTTCTGGTGCTGGTTGATGACACCGAGCATGAAGAGGAGGAAGAGCTGCGTCTTGTGTTGGGAACCCCGAAGAGTGAATCTCCATTTGGAGCATCAATTGGAGCCCAAAACGAGACTCACATCAAGATCAGAGATGATGCCGACAGTAAGATCGCTGTTTTCTCATGAAAGTTTTTGCGCCAACTTGTTTAGATTTTCTGATTTTAAAGCTTCTGTGAGGAACTTAAGTTGTTTTTTTATTTTTTGGCCTCCCTCTGTTTCATCACACGCTAAAGATTTACACATTTTTAATTAGTGCTGAGGGGTAATGTACGAAAGAGGATTAGAGCCACATGAAGAGAAAAAATAATTACAGGAAGGAGATTAAAGTTGAAATTTAGAGATTAAAGTTGAAATTTAGAGATTAAAAAATGTTGTAAATAATGTAAAAAAAAAATTTAAGATTACAAAATATTAAAATGTTTATATTTAAGTTAAAATTTCAAGATGAAAAAAAATGAGATTCTGTCAATAAAGTCGAAACCTCAAGATTAAAGTCGAAATTTCAAGTTTACAAAATGTCAAATTGTTGAGATTAAAGTAAAAATTTTGAGATCAAAGAAATTTTGAATTTTTAGATTAAAGTTGAAATTTAAAGATTTGACAAATGCAAATTATGTCAACAAAATCAAAATCTCGAGATTAAAAGTCGAAATTTCAAGATTACAAAATGTTTTGAATAATGTAGAAATTTCAAGATTAAAAATTGAAATTTTGAGATTAAAGTCAAAATTTCGAGATTACAAAATGTCCCATGTTATAATAAATAATGTTGAAATCTCGAGATGAAAAAAAATTTAGATTTTGGGATTAAAGTCAAGATTTAGAGATTAACGTTGACATGAATAAAGTCTAAATTTCTATTTCTTTAAATTTCGACTTCAATGAAAATGAAAAACGTTCCCTCCTGTAATTATTCTTCTCTCTTCTCGTGGCCCTAATCCTCTTTGTTAGTAATAACTTCAGTGACTGAAACATCATGTCCTGCTTCACCAGAATCCATCATTAGGTTTGGAGAAACCAAATTCAGCGTGAACGAGCCGAAGGAAAGTGGTCGACTGTCTGTGGTGAGGATCCCGGTGATGCGTGTAGGGGACACCTCCAAGGTCTCTGTTGTCCGAGTTCACACTAAGGATGGATCTGCTACCTCAGGGGAGGACTACCATCCCATTTCTGAGGGTAAATAATCCTGCCAAGCTCTTATCAGGACAGCTTTTATTTGAAATATGCTTTGGGAATGTTTGTCATGCATATCCTCTCTCTCTCTCTCTCTGCAGAAATCATATTCAAAGCCGGTGACACAGTGCACTATGTGGAGGTGGAAATTTTGTATGATAGTGTCAGAGAAATGAGGGAGGCGTTCACGGTTCACCTGAAGCCTGATGAGAACATGGTGGCAGAGACAAAGGTGAAAATTAGGCCAAATTAGCATATCATTTAACTGTCGAGTGTGCAACAACCTGTCCGGTAATCACATTACAAGGCAGCAGCAGCAATTCGTTCTCCATTAACAGTGAATTACCTCTGCCTGTCAATCAACAGATGAGCAAAGCTATAATCTACATCGAGGAGACCAACAGCATGGCGGACGTCACCTTCCCCTCGGTGCCAAGAGTGGTTTCTCTTCTGCATTACGACGACATCGACAGAATCAGAGACTCTCCCCTCATAGCAGGATACCCTGTTATTTGTGTCACTGTAAGTGACAGCGCCATACGCATTTAGTGATTTACTTTGAAGCCGTTTACTCCGCCAATGCACTCACATTTTTAACAGCTTAACACGCCTAATTAGATAGTATTAGGCAGATGTGCTCACTTTTGCTCAATTATAACCTCCCTGGAGGGCTCATCGGGCGCAGAGATAAAGGACTTTGGTTGCTGCAGGGATCTTCAGATGCATTTCACTCACAGGCTTTCTTATTTTTCCCTTTTTTTTCAGGCTTGTAACCCCAAGTACCCCGACCACGACAAAACAGGCTCCATCTGTGTGAGCGAGACCATCAACAACACCTTGACTCGTTATCGTTGGCTAGTTAGCGCCCCCACCAGCTCCGATGGCATCACCAGCCCCATGAGGGAGGCTGACTTTGATACCTTCTTCACCTCCTCTAAGCTCATTACTCTGGACTCGGTCTACTTCCAGGCAGGTTCAAGGGTCCAGTGCGCCGCCAGGGCTGTGAACTCTAATGGGGATGAGGGTTTGGAGCTCAGTAGCCCCATTGTGTCCATCAGCAGGGACGAGGGTGAGTGCAGCTCATTTTCTAGATGGAGAATGTTTAGTGTCTCACATGGAAAAGGCTCAGTATGATAAGCAGCTGCCGGCTCTCCCGCTGCAGTACAAGCTGTCCTTGCTCTGACAGCAAACTGCAACATGAAAGAAATCTCTGCGGAGGATTTTTAGGAAAACAAAAAGTTTTGATGTTTGTTTGTTTATGGCATGGTTGCAGGAATGTGCCAGCCTCGTGTTGTGGGCACAGTAGGAGCCGAGCCATTCTCTGCAAAGCTGCGGTACACTGGAACAGAAGATGCAGACCACCCCAATCTGATCAAACTGACTGTCACCATGCCTCACATTGACGGTAGAAGCGGCACATTCAGCATATAGAAGAATTTCGAAGCTTTTCTTTGTCGATGTTAATCCGACTTTTGATCCCACAGGTATGTTGCCTGTCGTATCCACCAGACCTCTCTCAAACTTCGAGCTCACGTTAAGCCCCGACGGCACCCGCGTCGGCAACCACCGCTGCTCAAATCTACTGGACTTCTCAGAGGTCAAGACTCGCCACAGCTTTCTCACCGAAGCCACGAAAAATCCAGAAGTGATCGGCGAGACGGCCCCGTACCAGTACAGCACCTCCCTCAGGGGATCCAGCACGCTGCGGTTCTACAGGAACCTGAACTTGGAGGCCTGCTTGTGGGAATTTAGCAGTTACTATGACATGTCTGAGCTGCTCAGCGACTGCGGAGGCACCGTCGGGACTGATGGACAGGTAAGCAGCTCCACCTTTGAGCTCCGGCTCACCTTTGCCCCCTTTTGTCATCTCCTGACATCGGATGGCAAGAGTCAGTTCAATAATGAAGCACGTCTCCTTCAGGACAGGAATGTGGACTCAACGGTTACTGGTCTGTAAAATCCCTCTCCTGGTCTCGCTTATTTTTATTTTAAAGTACTCCCGGGTTTTCAGCACTTATGAATCATTTACAAGCACATAAACACCACCGCTCGCCTTCTTGGTTTTCCTTTACGGATCCTTAAGTAAATACTAGCGAGTTGGGAAGTCATCCATTACTGTCTCGTGTTAACCCCTGTTATAATGACTAACCTGACACCTTCATTCAACTCCCGGAAAGAGACCTTATTTGACTTGACAAAGTGGCGAGTCAATGACGACTACAAAATCCTATTTGTCTGTTTTAGCTGTGAGCAGAATGTGTTGTTTGCAGCGGCAGCTGGTATATATGGAGCCGAGAAGAGGAGCACATCCTAAAGCCCTCACATGCCTCACAGCTTTCAACATTTGCATTCACCGTGGAAACATACTGTTGGTTGACTTGCTGTTAATTAAGGTAGAGTGTTGATAAAGGAGGCCGGGAGAGTGCGCCGGGCACATCATGGTGAAAACCTCCTCTGCAGGATTAGTGATTCAAGCCCCGCAGCACCTTTTAAGATAGTTTGCTGCTGAAAATGCAGAAGAGTGTTTGGTGTATTGGTTTATGGGAGTATCTCATTTTACATGGCTTCAGGTTTATTCAATAACAAAAGCATCGCCCCGGTGATAACAGCTTTTCTCAACAATTGGAACTTTGTAGCCTGTAGCCACATGATGTGAAGGTGAACGTGGTCTTTTAAAAACATGTCCCGGCAAGAACGTAGGCTGCTGTCTGTAATATAAACATTACCCCAGCTGGTCGAGTTATAGCGAGGTCAGACGTGAGTACAGTACTTTCACTTTAACCGATCAGAGACGATCCGGTAATCTATAAAACGCAGACATTTTTAATGACCGACGTCTCACATCTCAGAGTGAGCATCAGCCGCTCCAACTCTGCTCTTGACCCTGCCGTCATTCCATCAAAGGCGGCTGGTGTACATTCAGACCGTGTAAGCTCTGTATGTAGATTTTGTTGCTATGGTTACGATTGAGCACAGACCAAAAGGCAGCGTGTTGATGCATAGACTGGGGCGTCACAGGTTCAGTTCCAGGATTTGTTAGGCGGGATCAATGAGAAAGAGACCGGCCTTTGTTTGTGGGTGCCCTGTGACCCCGGGTGCTCCTCTAAGTAGGCAGGAAGGCTGAGCGCAGACAGCTCTATGCAGGCCGAGGCCAGTGTCATGTCACCGTGCGGGGCTTAGAGCCCAGCTTAACAGGACCCCAGGAATCTATTAAAGCCCAGCAGGTTGTGTCAGGAGGCCATTCTGCAAATCATTTGCCTGAGCTCTCAGCGCCCAGAGGCGTAGACACGTCTCCACATGAACACAGAGGCAGGCAGATACCTCCCACAGGTCAGAGGAAAGTGCAGATACCAGAGAGAGACTTTCACCACTCAGGAACCTTCGACCACTTTAGACCCGCTCTTTTGAAAGAGGAGCTATTCAGAACACAACACAGACACTGTATCGATGGGGGGAAGTTTGTGTTTTTCTCACTTATTTTGATGTAAACTTAAAATAGATTTACTATAAGACACATTTCTTTTTTTTAATGAGAAAATTAAAAGGCTACACTTCATATTCTACCAACCAGAGACCATCAACGCTGTAGAGAATACATGAAGGTGGTATTTTAAGCTGCTCTCGTTTCAGTTATTCATGATTCATAACAAGGTTTTGTGCAGAAACATCATAAATACAAATTATTCTTTTAAGTTAATATGTTGAGTCTTATATCTGTTGATCTGACGGACTGGTTTTCACTGCAGGTGCTGAATCTGGTCCAGTCCTTTGTGACCTTACGTGTCCCCCTCCATGTGTCCTACGTGTTTCACTCCCCCGTGGGAGCAGGAGGCTGGCAGCACTTTGACTTACAGTCAGAGCTGAGGCTCACATTCGTGTACGACACTGCCATCCTGTGGAGAGACGGTATCGGTAGCCCACCAGAGGCTGAACTACAAGGTTAGACTTGAACAATAGAGGAGTACTTAAAGATTTGACTCACTCTTTATATTCTTGGTTGTGAAGGAATAAAGTAGTCCAATTGAAGGTGTTTGTGATTGTCTTTGCAGGAGCCCTGTACCCGACCAGCATGCGTATAAACGGCCAGGGACGACTGGTGGTCAACTTCCGCACTGAAGCTCGGTTCAGAGGCTTGTTTGTGAATTCACATCCAGGTACGGCGAGACGCAAAGACCTTTATTACCTTTTCATCTGAATCACAGGTTTTGATATTGACGTAGTTAAATTCTTCCTTTAGCCTCCCGGCTCACCTCTATGATCATGTGCCCGGACCACCCTGGTTTGACCTTTAACCTCAGTCTTGTGAGGAATGAGCCAACCTACAACCAGCCGATTCAGCAGTGGTCATTCGTCTCTGATTTTGCCGTGAGGAAATACTTTCCTGTCTAATGATAATGTTGTTTTTCTCTTTATTTCACACCCAGCCGTTAATAAGGTCCATTTTTCCGTCACAGGTTCGGGATTACTCCGGCACGTACACGGTGAAGCTGATTCCCTGTACGTCCCCTCCAAACCTGGAGTACACCATCCCTCCTGTCTGCAACCCCAGAGAGCCTCTCACCTTCGATGTGGACATTCGTTTCCAGCAGGTGGATTCTCCTTTATAAAATTAGATGAAGAAAATTTGTCAGGAAATGATGAAATGCAAAAGCTGGATTTAGGAAATCTCAGATGAAACAATAATTTCTCACCACTGATGTAAATCACGGTTTGATGAAATGTATGGAAAATATTAGTGGTGCAAAAAATTTCCTGTTTTAGCAAATGTAAAATATGTTTCTATCAGAGTGAAAAATCTCCTCTAACTTCACAACATCCTTTACTACGCTCACTGACTCACATTCAACTTTTCATTTACTAGCTCCTCTGTTTTCTATCAATCACAGCAAATCGTGAAAAAACTGCAACACTTCTCATTCAACCTGACGAGAACACACTTTTGGTCAACATCCCACTCTCTTTCTTTTTTTAGTGTCCAGATGTTGCTGCCTGTGTTTCCTCAGCAATAAAGACAGTTTGATGCAATAGCAGCAGTTATTTCAATGTAAACAAAACGAACCCTCCCACTTCTAAACCGACACAAAAGAGACAAAACATTTAAAGTGCAAAGTAGAGTAAGAACCAGCTGAAGACGAATGGGTGAATATTGGAAGTCCCATTCCAATTTTCTCCTCTTTTTTTTACTACTTAAACTGTTCTCGGTGGTCTTTAAATTGTGATTATGAAGTTTTTAGCCAAAATCTCGTTACCTGTGTCATTTTCAAGAGCTTTTCTTCTGCAGAGCTACGGTAGCTCATTGGCAATTCGCCTCTGGGTCATGAGCGGAGAGAAATTACAAAAATTAAAATTTTGAGATTAAAGTCAACATGAATAAAGTCGAAATTTCGTGAATTTAATCGAAATTTTGAGATTAAAGTTGAAATTACTCCTTCATTGTGCGACAAAGTTTGTCTCTGCTGCCAGCTTCTCCCTGTCTGAGTTAACGTCTTTTCTCTGTTGTATTTACTTTTGTCTGTCCTTCTTGTGTTTCTAGGTGAGCGACCCGGTGGCAGCCGAGTTCAGTCTCAACACGCAGATGATTTTACTCTCTAAACGGACTCTCTGGCTCTCAGATGGCTCCATGGGCTTTGGACAGGAGAGCGACACTGCGTTCTCACAGGGTAACAAGCGGCTTGTCAAGGTCTCGAGTTAAACAAAAAGGGAAAGGACCCAAAATGCAGAACAAAACGGATTTATTTTAAAAGAACTTATCCAACAAAAGGCACTGGGGGGAAAAATCACAAGGAGACACTGGCATACAGACACCGTGACAAACACACAATGAACTAACAAGAAAACAGGGAAAGACAAGGACTATATACACACAGGGAAACGAGCAACGAGAGGCAGGTGAGACACTGAGACACAGGTGCAGACGATTACAGAGGAGGGAAAACTGAGGAAGTGAAACACAGGGAATTAGCTACCACAAAATAAAAGAGGAAACAGGAACAATAGGGAACAGAAACACTAGGAAGAAACAAACAGAAAACCCACTCAAAGAGAACAACACGAGGAGAAAACTAAGTTAACGAAACATATCATGACATCGCCGTTCAATACTAACCACTTCTACTACCACTTTTCTACCTCTCTCCTGTAGAGAGAGTAATTTCTGTCTTACAGCTCAAATGCCCCTCGTTACTTTGTGACCTCAAAATAAATGAAAATGAAATTGTAGGTTTTTCATGTCGAACCACAAAAGCCCAAATTTTCCTTCCCTTCAAAGACACTGAAGTCCTTGAAAAGCTTTTTGAGCTGCCGCACAAATGAGTGTGTCACTCAGTAGTTGCTGTGACAGTGAGACAGCAGTTTGAGCTCCAAATGTTGAATGAAAATGTCTTTGGGTTTTTGTCTCCCTCCCTCAGGAGATACGATTTATGGCAGAGTGATGGTGGATCCGGTGCAGAACTTGGGCGGCTCCTTTATTTGTAACATTGAGAAAGTGTTCCTGTGTACCGGAGCTGACGGATACGTCCCCAAATACAACCCCAGCAACTTTGAGTTTGGCTGCTTGGCTGATGCCCCGTCACTACTCTACAGATTCAAGATCATTGTAAGACATAAAGGTTATCTCTCATCATGTTACTTATTATTTCATGGCTAAAACCTAACACTCTCATTATCTTCTCTCTCCAGGACAAGGCCCAGCCGGAGACCCAGGCCCGCGCATTCGGGAATGTGGCGTTCGATGCCTTCCTGGCAGTGGATGACGCCGGTGCTTTATCTCTTGTGAGACAACCTGGGTCAGACGGTTTCAGACTGGATTCATCAGCTCTCTTCCAGGTCTGAGAACAAACATAAAATGAGGTTTATCTTACCCCATTAAAGGTGGGGTAGGCACGATCTGAGGAAGTGCCTGTTTTTGGGAGAAATCTTGAATGTAAACGCTACCCCTCCCAACCAGTTTTCCCCTCAGCTCCTCCTCTCCCATCCGTCTCTGCTCCAGCAATCCCCGCCCACAAACAGACGCTCTTGCTCACTCGTATCGTTCCAATTAAATTAAAATATAATGCAGATAAATATTTCAGATAATTACAAATGAGGCCCAGTCAATGTGAAAGTAAAAAGCACTGGTGCTGCTGTAGATGCCAACAGACTACCAGCAAACACAATGTTTGCAGGACTTCTACAACGAGGATAAAGTGACATAGTCCAGGACCCGAGGTCAACAGTTTAGCGGCGCTACAACACGCTACAGCAGGTCCGTTTGACAAGAAACACTTCTGTTACAGACACTTCGCTTACTTTGTTAAAGCGGTTTACCTGTCCAGCAGAAAGGTTACAGGGTCCGTAAGATCCCGAAGCGTCCCCCATCATTGTTGACCCGGCTTTTTTATTGTCTGGGTGGTTTACCTCCTATTTAAGCGCCCGTTATTCCTCCAGAGTCTCCGGTATTTACTTTGTTTTCTTGCTTGTGTCGGCAGTCGTGGCCAAATGAGGATTCAGACAATTTTCTGAACTTTCTGGTTGGTTTCTACCGTCCGATGTTGTGGCACGCTAACTTCGTTTGGGCTCGTGAACGACACGGGGGAGCAGCGTCTGCCTCACAACCAATCAGCACTAGGGAGCAGCGTCACTAGGCGGCAGAGAATGGCTTTGTTTACAGTCAGAAAGAGCGGACCGCTCAAAAAATGTAAAATGTTGACTACACAGACATAACAAATCACAGCGATATTGTTATATTACCAAATGTCATCAATGACTAATAGCTATTGACTGATACTAAAAGCTGTTTTGTATAAACACCACAAAAAAAGATGCTTCTTTAACGGATTCCTGCCTACCCCACCATTAAGTAATTTGGTTTTCAGAAAAATTATCCTGTCATCACAAGAAAACAAGCTGTTTTGTTTAGAGATCATTGATTAATCCAAGAAACAAGTAATTCTGAGATAGTGGGATGAATGAGTGGAGGTCTTAAAGACAGTAAACACATATATGAATGCATATTTTCTCACGGGTTATGAGTTCCCGGCGCATGAAGCGCACTCAACCCTGAATAGTTGTGGTTCTCATATTTCACTGATTTGTGATGCATTCCTCTGGTTGTGCTGGGATCAAGTCTCTCTCTCTGGTTCACTGGTGTGACGTTGTGGCGTCCTGCAAGATGAAAATATTCTGTGCAGCACAGGAGCCTCAAAAGTGACCTTAGACACTGTTCTCTTTGGTGTTTCTTCTTAACAAGCTCAGTGGAAAAAAGACTCACTGACCTGAACAATCCGGTCACCATGTAGACCGGCCATTACAAAGCCTCTGATCTGTGACGGCAGGATGGCTCAGACTCCTCTCTTTCTGCTGAGCCCAGATCTCTTACACCGGTCAGCGTGTCAGTGAGTTGTGCGGCTTTTTAAGTCGTTAAAGTCGGAGTCAAACTTTCAGCTCTAATGAGTGCTTTCCAACGGCTGAGAACTTTTTCTGCTCATCCTGTGCAGAAAAGGTCAAATTTGAGCAAACATCAAAATGGGTTCAATGAAACATAAATGTATTTGTCTCTTTTTCTTCCCAGGTGTCTGCAGGCAGAGAGTGGTTCATTCACACCATCTACACCGTTCGCTCCCGGGACAACGCCAACCGTGGCATCGGGAAGAGGAGCCTGGAGTACCACGCCATGAGCAAGCACACTCATTCGCTACCAAACGGTCAGCGCCGCAGCAGGAGATCAACCAGTGAAGTCCCAGATGTCGTAGAAGATATTGGTCTGAGCAACAACCGTGGAACCAACATCCTCCACATTGCTCTGGACCGCAGCAGCCAGCGGAGGACGAGTCCGGAGAGAGAGAACTTCACCAAAGGGATCATCCCCAGGGAGCTCAACCAGCGGGACAACAGCGACGACAGACTGGTGCTGATCATCGGGATCGTTGTAGGTCTGCTCCTCATGGTGCTCATGATCATCCTCGTGGTTTTACTGGTCCGGTCCAAGCGTGAGAAGAAAGATGTACCGAAGAGCTCGAGCAGCAGAGAGCCCATGGTGACACGAGCCGTCAGTAACGGTGACAGCTCTGAGGTCTAACAAACACACCCGTGGTTCCCAGTTTTATGTTTTATTGTTTGTTTTTTTTGCAAGTGCCTCACAGTTTTGAGAAAAATTGAAGATTGTGAAGCAGCACAAACTACAAGAGCTTTGATTTCACTCATAAAATCTACTTGAAACGTTGCATCTCTTCCACGGCCGGGGAGTGATGGGGACACTTGCTTGAACACAGGCTTTTTTCAGCAGCTGTTACTCGGCACTTGTCTCATTGTCAGCACTCCATTTTTGATTTGCTTTTGATGTCACTTGATCCAAAAAAAAAAGGTGTTACTTTATTTCCAAAGGTGCTACAGAGGATGCCTCCTGACTGGAATGGCGTTGAGTTTACGGAGAAGGTCAAGAGAGAGGTGTATATTTTTCATACTGCTGTGTTAACATTCAGCTTTGTTTGTTTAATTTGCTGCACAAAGAAACTGCCTGTAGTTTGTACTACACTGGAAAAATCTGTTAGTAATTGAATGGTTTATCAGTAGATGCTGTCGGTGCCTGAGAAATCTTTTTATCTTGAGGTCTTGAGATGTATGTTACTACGAAAGAGGATTAGGGCCACATGAAAGGAAAAAAGTATTACAGGAAGGAATTTATAGTCAAAATTTCTAGATTAAAGTTGAAATTTTGAGATAAAAAAAACTAATTTTTGTCAATAAAGTCAAAGATTTCAAGATTAAAGTCGAAATTTTGAGATAAAAAACAAAATTTTTCAATAAAAGTAAAAAATTTCGAGATTTAATATTGAAATTAAAGTTGAAATTTCAAGATTACAAAATGTGGAAATGTCATAAATAATGTTGAAATTACAGGGGGAGGTTTTTTTAATTTACATTTTGAAGATTAAAGTTGAAATTTCAACATTAAAGTAAAAATTTTGAGATAAAAAAATAACATTTTGAGATTAAATTCGTAGTTTCGAGATTAAAGTCAGCACAAAAAATCTCGAAACTTTGACTTTTTTGACTTTTTAAAACTTTGACTCTTTCAAATTTCAACTTTTTTGAAGTTCGACTTTATTAAATTTTTCTCTTTATTCAAAATTTTGACTTTCATTAAAAAAAAAATCTCCCTCCTGTTATTATTTCTTTCTCTTCTTGTGGCCCTAATCCTTATTTGTAATGTTACCGTACCTTGCAGCAGTGAAACATGTCTCCATTGTTTTCATGTGTTTTTGTTTTTGCATGCATTTATTTTTGCATCTAAAATTGATTAAAATGATAAAAAAAGAATACTGATCAGAGCAGAATAATGACAAAAGCATCTTTGCTGTTGTATTTTCACTTGTTGCTGTATTTTACATTAAATTAGTATTTATCAGCAACCTATAGTCATCAAATTTCCCCCAAACGTTGAGTTTTCTCTTGATTTATTTGACTAAATCAAAAAAAAGAAGTGAAAGCGGTGGAGTCTGTGGTTCTGCAGAAACTTTCATGACAGCTGGTCTGCAGTGTACAGTGTAGTATAGTAGCAGTTCCATCTTCTCCATCTCCAACAAGGTCTTCTTTTACTTTCCAAACACTTGAAATTCAAAGAGAAGACTGATGTAGCTTAGTCTAGACAGCCGGGACTCTCCATCCCTCCGACAACAGGGCTATGTGCTGATTGTTTCTACACCTTGAATATAACCTTGTCTGATAAGTTCGGCAGATTTCACTGAAAGGGAATGAAATGCTTTACCTTCAATCATTGTTTGTTATTGTCCGAGCTGCAGTTCTCTCCCTGATTCATTCGTTTAAATGTATTTATTTATTTCTCCATGCTTGTTATGTAGTGCTGAGATAAACCATTTACTGTTGTTTTATACCTATCATTCTCAAGATCTACTGTACAAACTGTCGCTTGTCATTGTGATTTCATTGTACACATATGAGCATCAATGTGTTACTGTTTTTCCAAATCCAGACGCTGGATTGCCATGAAATCTGATTACCTCATACTGCTGTATATCCACATAGACACTGTACTCACTTCTTTATACATGTACGGTTTATTTGCAATGTTGTTTTGAAGTTGAAAACGATTCTATGCAACCTGTGTTATCATACTTTCATGAAACGTTTACCCTGACTATGATTTTGTATTCAATGCACAATTTGCTTGCTAATCAAGGTTTGACACTGTATCATTGTACTGTGGTTGTTTTGCTCCACTCTAATTCTTTGAGTGCATTCTGAGCTTTTTTAAGTACATGTATGTATGTATATACATGTGTATTACATATAAAAAAAACACCATTTGGATGTTTTGGGAATGGTTATTGTTGAAAAGAATGCATAAAGTATGTGCTGTAATTATTTGTACCATAGACCAACAGCACAACGTGGTCTGCGAATAAATACTTTTTCAAGAAAACATCAAAAATGTTTGTCCTTTCTGGTAACAATTCACTCGATGCCTATCTCTATAACTCATTATAAATATATGTATAATGTGTCATAATCACATTATAGCACTGTATAACTGTAGTTATAAACACTCATGAATAATCAAAATGCTTTAAAGCGATAATCATAACATATTATAAAGCATTTTATCATGATTATCAAGGTCAGGTATTATAATGTTTTATGCTTATTGTTATAAATCCTCATGATAATTAATAAGTGTTTATAATGATAGTTATACAAGTTAATAAGCAAATTATAATGCATTATAAATACATGTTTAATGCATTATAATCATGTTATAGCACTACATAACTAGTTATAAACACTCATAAATGATCATAATGCTTTATAGCAATAATAATAACATTATAAAGCATTTATCATGACTTACAAGGTCAGGTATTATAATGTTTTACAACTGTTATCAATTCACTGACAGATAATTTATTATGCACATATTTATGATGTGTTGTAATTTTCTTTTAACCTTTAAACTATCATTATAAACACTCATTAATTATCATAAGGCTTTATAACAATAAGCATAACACATAATACCTGACCTTGTAAGTCATGATAAAATGCTTGGTAACACTTTACTTGACGCCTATCTCTATAACACATCATAAATATATGTATAATGTTTTATAAACATGTTATAGCACTTCATAACTATAGTTATAAACACTCATAAATGATCATAATGCTTTATAGCAATAATAGTAACACATTATAAAGCATTTTATCATGACTTACAAGGTCAGGTATTATAATATGTGATGCTTATTGTTATACAGCCTTATGATAATGAGTGTTTATAATGATTGTTATCCAAGTTTATATGCAAATTATAACACATAATAAATATATGTATAATGCATTATCTATGTGGGTACTGTCAGTGAGTTGTTAACAGTTATAACACATTATAATACCTGAGAAAAGTGTTATTTTGTTTTATGCAAAATATAATGTGTCTTAAAAGCACAACAACGGCAGCTCAGTAAACCATGTGCTTTTATTACCAGTGCATATTCATAGAGAAAACAATATAGTTTGTAATGGTGTGACACAAACAGCGTAGTGTTCAATGTTATCAGACACATGTCATAACGGTGAGCCTCAGACTCCTTCGAGAAGTCAGTGGACTCCTGTTTGGCAACAAGTCAAACAAGATCTCAGGTGCATGAGCAGAAGCAGCTCCCTGGTTAAAGACCCGGTGACCTCGGGTTATAACCTGTAGCTCCAGAAGAGGGATTATTAGGGTTCAGATGTTAAACACAGAGCTGAGGGATATTTAAAATCAGGAAGTTGCTTCAGTCCTGCACCTGGTCTTTCTTCTGCTGTGGCACCAGGTTTTCTTATGATATTACACAGAGTGGACACTAGGGGGAGCACGAGCAGAGACAGCTCTACATGTACAGGTTTGTTCTAGGGTGTCATGGCTTTAAATAGTGCAGGCAGAAACTTTGTTTTTTGTCTTTTAGCTGTACAATATAACAGTTTCATAGGCAAGTGTATTCCTAAGTGTGGATGAGTTATTTAGAAAATGTTGTCTAATAAATTATTATCAGAGTTTTGTCACTGTTCCTCATGTAAAAGCCAAAAAACAAAAACAGCACTTCAAAGCAGACTTCATTTCCATCTTATTGTTTCTGTTCTGGACTCTAAAAAATAAAGAGAAAGAAAAATAAGATTATTACACAGATGTGGCTGTTAAATTTGGATGGATTTCCTGAGATATGTGTATTGTTTTGTGGTTTAGCTGAAGGCAAAACCACCTTATCATGAGCGTCAGTATTCTGAGCAGATACACTTTCTCTTTTATGGTATCTAAAACGAAAACAAAGACCAGTTTAGAGCTGCGTCTCATCTGCATGTGCACAAACACTGATCTGTATGACACAGATGACGAGAGGAAATGAATTCTGCTTTACAGTGAAGTTTCTCTATCAGGTAAAGGGATTAAGTATAAAGCTCTAAAGAAAAACAAAATTTAGAAAAATAATTTACAAAGGCTGAGCTAGTGTATGAAATAAAATAAATTAGCATTTTTTCTTTATTTTCTCCCTTTGAAACAACAAATATTAACAAAAACAGAAAAAGAAAATTGTGCTGATTACATTAGCAATAAATATGACACTCTTCTTTAAGCATGTGCTGTGTATGTTTAAAAGCACTCTTCTTAACAGCTGCCATCCACAAGGTTTTAAAATCCTGGAGTCCTTGACCGCTACCATCTGGACAGCCAAAAAAAGGCCAAATCATAGCACATAGATACAGAGTGATCTAATATACACAATATACATTTATGTCGTATATACAATACATACAGCAAATCAATGCACAGATGGTGATGATGACATTTCTATGTGAGATACCAGTAAATAAGGAATTTTACATTTCATTGCTGAAGAAGCGTCGCACTGTTCATTTCACTGTAAGCGTTAACTAGTTCATGAGAAAAGCAACCGATGTGTACACTGTGTTGTTGGCTAGGCTTTAAGATAACAGAAAACTTCATGCATTTGGACAAGTTATGGCTCATTAAATACTTGAATCTATCTCCTACCCTGTCCGGCCTCTCTTTAGGTCGAGTTTAATAGTTCCAACATCAGGATGGAAAACCAGCCCAAAGCGTTATGTTCAGTACATGTGCCAAGGATGCTACATTGCCCAACTTTAAAAACACCTTTAAATACACATCATAAGGAGTAAACTCAGGATCAAACACGTATTTATATCCAGGAGGATCAGCTGATGTGCACGTCGAAAGGCTGTGTTTGTAAAGGTCATTGCACCCTGTGGAATACATTAGTCGTGTCGTTGTCAGTGCTTGTCAGTGGTGAAGATGGCTCTCCCTGCAGGAGTTTACTGCAGGTAGCGGTACACCTTGAAGCAATGGTTCCCAGAGTCCGCCACCGCCACATGACCATCAGAGGTGAGGGCCAGGCCCTGGGGTCCATAAAGGGGGTCTGCTGATGTGTTGATGTAGGACAGGAAGGACCCTGAGCTGTCAAACACCTGAATGGTTACAGCAAAAAAGAGGCACATTAGTCGTTAGTAAATAACTTAAGTAGGATGTATCAATCAATCAATCAGTCTTTATTTGTATAGCACTTTTCATTCTCGTCATTTCCATCCCGCGATCTAAGCACAACAGAAACATGTATTAAAATGCATTAATTAAAAAAGCGCTTCATTTTATAGAAACAGGAATGTGCGCACCGAGGAAACGCCATTTTAAAATTCAAGATAAGTAAACACTGGAGGTTAGGTTAAAATCTAAAAACAAAGTGACATAAAATGAAATTCAAGAAATACTAAATAAAATGAAATAAAAACAACAGTAAAAGATGCTAAAATACAAGCATCAAAATAGCTCAATAAAAGACATTATCCTGTCATTAAAACCAGAAAGAGATAAATGCTAAAACACTTAAAGTTAAGTTAAAATTTATAGACTTAAAAGGTACAAGAAAGGATATAAGATGTTCATTCTCAAACAAACAAACCTGGATCCGGCTGTTGCCCCAATCAGCAACGATGATGTTTCCATTGGAATCTACGGCCACTCCTGTCGGAGCATTAAACTGACCGTTCCCCTCTCCATGGGAGCCAAATTTAAACAGGAACTCCCCATCTGCATTGTACACCTGCAACAAACAGGAAAGGGAATAAGAGAATGACGCTCTATTTTGAGAAAGAGCTGAGAATAAAACACTGTCAAGAACAACAGGATACAAAGCAAATTACCACAACTACATTCAGCTGACGTTGACTTTTCCGTTTATACGTTCAGATTAATTCAGCTTTTTCCTCTTTGAAAAGTCAGATATGAACATTTTCTAACCAAACTTGAAATGCAGCTGAGCTCTCATAAAGAACATACTGTGTATAAAGCCGTACCTTGACTGAATGGTTATGAAAGTCTGTCACCACGATTTCATTTTTGTTATTAACAGCCACAAAGTGAGGACCTGGAAGCAGCAGGGGACAGAGAGAGAGAGAGGAAGAGAGAGAGAAGATGAGTCATCCTTCGCATTGCTTTACAACATACCAGAGGAAGCTTCACACTATTTTAGGACTTTCAACGAAACACACAGATATCATTAAGAGACTCAGAGGTGACAGAGGACGACACGTGAGACATGACAGAGCGGAGGCATCCACATGTTCAAAGAAACAGAGATTCATTATCTTAGTTCACAGGGGGGGTCATTACTTACTGAAAACAGGGCCAGATTTACTAAGCTTTTGTTCCAGTGCAATGTTTGCACCACTTTTGTCTAAAAGAAAGAAAAAGGTTCAAGTGAGAAATGAAACTGAAAATAAGATGCAATTCAAACTGTTTGTGCAACAAATGAAACCATAACAATAAGAGATTCTATGAATGCAGGCAAACATCACTTCTGCATCAGAGGCAGAAAGAGACATAATTCATCACATTTTCTCATGCACTAATGTGAATTATGAATATTTGCATTTTTTCAGTACAAGACCAAAAATGCAATCTGAAGAATCACCGACTGTGCGTTCATGACAACGATTAAAAAAGAAAAAACACAGATGCTCACAACTACGGAGCCCAGGAGGAGACATTAACTTGTTTTTTTAATGCGATTTAGTATATCGCACGTGTGTTTTATCATATCACAGGTGCGATTTAACTGTTTGTTAGTGAACAAAATCACCTCCTGCAAGTCCAAATATCGCAGAAGGCAAAGTCACTGTGCCTTAAGGATCCTGATGAGGTGTCTCCTACTCAAAACGATACCAAATGTGGCTAAGCTATAAATCATCTCATACCTAAATGAAAGAAAATGTTGATAATCTGCTCTCTGTCCAAAACACTGTCTTTCTTCTTCTCTCACAAAAGAGGCGAGCGGAGGATTATTTACAAAAACGCCAGCGCAATATACAAATAAAACACACGTTCAAGATGCTACACTGCACATGTGATATAATAAAACGTAAGTGCGAGATACTTAATTGCATGTGCAATTAAAAAAAATAAAAGTTAATGTGACCTCTTGGGCTCCATTATTACAGCTGAACTCTAAAGGTGTACAGAAACATGCAGATCACTTAACAATTCAACATTCCTGTGAAGTATGACACTTAATGAAATCTGTAAATCTGGCCCAAAGACATGCCCTGAAACATGAAGCGTCGCTCAGTGTGCATCTGATCTCTCCCCACAGTACCTGCGAAGTGTCGATCTGACGTCCCTCTGGCTCCAAACTTTGTCACCAGCTTCCCGTTTGATTGGAAGATGAAGACACAGCAGGCCTTATTGTCCACTGTGATGATGTGTCCGTTCTTATCCACAGCCACACCTTTGGGTCCCATTAGTCTGCCAGCACCTATTTTGTTCTGCAATAGAATGTATTTAGTGTATTAACTCACAGCAGTGTCTGTTATACATCATTTTTCTCCACATGGGAACACTCACCTTGAACTTTCCATCCGAGGAGAAGATGCTGATCCATCTGTTGTCGTAGTCGGCTACGATGATATCACCGTTCATGTCTACTGTGACCCCCGTGGGGCGCTGCAGCTGCCCTGGTGAACGACCTCTGACCCCAAACCTCATTTTAAATTGGCCGTCATTTGAGAAGACCTAAAAAAAGAGGAAACTGATTTACTCCAAAAGCAGAAGAAAAGTCTTTGCAGTTGTACTGCAGCTCCGGAGAATGAGACACCGACCTGTATGCACTGGTTGTTGCTGTCTGCCACCACAATGCGTCCGTTACTGGAGGTGGAGATGCCTTGTAGGTTTGTGAATTCTCCTTTATCCCGTCCTCTTGTTCCTGTTAAAAGACACAAGTCTGCATCAGTACCTTCCACAAGTCAAGATTTTCAACAATACTGTACTTTGCTCAAAATATCTTCTAAAATGTTTAAACTGTGAGGCTTTCAAAGTGACATTCATATGATTTGCGGTTGTGCTTCTAAAGAAAACCTCATGCAGATCTGTCTTCTGTGTCCTCAGTAAATAACAGAGACAGTCATTAATTCACCCACCCACTCTGTAGATCAGCTCGTCCTCGATGGGGTTTTCCTTCTTCTTCGTGGTGCTGTACATGCTGGAGGGCCTGCGCACAGCCTTCTGTCGAACATGACCTCCTCCTCCACTCGGGGACTTGACTCGTCTCTTCACGTCGTCTGGTGACTGCAGGACATCAGACGGCTTGACAGCACGCAACCGGAAAGGACTCCCCCTCACAGGCTGCTCGTACAGCAGCAGAGAGAAGGAGAACTCTCCCTCAGAGCGGATCGTGTATCCGACCTCATAGGTGCCGTTCTTGTTATCGATCACCTCAGCTTCAGTGCAGGCTCCATCTGCAGAAGCTATCTCTGCCCTCAGAGCAGCATTACCAGTCTTCACTAGCTCTCCATCTTTGTCTTTAGTTGTGACTGTGACTGTGGTGTGTTGGCCGACCAGCGCGTGCCGTAAGCCTTCGCCTGTGGCGACACTGGTATGACCAACAGCACCTGTGGTGATCAGGACTCCCAGGTTCTGGATGGAGCGCCTCAGTCCATCTGTCTCTACCTGGCACTCCAGGTGTCCATTTTCATGGGGCTGCTCAGGAAAGGTGTGACGCGCCAAAGCGCTGACCCGCTCCCCCATCTGCTTCTGCACCAGTAGGACCTCGGTGGCACTGCCGTGGCTCAGGGCCTGCTCGGTGAAGTTACAGCTGCTCTGGATGTTCTCTTTGCCCTGAAGCAGAGAGCTCAGCTGGGCCTGAAGCACCTAAGAAATCCAGAAGACAACTTTAAAATACATCTGGATAACTTCTCACAGGTAACTAGATAAGTGCTGTCAGTGGTGTGATGGTGGTTGTTGGTTGTAGCACATCTGCAGGAGTAGCTGTGCTTTTCCGTTGTCAATGTCTTGACCTCTGCTGCATGGATTTTGCTGTATTATTATTATCATTATTATTATTATTATTATTATTTCAATTTTATTTCTTTAATTATTTGACTTATTTGTTTGTTTATTATTTGGATTATGATGATTGTTATTGTTATTAATGCTTTTATTACATTTTCTTTTATACTGTATTATTATTGTTATTTTTTTTTAATTATTATGATTATTATTTTTTTAGGGATGTAGGTAAGAGCTGGCCTGTGGGGTTTGTTCTGGGAGGGGGCGAGTTTGGGTGAAATTTGTAGTTCTTTTGTTGTTATTGAAGTTGTGTACTGTTTATAAAAAAAGTTAATGAATAAATTGTTGAAAAAAAAGAAATCCAGAAGACAGTCAGTGATGGCTGATAAAACACGAGTATTATAGCGAATTTTCTTTCCTCCCATTAAAAGAGACGACCTCTGACCTTCTGCTTGGTGCTGCAGATGTTTTCCACTTCAGTAATGAGAGCGGTCTTGCGTTGGTGTAAGGCTTTCTCCAGCTCATCAAAAGTGTTGCTGATTTCAGTCACTGCCTCGTTTTTACGCTCCGTCAGCTGTTTAGAGATCTCATTTACAAGTTCGATGGCCTCTGTCAGCTGAGGTAGTCTGCAAGAGGAACCAAAAGACCAAAAACACAAAATAAAACTTCTATTCCGGCATTTTTCACACATTTTTGAGTTCAAAGCTCTTCGGAGTAGAAAGATGCAAACTCCTAAAAGTGTACCTGTTACGAACAGCATCCAGCTGGTTTTTCAGAGCCGACTTGTGCTGTTCCAGCACGTCCCTCAGAGGAACCGTCACATGTTCCCTGTGTTCTCCCTCTGTACACTCCAGACACATGGCTGTTTCACAAGACTCGCAGTAAAACTCCATCACCTGCAGGTGGTGCAGTGGAACAAATTACAGGTTAACGTCATGTTGCAGTGGGTAATGTGACTCATAAATCCAAAGAGATGTCCTCCATCCTTTCTTTAAGCGTACCTTGCCCTCGTGGTTTGGACAGGAGAGAGGCTGGCAGGCTGTAGCCGCACTGGCCGATTCGAGGACATTACAGGCTTCAGGTCGGCTGCACTCGGGGTCTCGCTGTAACACCTCCATCAGGTTCGTGATGAAGAAGTTGTTCTGCAGGGCTGCGACGCCCTTCTCTGGCAGAATAGAGGTCTGTCTGCATACTGGGCAGGACAGTGTTAAAGACTGGGGAGGGATGTAGTTCTGAAGACATCTAGACAAAGACAAGAGAAGAATTTAGGAAGATCCATTAACCGTAACAAGGTGCAGACTGGCTGAGAAGACAAGTATCCGGTCTTTACAGTTTAATTGGGAAGGAAAGCGGCTTAGACACACTATCATTTATCCAGAGCTTTGGAAATCTGTGCTACTTGTTAACACCATAGTCTTATAAGAATATCGTCTTTCTCTTCTTGCGGGTGAGCTCTGAGTGGTTGTTGTTAACATCATACTGAAGCCATAGTGATGAGAGAACAGCTTGAGGAGAGCGTGTAAAACTGGGACATTGCACCACTTTAATGACTCCCAGTTAATGCAAGCAGAAGGGAAGAGACAAAATAATGATGCACTAAACTATTTTTATGTCTCTTCTTGTGCCGAGTTTCTCAAATAAAGCAGATTTGTGGATTTTCCTTCTCTCACTTTCACATCTTGGATTTGAGGCTTACTTCTCACAGAAGGTGTGCAGGCAGGGCAGGACCTTCGGGTTGTGATAATGGTCCAAACAGATGCTGCAGACCAGGAACTGCTTGTCAATCTGCCGGACCACAGGGCTGGTGCTGCCGGTCTCACGCTTCGCCATAATGATGGACATTCAAATGGGGCACGGGGACCACTTAACCTGCACAGACAGGGGGGAAAGAAGAAGACAGAGGTTTAAGAAACACTCAGACAGAGCGAGGAGGAGGAGGGCGTATCCGAGCAGTATCCCTCCACATGGGCAGGGAAGAAGTGAGTCATAACGCTGCTAACATCATAAAACCTCATCACAGTCCTGCGTCTGTGAGTGTTTTATGCTCTCCCTCCTTTAAGAAACGGTGTCAGTAGGTTGAGCCTCTTTTTTCATCAAACCCCTCATAGCCAGAGGTTGTTTGACTTCATAAATAAGAATCCTAATCGAGTTAATGCTGTGGAAGAAAGATTTACTCCCCAGGGCAGAGCTCTCAGCTGTGACGAATATGCAGTCTGGGAGCCAACATGTCTGTGTTTACAGCGGTGTTTGAAGTGTACTATTTACACACACATTTGAGTACATGCTTTCATACATGCTGTGAACCGTTCACAATCCTCTTTGCCCTCCCTTTTACATGTGAGAGTTGTTTAAATTGGACGTCTGGTCATGTTTCTGTAGGATGAAATTGAATCACGGGGTCAGACACAGATTATCCGCTGACATGTTGTACATCTGTCATCTTCTACATAAAGACATGAAGGATTAGCCGGACCCCCGAACAGCATCAGTCTGTTTTATCTGTTATGAACATTTCAGCTGGTTGTGGTTAGCTTGTTTGTAATTTAACACTGGCATTTATGTTCAACTACAAACATTTTAGGCCTGTGTTTTCCATTCTTAGTGACCCTCTGAAAACCATTATCAAGGAACTGAAGCACAACAATAACAGAGCTCATCATTAGACATGAGGTCTTTGTGCTCTTCACATGGTATCGTCTTCAACCTCTGAAAACCAGAGCATAGACTGAGGTCAGATTTTCAGCTAAAACATCCTCTACTTGATTTCATAAGAGATATTCATGGACTGTTATCTTTGTGTCATTGCAGGCGTGAAAAGCTCTAAGTGGATGAAAAAGAGTGAAAATCAAATCACTACTTCAAGTCTACATTTTTTATGTACCGCATTGAGGAAGCGGTCGATGCAAACTGAGATATCACCAAGAGGAGCGTGCTTTGTTCCACCTTGACTCCTTTTGTGACTCCACCTGTTCTTGATAACACTGATTAAGACCTTCAACGCACATGCTCAGTAACTTCATCCAAAGTAAACAAACAAAAGAGGTCCAGTTGGCTGATATCTGATCTAACATCTCCTGCAGCACATCATATCAATCATACAGTCTGGAGAAGCTAAATCTACAGTGTACAAATTAAAGATTACTCCCTGTATTGATCGATGAAGAGTCATAGTTCTCAGGTTGTGAACTTTATTGAAAGTCGGGAACACACACACACACACACACACACACACACACACACACACACACACACACACACACACACACACACACACACACAAACAGTTCTTCTTCTTCTTCTTCTTGTTTTACTACAGGTGGCAACCAAAGTTAGAGGTGCATTACCGCCACCTACCATGCAGGAGTGTGAGCCAGAGGTCCCTACTACTCCTACAGGAAAATAAATTTATATTTACTTCAAACTAAATTCTGTTTATTAGTTCTGTTTGCTTTATACTCTCCTTTTCCAATACTAAATAAATTCTTAAGGTTCAACACTCTCGTTCTACTTTCCTGTAGTTTCCTTAAAAGAATTTCTCTTTAACTATTATAGTTTTGACACTTAGATATATCATGTTCCACAGTTTCATCCTCAACTCCACAGTCACACCTCCCTGTTGGAGGTTTGCCAATTACACAAACAGCTCTTGAATCACCTCTTGAAACCCCCTCTACTGCGCATGCTCATACTGCAGAACCTGTAGCCTGCAATCTCTGACCACTAAATAAGCAGCCTTAACAAGACCCTTTTATTATTGGACATTACTCTCCCTGCACAAAGAAAACTACAAACAGTGTGTATCGATACTCTGCCTGTTAATATCCAGATTTAGACATCACATGCACCAGTTTTGAGCATTCACTTGCCTCCTGACTTCCTCCGTTGAAGCTCAGAGAAAAAAGGTGAACAAAAAACCTAAAACAGGAAGTGAGCTCACCTTTAATTTGAAACCAGTTTGCATGGTGAGCAGACAAATCTGTGAGCCCATCATGTTAGATGTGTCAGGCCCCCTGCTGTGCAAACAGATTTTCTGCAGGCCTGATTCAGGTCAGGCCAATCCCAAACATGAAAACTGAATACAGAATCATGCAGAGGAAGACAAGATAACTGTGGACTTCACCATCTCTTAGCAATATCTACAAATATTTGGTTTCCAGGCTAAAAACAGTCCAGAATTTTCTGCATTTCAGCAAAAGTGTGGTTCAGATATGACTCATCATACAAAATCAGGTCCACTCATCTAAGAGGAGTCACTCTGCAACTGCGTTTCTTAATATTCACCCCACAGGAATCATCGTCCTGATCTGCTTAATCCCAAAAGTCCACACACTCCTGTTTCCTCAGAAAGCAAATGTGAACTCACCCATCTTTGTGCGTCACCGCCTTATGACTGTACAACTCCTCAGCCTCGCCTCATCTTTCATCCGCCACTCCGACAGCAGGGTTTGTAATTTTTCCTTTGAGGCTGCATCAACAGAGCTGCTCTTTCAGCCCAACCTGGGATGACTCGAACTAACTATCAGGCCCGCACATGATCCAGCAGCACTGAGAGCAGAAGCTTCCCGTTCTGCCTTCCAGCTCAGAACAGTGGCTGACAAATATAGCTGAGGGCCTCTTTTCTTTGAGAGTAAGGAGAGGAAGAGGAAGCTTGAAAACGCCACTCCCCAAATTCCTCCTAGTTCCTTCCCTTGACTCCCAGCTGGCTGAGTTCAGGCACCACCTGTCTGTCTGTGAGTGTATGTGTGTGTGTGTGTGTGTGTGTGTGAAGGGAGAACGGGGGAACTCACAGTGAACTGGGTTGCCTGTCTCACATGAGCGAGCAGACCGTGGAGGCAGCTGTCCCTGAAACACAGAGCAGCGAGCTCTAACAATGACATTCCAGCTCACAGCTCACCGCCCCACATCTCTTCACTTCCCTGCATCTCCTCTCCTTCTCTCTATTGTCCTCTCTTTTCGCTCTCCTCCCTCTCTAAACCACAGAAATGCACTCGCAGCATCAGCAGGCCTGATCTCTCAGACAGACGTCCTGCAGATGGGGATTTTCTCAGGCACGCAGGCCCCATTGTTGCTCCTTGCCAAGTGATTACAAGGCCTACTGACTAAGGAGCTCTGCCGGGCCCTTTCACTGTCCAACAACCAGCAGCCCTCCTCCTCCTCCTCCTCGGTCCTCTCTACCTCCCCCTCCTCCCATCTCCCCTCAACAGCCCTCCCCTCTTTGGACCGTTTTCCCTTTTGCATGGACTCTTACTGCAGCAGCTGAACGCTGACATCAGGAGGAAGCTTGAGGAACCAAACCTTTAAACTCCGCCCCTCTCGCTGGCTGTGCTGCCTTAAGGGTTACAACAGTCCCCCGCCTTCCCTTCCTTCCCTCCCTCCCTTCCTCCCTTCCTCTCTCCCCACTAGTTCATTCTCCCAGCAGCCTCCTCGGCTCAGTTCCTCCCACTGGCCTCACCACAGACAGATCCTTCTGTAAAATACAGTCTCTGCAGCCCTGAGTAGCCGTGCATGTGTTTATGGGTCACTGCAAACTTTATTCTGAAGACCCAAACAAAGAAAATCTGGTATAATTTTTTGCAAAGGAGAACAGAAAGCAAACAGGAGTGGCTCATTTAACATTTATCCTCCTTTTAAAACCTGTTTTGTACATCCTGCAAGTCACCTCTCAACTGCACGCCTCTGCCAACAACTCCCTGTATTTTTCATACTGACGCCAAATGTCCTTAAACTTTTATTGGCTTTTTCCTTTTCCCCTTCCTCCTCTTGTTTATGAGGTGAATACATTTCTAATAAGCTGCCGGAAACAAGACAAAGACAAAAAGAGTGCGGATGACATGATTGCAGAAATATGTGTGTGTTTAAATATTTATGAACGTATGGATTCAGCGAGCAAAACGTGGATGTGAAAACCTCAAATACTCCCAAACACTTAGAAAGGATAGAGATACTTGCGGAAGAGGATAAAGGCCAGAAGAAGAGAAAAAAATAAAATATTACAGGAGGGAGACTTTTTAATTAACTGGAGTACGTAAGAGGGAGCACATTATTCCCATCCTGGCCTCTCTCCACTGGTTACCCGTGCATTTTAGAGTTCATTTTAAGATTCTTTTACTTGTTTTTAAATCTTTAAATGGTCTGGCTCCATCTTACCTCTCTGAGCTTCTCCACCCCTACACCCCTGCTCGCTCAGTGCCTCAGGTCAGCTGATCAGCTGCTCCTGGAGGTACCGAGGTCCAAACTGAACCTCAGAGAGGATCGATCTTTTTCTGTTGCAGCCCCAAAATTATGGAACGAGCGACCCCTCCAAATCAGACAAGCCCCCACACTGTCCATTTTTAAAACTCATCTTAAAACCCATTTTTATTCTTTGGCTTTCAACCCTGCATGAGGCTCCTGTTTTAGTGTTTCATGGTTTGTTTTTAGTTATTTGTTTCTATGTTTTTAAATCAGTTTTTAAAAACATTGAAACTATATTTTTCTTTTTAATTCTGCTTTTATTTTATCCATTGTTTTAATTGTTACAGCTGTGGTTGTTTTAAAGTGCTTTACTAATAATGAGTAATGACTTTATTCTCGTAAATTAACGACTTTAATCTCAAAGTCTTACCTTTTTATCTTAATGTGGCCCTAATACTCCGTCATAGATACTGGTCTCATATGTATAAATCTCTATCTGTAGTATATAGCTATAATAGAGGACATTTTAGGCTGGGGGTTTCTGCAGGGAAGAGAACATGTCTCTGTTAATGTTCCACCATTTCGAACATAAAAAATACAGTAAAAAAATTCAGCTTACAAGCCTTCCTAGTGCACTTTCAAGTCATTCAACGATACGTGAATAATAATAATAAAATCCTGCAGCTAAAAAAAGCTGAGGTAAGTTATAGGTTGAGTTACAAAAATAGCTCAGATAGAAATATAAGACATGCATTTACAGTGACAGCAGTGCAGACTGTGGAGACCTAGATCTGCAGCACACTGTGATGTTTGAAGCAGCATGTGACGAGATCCTCTTCAGGAACTGCATGATCAGCACTTCATACAGCCCAGTTATCAAAGTCAGTGTTTTTTTTCTCCTCCTCCTGTGCTGTATCTCTACCACACGAAAGCGTGTCACCTGAGGACAAACCGCCGAGTGCAAATGTTTGTAAACTCCACCAAGCATCTCTTTCCACTCTCACCCTGAATTACGCCTAAGTAGCTTAATGCCCTCCTGCAGGGTCTGGCCCCGTCTGCCATCAGGATTACTGCCACTATGACTCCCAGACTAATATTACACCATCACGCCTAGACTAACTAAGTCGTAAATGAAGCTAACACTCCGAATAACCGCACATAAACCCTGTCTTACACGTATGACTTGTGGCAGTAATGGCTCGTCCACAGACTCGGTCATCAGATCAGATTCCAGACTTAAGGTGAGTTGTTTATGTGTTCAACATGAGCATCTCTGTGACTATGACTGTTTTAAATGGATTTCAGCAACATGACCTCAAATTTACATCGATCTGGACTTAATCTATTTTATTTCCATCACGAGGACAGGTACAGCGCTCATCCACGCTCTCTAACCCTCCTACAAACTAGTGCTGCTTGTTCAGTTGTTTCTGTTTGTGCAAAATCGTCACTCTCAAACAAAACAGCAACCATTTCTGTCTCCAGTGAATTTCTCCGCTTAGTGAAAGAGAAAGACGTTTGACTAATGGATGACAGCGGTGATGTTATCTTTAGAGGATGAGAAAATGTCCCACTTAAAATTACTCAAAACTCTGACTGAACAGACGATCCAGTTCTCTCTCACCCACAGCTCTTTAATAATTTAATAGAACTATTACGTAACGGTCTGTGGAAAGACCCTACGAGTTATGACCTCTGCTGTAAGCCAGGCGACTCAAAAAGTGTCAAGAAAACTAGAACAAGATTAGATTTGAAGATTTCCAAGATTGAAAGTATTCTGTCTGTATTTTAAGTCGTATTTTTAAGACCAAATAAATCCTCAAGATGGAATTCACTTCTTTAAAACTGTTTAATTTGGCTGACACAGACAGATCAGTAAAGATCTTGAAAACTCAACATCTTTCCTCAGTGTTTTGGGTTTACTAGTTATTTTAAACCATTAATTCAATATCATTCAGCATGTTTTCTGCTTTCTCTTCTCTTCAAAATTACATTAAAAATCTGAAACTGCAGGAACAAGCTCTATTCCACTGTTGTTTACTGTATGTTTAATAAAATGTAACCCCGGTCTTATGATTCCACTGAAGGCTGAATAATGACATGAGAGGCTCAGTGGAAAACCGTCTGGCGTCTTTGAAGCGAAATGAAGTTAGTAGATAGTTAATATCACTCCCTGACTCGCTGTGACGGCTCCAGATTCCAGGATGTTTGCACTCCAAAGGCCATAAAAAGGATTTTCCCTTCCACTCCTCTTTGCCTGTTTGATTAACAACTTCAACCTCATTTCTTCAAACTGTATGAGGCAAAACAAGCCAGCCTTTCACACTGCCCTATCTGTGTACCTGAGTTAGAACATATGAAATACTATCTGACTGTATTTCTGTCCTCTACCCTGATAAATCTGCAGTGTCTGAGACTTCAGACCAAAGAGAGAGTCCCAGAAGTTTATCTGAGCCGTCAGCTCATAAACAGTGGTTAGCGTCTCAGTGACCTGAAGTAGGAAATGTTGGCCGGTGACAATATTCTGTCGAGATTGTGTCTAAAAATAGAGAGTAGTTTATGTTTCCATGCACATCTGTTGTGTCTCTGCACATGCATCATGAGGGATTGTTCCTGTGTAAACGCAGCCGAGCAGCAATCAACATTTCTGATAGATTTAGCAGGACAGAAATAATGTATTTCAATTCAAATAGGGAGGAAAATAACTTTGAACTTAAGACCTGAGAAAATCGAACTCTGCACACCGTTTTCAGTGAGGTTGCCCCGCTCTATAGTATGATGACTCATCAATCATTATTCAGACAACTCAAAAACCCCTGATCTAGGGCTGGGCGATAAACCGAAAATTTACCGATACCGAAATTTATGACATGAACCGACATCATTTTGCCCATATCGGTAAATTCAGTGTCAAATAAATAAATAAATAAATAAAAGTTGGTTTTGGATGTGTGGAGGTAGGCTATGGTCTCATGTCTCTTTAAGACGATGCCCCACGTCAGACACGTGACTCCACCCCATCCAGTCCGTAACAAAGAGGGAAGACAGGTGAGGAGATGGAGGACGGTTCAAAAGTTGTTGCGGCGGCTAAAGTAGACCAAGTTAATGTGGGAGCAGCTTGTGGAGTAGTTATCATCCATTTATCGTTATCGAGGTGAACTGCTCAATATATCGTGATATTGATTTGAGGCCATATCGACCAGTCCTATTTAGGAGGTATGTAGATTCCGATGAAAAAATAGCGAACAAAATAACTTTAAACTTATGCAAAACCTGAGAAAATCCAACTCTGCACTCTGTTTTCAGTGAGGTTGCCCCACTCTATAGTATGATGACTCATCAATCATTATTCAGACAACTCAAAAACCCCTGCTGCTCCTCGAACTAACAAGCTCCCCTCACACCTCACTGCATCACATGAAGGATTCTGGTCTTCATGCTTCAGTCTGAGTCTGAGAAGTTATGTTAAAAATAACACACTCAGCATATAAACAACTTTGACTGCCATGCTCTTTTGTTTTGATGTTACTCATCTGACCAAATTCTGGGCTCAAAGCTGCATTATTTGGTATATGTAGCTGAGTATGATGCATAGGAATACACCACCAACAGTTGCTGAATCTCCAAAGAGCATACTACAAAAACAGCCCTCATTCCTCAGCATACTATCCTTGACCCGACTGTTACAGCTCTCCTTCTTCTGCCTTTGTCCCCAGACTGATCAGATCTGACAGCTAATGAGCGGAGAGGGGAGAAAGTGACCACATCATGTACACTACAGTAGTCAGCAGAATTTTTAATCAACAGTGACACAGACACAAAAAAAAAACGAGTCAGGGGGACATCTGTCTCTATCCCCCGTGAGCCCACTTCCACAAAGGCTGGTGGGAGACAATGCGGCATGCAGGCAGTGTGTCTGCAGACACAACATGCACTGCAGATTTATTAAAGGTCGATCAGTGCACCAGCACAGGTCCCCCCCGAGAGCCTCCTCCACCTGCAGTCAGAGCCACACATCGGCTGTGCTGTCTTGCATTGAGATTCAGACGATCACATGAGGTCTTGTACATGTTGTCCTGTGCAGATACCAATCAGCCAATCAATCTTCAGTGATGTAGCACCAGCGTTATCTCAAGAGACTTTACTGGGAGAGCAGGTCCAGACCAAACACACATAATTTCCTCATCTTGCGTTGCGCTATTTTGCAGATAATGATCAGTGTGCGGTGTAAATAATTAATCTGTACAAGGTGTCGTTCAGAAGTTATGATGAGCTGTATGTGATTTTGGCAGGAAAACAAGCAACACAAGTTTAGTATGAGAAAACAGATATCAAGAGTGAATGGTCTCTGAGGGGAGAGTATCATTAAAACAGCTGGGATTTATGCTCCATGCTTTGGGACACAATATGCTGAACCATCTGTTTTTTCTTTGAATACAGACAATCCTGAGTGTCACACATAAGGAATCATTAACCTGAACATCTCCGGGATGGAATTGACGGCTATCTCCTGTTGAGTTTTCATCCCAGACTTTGATGTGACTGCATGAGGTTGTATCTGATGATTAGGACTCCCTGAAAAGTGCATTATGTGGTGTAAAATGCTGACTTTAATGGAAATGAACGGCCTCAAAGAAGTGGTTCGGGCAATTCAATTTAGAAAGAGGGCACTTTCACAGCCTGGTGATTGGCTTTGATCAAGAGCGGCACCTCATACATTTAAATGAACCTTATTGATCAACCCTCATCATCTGAAGGAGGGTCAGACGTTTAGGGAGTTTTTTTAAAGTCACTCAGAGAAGACCATCTTAAATTTTGTAGACAAGACAAATGAATAATTGACAGAAATACTGAAATCAGTTATATTTGATGTTGACTGTTTCATTTTGGTGCAATTAGGAGGTAAATACGTATAAACTGTGTATATCTTCATCACTGTAACATGCCTGTATTCATAGCTCCAAAGATGAGGTATTAAAATAAAAACAGTATGCTAACACAAACTCTAATATTCTTGACTAAGACACAGGGCTCTTGTGCACACACTGACTGATACTGTGAGACATGTAACCACTGCTAAGTATCTGCCCTCAGGCTCAGCATCCAAGAGTGTCTGCAGCCTCCCAGTGACCCAGAGCAGACAGTCTACAGGGTAAAACCAGCTCAACATGTCATTCTAACAAAGATGAGCCATCTCACACAAAAACTGAGAATATCATCTACTCTCAGACTAGGCCAGAGGTATACCAAAATGATGCATTGGCTGCTGTTGCTGCAGTACAATGCAACACAGAGACTCACAAGGATGAGAAAACAACACGCTGATTCACATGTGGCTCACATAGCCTCCCGGCAAAACAGCCATTACAGATTCAGATCAGAAAACTGGTGAGAGATCACTAATCCTCTGAACAAAAGAGCATGTATGCTTGATTACAGAGCCCAGCCCTCAGACTGCAGCACAGATGCCCACCTGCCACAGAGAGAGCCGGCAGCCAGGCCCGCCTAGGAGCTAAAATGGAGAAGTGTGTGGGCTGGTTGAGGAGGCATGAAAGAATCACAGCAGTTTTAGAGCAACAGTTGCTCTTAAATGAACCTGGACTCTTTGAATTCTGGTTTAAATGACAAATAAAGACAATAAATGTCTGCACAAAACAGAGGGGGATTACTGTTAATAAGTACAGAACCTTTGGGATTTACTGATGCACAGATGCTGGAAGAGGTGGAGTAATCAATAATTCATCTGTTCCCATTCTAGTCATTGTATTATTTAGGGTTCCCCCCCAAAATCCACACAGACAGGATGAGAAAGCAGAAATACGACACCATAAAAAAGAAGTGAAAGAGCAGAGTGTACTCACATGAATTCCCGACAGGAGGGAGGAGAGGTGTCAGCATTGCAGGCCGAGAGAGAGAAAGCTTCCCATTGTCAGAGAGCGTCCCAGTCCTCCACAACACAATCCACAGCAGACCGGGCGACAGAAAGGAAAGGGCAGGGTCTGTCTGGGAGAAGAAGGGACAGTAAGGAAGAGGAGAAGGGAAAGGAGGAGGTGAGGGGAGAGGCTTTCATGCAGCATTGGTCAGATGTCTGAGGGGAGGAGCTAAAGAGCCCAATGGTTTACAGAGGGGGGAGGGGAATATGCAAATGAGCTGAAATCTCAGGAACTGACTGAGAGGAAACAGGCCGTCTGCTGCAAAAGGGTTTGACTAGCTTTAAAACCGCCCAGTTCCCTTAAAAGGACAAAGGATGGAGCAGCTCATTTCCTCAAAGCTTCACATTATTAGAAAAAAAAAAACAATTATTAACCTGTGAGGAGAAGAAAAGAAAAGGGAAAAACACAGCATAGATATTTGTACTGTACTCTCTGAGTGACTGTGCATCATGTGGTCAGAGTTTTTGCCTTTTTACAGTAATCAGAGGAATTGCTGACTACTATGTGGAGATATTCAGAATCAGGATCAGAAATACTTTAATAATCCCCAGGGGAAATTGCTTTTTGTCACAATAACTCCAGTGCAATAAGTAGAAAGAGGAGAGAAAATAAGTAAAATAGGTCAAAGATAATATACAAGTATGTACACTACATACAACACAAAAGTGTTGTTGTTGTTGTTACAAGTGTTCTGTTCTACACCACAGTCTGCTGGGGTGGAAGCATCAAACACAAAGATGCAAGACGTCTTAACAAACTGGTGAAAAAGGCTGGCTCTGTGGTAGGACCCAAGCTGGACTCAGCGGAGGATGTGGTGGAGAGATCTACACTGAGGAAGGTGGAGACTGTTCTAAAGAACATGGATCACCCACTTCACAACACCTTCATGGACCAAAGGGCCGATGGTGGTGGGCAGCTCCTCTCTCTTCACTGCAGGACAGAAAGATTCAGAAGATCTTTTGTACCAACAGCCATCAGACTTTATAACTCTTGTGTTAATAGTAGATGACTTTTTTGGAGACATATTATGTGAGACAACAGACAATTGAATTTCCCTTCGGGCATGGATAAAGTTATTCTTATTCTTTTATCAAAAATAGTAAAGTAGCATGCATGTAAACAGTAAACAGAGTCTAGGTAAGACTCCTGACTGAGGGTGTCAGTCTTCTGCCGAAAGTTCTCCTTTCTAGGACCAGTTCACTGTGGAGAGGGTGGGAGACATCGTCCAGTATGGAGTGGAGCTTGGACAGGATCCACCTCTCTGACACGGCCAGCAGGGAGTCCAGCTCCACCCCCTACAACATCACCGGCCTTGTCTGTGGAGATATTTAAGGCAGGAGGATGACTCTGTCCTGCTCTGCTGTGGTTTTTTATTTTGTTATTTGAGTGGGGTCAGGTGGTGGTACAGGGGTCAGAGTCAGAACCCTGTTAAAGTCACTCAAGATATTGTTAAAAGGAAGTTTTTCCTCGGCACTGTCGCTCGTGTTAGATGAGATGGGCCAAATCCCACCTTAGGTTGGGTCTTGATAATTCATCAAACAATGAGCGTGGTCTAGACCTGCTCTTTTTCTTTGGAAAGCATCTCGGGATGACGACTGCTGTGAATTGGTGCTATATAAATACAATTTGATTGATTGATTGATCTTAGATACTATAATGTAAAAGCTTTAAGTAGCTGAGAAAAATGATGAAAAGAGAAGAGGCTGCAGATACTTTGGATCAGTGGGTGTATTTGTAGGATAGAGGGGGATGGGCAGGTATAGATGCTCAAGGTAAAAACCTAATGAGAGAGAAAAGAAAGAGAGAAAGGGAGAAAAAGAGACGCCACTGTAATGTAATGTGGATGCACTGAGGCTGCTGAGGTGCTGCAGGCGATGGGGAGTTTGTTGGGGGGTGGGGCTTTGGGTGAGAGGCAAACACAGTCATCTCTGGGTTTTATTCTGCAATGTGGAGTTGCTATGGCAACTGCTTCCATCGTAGTTAAGGCAAGATGGCTGCTGCAGTCTGGCAGCAGCAGCAGCAGCAGCAGTGAGCAGGTCACACGACAAACACACACACACACACACACACACACACACACACACACACACTGTAGGTACCTCTCACTGCTGAGATAAGGACCCACTTATAACGCTGGAGGTCCGATTTTCTCATCACACATGACTGATGGATCTGTTTTTTTTTTTTTAACAAAATAAGAAATAATAAAATGAAAAAATCTCATGTAAAATCCACTACATGTTATTGCATTTCAGTTAAAGATACTAACTCGACAGCTGGTGCCAAGTTAATGGATCCTCCATGTCTAAGTTATTAAAGATTTATATTTTTCATTTTTCGCCCATTTGACCTCTCACTGTTGCACTGGCACCTTAAAATAGTTAAAAGTCACTAATATGATCCTGCAATTAAAGACATGTGATGACCTTAGAGAGAGAAAGTCCTAAAACAACAGTTCACCCACTGATGTCTTTGAGTTTTTCACCTTTATACATGCTTTAATATCAGACATTACAGTGATCAAACGGACAAGGTTAAACAGCAAATCTCATAGTTTTATACATATTAATCAGTCTACTGATTGGCTTTACTGTAAATAAGAAAAACAGTTTGATATTGCACAAATTAGGGACAATACTATTTATTTCAATGTAATGTCAGAACCGTCCATCTCCACCGTAAAAGCAGTTACTCATAAGAAATAAAACATAAAATCAAACAAAAAGTCTTTTTTGTTCTCTCATTTTTCAAACTTTAGTCAGTCAGCTGGACAAAGTCCTAAAATCTAATCACTGTAACTCTTCTTAACAGCTCAGAGGTGCCAGTAGGTCAGCTTACATTCTCAACTCCTTCTCTTGGCACAAATCGTGGCCTCGCTGACCCGTGTGGAGCCTGATGAATGGTCGGGTTCGCCGCCACAGACTGTGTGTCGGTGTAAATTTAGGGGAAGCTGTTTTCTTTCCATCGAGTAAGCCACTAGGTGTTGGGCTTTTACCGCCGTAATCTTTTCTCGAGTTAATACCCTTCACTTTGCCACTTTGAGTCTGTGGTTCAGCTCTGCCCACACACACAGACTGTCTTTGTAACACTGACCCATTTAAGCTCAAAACAATGGCTGGATTGAGTAAGAGCCTGAAAGCATCCACAACTTGATTGTGTGACATTAACAAAGAAAATAAATACAACAACAGAGCAAAAAAAAAGGATCTCTATAATCAATTCAGGCATACAAAGCACAACTAAGACATTTATCAAAGTATAAAAAATAAAAATCAATCCATGACTCTAAAATAACTTTCATTTCTCTTTTCTCTCTTACTCTCATGATAAACATTCATTTACTTTCTTTCTACTTTCTGTAAAAGTGTCAATTTAAATCCAGACAAAGAGCACACTGTCAGTACAACCCGTTTAGTCAATGGAGGAAAACAGTGCTGATATAAATAAACTTTAAATATGTACAATACTAAATAAAAATGTGCAGTAGTGAGTTTGCCCATTGTTCTGTTTACTCGACAGTGTGAAAAATGCCTGGAGATAAACAACACCCCCTTTTTTCCGGTCTACATTACTGTCACGTTCTGCCATCTAGTGGTAACATGCAAAGAGGACTTTCTACAAAAACAACTTCCTCTCCTCTCTTTCCTTAAACTGTCCATCATCCCTCAATTAAAATTAAAAGCCTCCCTGACTTGAAATGTTTAAAAGTCTATACACTCGATTCGTTGTCCTTCTGGACGGTCTCCTTGCTGGTGGGCGGTTTGCTTATATCTCCGAGACGTTTAAAAAAGTTATAAAAGAATCCAGAGTTGTCAGTCTTAATCCATGAACTCCTAGGGGGAATATTTTCAATATTTTTCTGTGCATGACTGTCTCCGGCCTCCACTGATTTTACAATATGGGATTTTTCTCCTTGCCCTTCCTCGGGGGCGACAGAAACGTTTGGCGAGCTTTTCTTTGCTGCAGATGGAGGATTCTGATCCTGATCACCTGATTTTTCCTGAGACAGGTCAGGAAAGTCAAACACTTGTTTTGAGTTATTGTGTCCAGCACTCTCTGCAGCTGCTGGCTCTCCCTCTTTGTTTGCAGATTGAGGAGTTCTTAATGGAGACAGAGGCAACAGATTGTCTTCGTTTTCTTCCGTTTTCGGCACTTTGGAAGGCAGAGTGTGGCGACGTCCAAGGTTACGTTTAGAAGAGGGTTGAGGATTGAGTAAAAACCGAACCAAGTCCTCGTTTGTTGGATCTCCAGGATACCTCTCTGTCTCCTCGTCAAAAGTATGCTGACGAATCAATTTGGTACCGGGAGATTTCTGGTTTTCTAAAGAAAATTCTCCAGATGAAACGCTGCTGCGGCTTTTCTGAAAGCGCAAAACTTTTCTAGATGCTTCCCTTAACTTTTGGGCCTCTTCCTCGTTATTGTCATGTAGATCTTCATCTTCGTCTGTGGTTGCTGAGAAAGTTCTGGTCGAGGATGAAACACTGGTGGTCCTACTGGGTGGAGGTAATAAATCCTTAGATTCCCTCTTTTTGGATGGTACCATCTCCTCTTCAGAAGGAATGACACTTTTTTCCTTCTGCTCCTCGTGAACAGGTGGAGTTTTCTTGGGTTTGGGGGTCTCTGTGAGTTCATGAGCTGAGTTCCACTCCTTCTTGCTCATCTCCTGCACTCTCAGAAGTTGTCCTTTCTTTAGGTTTTCAGGGGGAAGGTTAGCCTGGGAGGTGATTTCTGTTAGGCTCCCGTTGATAGGGCTGCCTGTTAGGGGGCTTCCATGCATGGATGAGGGTCTTCCACTTCTCCTCCTGGACACACGTTTAGTTAAGAAGGTCTGCAGTATCGACTCTAACGCGACTCCCTCCATTTCTTTGTCCCTGCTGGAACAGGTAGCTGTGGACCTGCGCTTGGCAGCACACTGCAGTCTGTCTCTCTGCCTCCGCTGCACCTCTGCCATCTCCCTCGCCCTGTTTTCCTGCAGAAAAATCACATAATTAGTCGATCATACCTTGACCTCGCCTAAGACGAACATGCCAGTACAAATGCTCACCTGCATGGCTCGCCTAAACCTCTCACAGAAGGAGCTGAAGATTGAACAGCACTCCTCTAGTTTGAACTTGTTTGGATCTTCACAGAAGTACTCAGCCACAGAGTCACTCACAGCCTGCAGTTCTTCAAGATCAGCCTCCATTTCTTCCAGGCAGGCCTCAGCCTCCTAAACGGAGCCCAAATGAAAACATTAAAATATATACTCCTGAGAGAAATTCACCGAAATGTTGCTGAATTGTCCAGGAAAAGGCTTCTCACCTTCAGGAAATTCTCCATCTGTGCCTTTAAATCTTCCTGCTTCGACGTGTCCGCTTTGGCTTTCTGTACTTTTTGGACCTGCTTTCGAAACTCTGCTTCAATGTCACCTTTATTTAATCTGAAAGACAAAAATGAGAGGACTCTGATGATACAGAAACTAAAAAAGAAACTACAAAATTCAGAGTATCTATAAAAGGAGGTTGCTTACCTTGCTGCAGCTTCAATATGTTGGAGTTGATCTGAAAATGTAAGCAGAGCCATGTCTGCTTTCTGAGCTTGCTGTGGTGAAGAGGGAAGGTTGTATGAAAACTGGAGCTCACAGGAATGACTCATAAATCAGAAAAAGTGACTTTTAACTGAAATCAAACCAAAAATAATTACAGCTACTTGCCATTACAACATAATGCATCAGATTCATTCCTGGTTTGTTCGCCTTGGTGTCCGCCAACTTCAACAGAGAAGCCATCCTGAAGCCAACCGCGCTCCCTGCATAACCGCCCTGTTAGAAAATAAATCAAATGAGTCCAAACGCTGAGAAATATCTCAGAAGACTCTGTTTTCAGCATTTGGGTCAAACACTCACAGCATTCATGTAGTTTCCAGTCTTCAGCACCAGGCGAATGACAGAATGTAGATGATCAGACTCCAACAGCTCTGTTAGAAGAAGAAAACATACAAGATTCAACTTTTTCAAACCCATTTTTGGTTAAAATCTGAGATGGTTTATTGAGGAAAATAGGGCTGGGCGATAAACCGAAAATTTACCGATACCGAAATGTATAATAATAACCAATGTCATTTTGCCCATGTCAATATATTCTGTGTCAAAAAAAAAAAAATTTTTTTAAGTTGGTTTTGGATGTCTCATGTTCTTTTAAGACGTAACTCCACCCATCCAGTCCGTAACAAAGAGGAAAAGACAGGTGAGGAGATGGAGGACAGCTCAAAAGTTGGAGCGGCTGAGGTAGACAAAGTTAATGTGGGAGGGGGTGAGCAGCTTGTGGAGTAGTTATCGTCCATTTATCGTTATCGAGGTGAACTGCTCAATGTATCGTAATATTGATTTGAGGCCATATCGCCCAGCCCTAGAGGAAAGAAGCAATACCTGTCCCAGCTGCTGTCAAGGTGTTGATGTACTCTTTCAATTCATCCATGAGAGGGAAAAACTCCTCTTTGAGTACCAACCCGTTCAGACGCTCTTCATATCTAACAGACAAGAGATTTTCATTTTAATGAACCTTCCTCTAAAATTTGACATTTACAGTGAATGACTTTAAGGTAGCTCACTCACCTGGATGTCTTGACCAACATTAGCATGAAAAGATCTGCTTCTGGGAGAGCCGAGGTGTCACCCTTAAAACCATTCAGCTGCTTCACCTGCGATTATTAAGGAGTGTTATTCTTGTTTACTGTTGCTTTTAGAGGAAGGAGTATGAGACATTAATGGGACACACTGCCCTCATTAAAACAATAAATAAAGCAGCTGACAGAGTACCTCCCCTTCTTCCGGCAGCAGCTTGCACAACTCCCTCAGCTTTCCAGGACCAAAACTGTGATTACTTCCTGATTTAATATCTTCGATCATGTCTTGTACAGGCCTGTGGAGAGAGGTGAACAGACAGATGTGTCAACAATTATCCTTTCTTGTTTTCTCTCCATGAAGCATGCGCTGGGATGTGTCAATATTCAGAACACATTATTGCATAGTTAAAAAGTTTTGCCGAAGCACAAACAAGCCTCTACCTGCTGACATAGTGTTGAGAAACAGCGGCCTGTCTGATGTAAATGGTCAGAAAAAACACAGCACAGGCCTGAAGAATGATTGACTATCTATATTCAATTTCAACTGTTTTTAAATTTGTCAGTCGGAGGCCATATTTCACAGCTGTGTATATTTTCCATTTCTTGTTAGATCTGTTACACATGCCAAACAGCCTGAGGCAACACATTTACAATAGCTCCTCGACAAATATTCTGCTAGTTGCTACAGTGAGGTAACCTGTCGGAGCTGTAGGACAGTGTACATCAGACCTGTTGGGACATGTCGACTTTCACGAGGTAGCAGTCATGTTGCACACTCATCTGTCTGCTTCATCCTGTGCTGCTTTAACACCAGGAGCATGGCCGGGATTGTGCAAAAATACAATCACACCTCAGGAATACTGACAATGACTCACCGCTTGAATTGCTTCAGGAAAATTCCTACGTTCATGCTCCTCTTGGAGTTGAGGATGGTAACCTGGGAGTGGACACACACATACACAAAGAAAAAAAACAGGATTGTAATCAGCTTGTCAAGATAATTTTACTATTGGCCTGATCAGAGAGTCGTCTGTGTCAATGCTTTCCACACAGAACAAAGGTTGAGGATTCTTTGAGTTGATTGTATTGAACAGTCAGTGAAAAGATACCTCATTTTGTCTCTTATTTTGTCTCTTGGAAAGGGGGACATAGGTCAAAGTAAAAGTTTTGTAACCCACAAGGAACCTATAGAGGGATAGTTATAAATAGACGTGCAGAAAAACGCCTTTGTTTGTGATTGTTCCTGGTGAGACCGGCCTCTAAATTCAGGGCAAGAATCCAGGTTTTATATATACAATAAGCTGACTAAGGATTACAAATAAGAACGGTGAGCTGCAGTAGAAAAATAGAGCTGTATGAGAACACAATTACACCTTCCTTAAGCAAACAGATCACAGGAAAGGAGACTCCACCCTTGTATTGAATGATGATCAAAACACTGAGTTTCTAAGAGACACATTACGTTATACCTGCAATGACTATTTTTGTTATACAATAGATAAATAATTTGTTTTGCCTCACTTAGAAGCGAGGACCAGGCTTGATAAAGAAGCTTTCTTTTTTCAACCCATCCCCTCTGATGTTTAACAAGACACTTTGAGTTCCTGCAGTGTTTTTTTTTAATTATAGGGAAACATGAATAAGCCTGAGCAACATGCTTCCTGTCATTACACAACAAAATAAAAAACATAGGATTGCAGGTTATTGCTACAGAGCCTTGGTGTTAGTGTGCAACTCTGATGCAGCACCTGTGTCCTCAGACTGGCTGTACTCACAATTTCTCCTCCTGAGGCAGAATTAGGAAGACCTCTCAGACTCTGGCGGTTCAAGGCCTTGATTTGTTGCTGGCCCTGCTTGCGGCTGAACAGTTCCTCCATGCGATCCGTGTCCAGCTCGTATTCTCCGTCTGTTTTATCTGCTGTCCAGATGTTGTGCTTTCCCAGCACGCTCTGTTTGGGAAGGGTCTCCCAGTTAAAATTACGCATCCTGGAGCTCCTACGCCCCCCGTTTCCGAAGCCATGGAAGGATGAAGGGAGGCCTGGAGGAGGTGGTGGTGGTGGGATACCTGGAAAAGGTGGAGGTGGTGGAGGAGGTGGGACACCGGGAAGAGGTGGTGGAGGTGGAGGAGCAGGGACACATGGAGGAGGAGGTGGTGGTGGAGGTGGAGGAGCAGGGACACATGGAGGAGGAGGTGGTGCTGGAGGTGGAGGAGCAGGGATACATGGAGGAGGAGGAGGTGGAGGAGATGGTGAAGCAGGAGGACCTTCTGGTTGCATCTTATATCCAGAAGCTGTTAGCGAGTTTGGGATAATGTCATGGTCTCAGTCCGCCATAGAGGCTCTTCCAAAGTCCATGAAGAATTTGCAAACTCGATGACTGTTCTGTTTCAGTGTGATTGTCTTGCAGTAGTTCTGATGGAGGGACCATCCACAGTGTTGTCAGACAGGATGATTTATTCAAACTGAAAGAAAACACAACAGGGTGTAGACGGTGAAAAAGAACCACATGTACACAATGACTGTAAACAACAGTGTTGAGCAGAAAATGAAGCTGTTTTCACTCAGAACCCCAATAACAATCAAAAACTTATAGGGGAGAGTGGGGTAAGATGAGCCATTTTTCATACTTGGGATCACTACATCAAGGCAATCACAGTTTTGTCTCTAACTAGTGTATCTGTATATATTTCAGGGTGTTGTTCATCCCTGCAAACCAACAGAATGAGTGTAAACAGAACTGTCTTGATAATATAACATGCCAAAAAAAAGTGGTCTCATCCCCATACTCCTTTACTTTCTCAGTTGAGCTACTGGCTTGACTTACCCCAGAACTACTATTATGACTTGATTAGTCCTCTAAGCTAAAATGGTGGACTTTTATGTTATGTTTTGACCTCATGTTGTGGCTCATAGATACCACAACTGATATCTAAAACAAATTTAAAATGATCTTTTTTGGTCTGAACACAATTCTAATAAAACTTATGACAGACTAAGTTCACTTCAAGAATGAAAAATGTTTTTTAAATAAATGTCTAACCCCTTCATCCATGTGCTTCTAACCTTCACAGACTCCATGAATTGATGTCCATCTCCTAAATATTTGGTCACATGAGCAATTTCTTTTACCATGTCCAAGCATCAGGGGGTGGCTCAACTTACCCCACTCTCCCCTAAAACCTGAACTTTGTTGGCATACTTTGGAAATTACTCTACATCAAAGTATTTAACATTTATAAAAGGATTCATAAAGGTAAGATTTCTTTAAATTACTGATTAACTTAGCTCAGATGACTGTTACTCTAGAGAGTTAGTTTGGTTTGGTGCATTAGTTCATAATAACCGATTTAACTGACGCATATAAACTTGTTGAGGCTTGGCGTTTTAATCAGTAATCCCTGCACAGATCCCTCAGTCTGCTCCGTTTGTGTCGTTACGTTATTATCAAGTTTACCTGAAAGAAAAAAAGATGAACATACCTTTGTTTTTGCTTAACATGCTCTCAAAGTATCCGTGTTTTCTTCCCTCCGTCGTCTCGTTGAAACTTCAACATCCAAAGAGAAAGACTGACATCGACCTGGACGGGACAGGAAGAGAGTGTCGAAACTCCCTTCGTGAGCTCGACAACGACACGCCCAGGTAACTGATTAATGTCCCTGAAGTCCACACCTTCACGGCAGCGGGATGAATGTGGGAAGAAGTGGTGTGGACCTGCTGGCTGGAGTTTGTGGTTGTCGCTGTGTTTTCTGTCCTGCTGTCATGAACTTAGACTATGTGATGAGTCCACTGGGTTTATAGACTCCTCCAGCAGCGTGACTGATAAAGAGGGAGAGGATTGATCGGTTCAAAAGCTCAGCTTTCACCATCAACCTGAGAGAAAAATACACATTTATCCAGCCGTTATATTAATAATTTAAAAACTGGAGAGCCCAATTTTAGTTTTGTTAGCTTAAATATAATTATTATTAAGCAGAAAAAGTAAAACACTGGGCTAGAGACTATTAAAGGGATATTCCGGCTTAAAATGTGTGTGTTTTTCTCTGTTTCATTCACTACAAAGCTAGAAGCCTACGGATCAAATAGTACGTTTGACCCGTAGGCTACTTCCGACAAGCTAATGTTAGCATTAGCTTGACCGAGATTCGATGTGCATTTCAGACTGTCATGGAGAATAGATAGGGAAAAATGTCATAAATTTAGCCTGTCACATTGACATTTATTTCAAATTCAAGACAATTGTTTTGTTAATTACTAAAAAAAATATGTGATTCACGTTTGATACTCGATCATGACGTTGATCCATTCGAACCGATAACTTTCGAAAAAGGAGCAGCGATTAAAAAGAGGGTTAGGGATCTGTCATGCAATGACCTACTCCGTCCAGCAGGGGCGCAACGAGGGTTCCTTGTTTGTACGGAGACCTCAAGCAGGTCCATTCCGGACTGCTGCTGGGTGACGCAGCTCAAGGAAGAACATTTATGACCATTTCTTTATGGAAATGCAATCAGACCGAGACGCTAAGACAGAAGAGCTACCGCGTCTGCAGTGCAAAATTATTAATATGATGATCATTACTTTAAGGAAATTATAAAGTGATGATCATAAATGTTCTTCCTTGAGCTGCGTCACCCCGTTGTAGTCCTTAATGGACTGGCCTGAGGTCTCGCTACAAACAAGCGGCTGCTGGAAGAAAGTAGGTGAGTTGTGTTTAGCCTCTTTGCTAAAGAAATTAGTCAAAGTTAAAAAGATGTTTGATGGCTAGGACCCTATATGTACTTTTGATGAAGTTAGGTTCTGTTCTGAGCATTATTTGTGGCTATAGAGTGGCGTTTTGGTTGAGGTTTGTTTATGGCTACTCAGGCCGCTGCGTATTGCTATCCTGTGGTTGTTGCTAAAGTTGGTATAACTAGAGAAGCAAGCGGTCTGCATTAGTCATCTCTCGTGGGGGTGTCTTACTCGGCTTTACAGTGTGTTTGACCCTAAATTAATTTTACGCCAGGATATCCCTTTAAGCTTGTTTGAAACTGCTTGTTTGTCACATGTAGAAGATTTATTGTCTGTTAGCCTGTCCCCCTCAGCTCTGCAGGCCAAATGATAAGCCTCTAACATGACAGATTTATTATGTTTCTTACATTTATATGCAAACTGATGTTATACTTTTAATTTCTTTGATAACTTTGAGCAAAGTTACTCTCTCTAATTCAGCTTTACAGTTTAAACATGAAGGTCTAAACAGCATCAACAACACAATCAAGCAACATAATATGAAACTGCACTTTAGACTATAACAATAAACTATTATAATCACTTAATGTTGAAAAAAAGTCAGTATAATCAGCAGCTTATTCATATAAAGCAGTAACATAAACCACTGCACCACAGGCTTGCCTGACAGTGCGTGGAATTTCAAGTCTTTTCATTACAACATCCTTTAATTGTTTATTATAAAGGTCAGTCACTGCAGAGTTGGGATTTTATTTATCACTTGGCAAGCCCAGGCCAGGGTCTGAACCGTGATTCATGTCATGAGGCAGTAAATCTAACCACAACACCACAGGGCTGCCCAGCACTGTTTACAGTCTAAAGTCTTTTGAGTTATCATTTCATTAAAGCAGTTAATAAGCATAAATTAAGATAAAGAGTAAGAAAAGTATTTCTTTCCTGCCTCATATGAAAAGATTTGAACCCAGGACGATTTCAATATGAGGCAGGATCACCAACCACTACAACTGTCTGAAGTCCTCAAATTTTAACATTTCAGTAGAACCATTTATAAGATCAACTTTAAATAGTTTGTGAGGAAAGTGTTTTTTTCCATCCTGGGATTTGAGCTGAGAATATCTGCAGTGAGATGCCACATCTCCACCACTACAACACAGGTCTGTTCTTCTGAGGTCTTTTACTACAGTATTTTATTGAGGTAGTTTATCGGCACTGCAGCCCTAGATACAGTATGAGGAAAGAATTTCTTCCTTCTCCTCATGGACAGTCCCTGTCCTGAACTTGAACCCGGAAACCTTTATAACGAGAGGCAGCAATCTCAGCCACCATGCAATCACAAAGTTCACTCTGTAAGGAGCAATGGCAGCTAGGATTGGTCTATAATTGACTGTTATGTCATTAAATTAGTGGTAAACAAATTTTTCAAGGCTGACAAATTAAATTGAAACTTTAGAAGATAAGATCTCAGTCAAGTGTGGATGGTTTTTTCCCTGCAAGTAATAAAAATAGACTGAATCTACTCCAACATTTTCCACAAGAACTAAACAGCAAACATAATTTGTCACTGCAACTGCTGTATTCATAAACATCAGACAGGACTAAAGGGAGTGAGAGAAGAGTGAACTCACTCCTATAGATAGCCATATAAAATTTGACCCCTCTGTGCTGTAAGAAGGTGAATATGTGTTTTAATCTGCCTACAAAAGTCCTGTTTGGATGTAGTCATCATGTTTATGTTATTAATCTCATTTTAATGTTATTGTATGTCACGTTGCTAAGTTGTACCAGCTGCCCACGCCTACTGTACACAAAGAACCCATCCAGCTTACTTAAGCTTCGAAAACTTGCTCTGTGAATATAACATCAGGCCCAACTAGTTCAGCCTTTCTAAACAACCTCCATATCTAGGTTACTTATACTGTCACCAGCACTCTGTGGTTTATAAAAGAAATATAAAATTACTGAAACGTTCACCCACCAAGAGGTGCTTGGACTTGCTTTGTCCTGCACAGCGGAGACATTTGGCTTAGACTTGACTCAAATCTGCCACAGATGGCATTCAGTATGCGCTGGCATAAAGCGTGTGAACCCGACAGTGCCCAGGTGTGGCAGAGGTGGCATTGTCTCTAATGAAGCTAACTGGATATTGGCCTTTTGTTGAATGTAATGCTGGCTCAGATGACACATAAAAACTGGGACCACACATGTACGGCTGGTCTCGAGTTACTTCTGAATCCTTTTTGAGTGAAGTGTAGTCAGCTGTTCGTAAGATGGTGTGTTCTTGGTTCTGAAATATGCTAAAGAAGACCTTTAGATAAATAGATAAGCCATAGAAAGCATGTTGGAGATATATCATTGTATTTTCATGTACATAATTACTGGTGGCATACATTTTACATATGAGTTTTCTGTACATAGTCTGTGACAGGGCATTCAATATCAAACTTAGATCTGTGTCACCGCACAGGCAGGTGAAACAAACATCCAGCAGACTTTATTGGAAATGCAGAACAAGACAAAGACAACCAGCTGACTAAAACTTAAAAGAAGTAGACATAACATTACTACATTTGAAACAGATAAATAAATATAACAAAACGAGATAAATTTACTCTTACATTCTGTCCTTGAGGAGACGCTGAGACTTTAACTGTAACACTTCATACTGCATGTAGTATCACGTGTTTTTAATTCCACTGGATTTAAGAGTCTAACCAGCTTCTTTCAGTTTCGCCTCATGCAGAAAGAAAGTCATTCAGACACTGTTTATGTTCTGCGTTTTGACCTCATGGTAACAGAAATGACTGAACGTCATCCTCACTCTGAATCAACCCTGAAGAGAGTGTGACTTTTCTGTTAGAGGCTTATTTGGAAGTGTAAACTCTGAAGTAAATAAGACACATTCTTGTGACTGTGCTGGATTATCAACATATCTGAAAGTACCCAGAGTTTAGGATTGTAAATGAGTTTAGAGAAAATCCACATATTCCCTATAAACATTGTCCCTTTGATGCATCAAACCCGAGACTGGCCATACAGGCAGATATTCCATGACGCTGTTTGAAACTGGATTATTCTAAGTTTGATTATATCTAAATGTCTTTGATTCAGTCTGTAAAACTACATTTAGAGGAAATGGATCCATCATGCATACTCAAAATTAAAAACAATCTGAAGAGTTTACATGTTTTGACGTTATTCTAACTTATAAATCTGATTTGTGGAATTCCTCCCATGTGATGGACTTAGTAAATATTACATATAACACTTTAGGCGACATAAAAAAACAACAACAACAAAATAAATGCATGTGCAAAACTGCCAAAGGGGTTCTACAGAAATATAAGACTATATTTTACATAAATAAGAAGTGATGTCATATAAATGATTGCGCTACCTACATAAGAAAGTAACAAAATGGTAAATTTGTGACTTTACAATAAATCTTAAATGTCATCCCATCTACAGTAAGTCATAAGTGATACGAAAAACATTTTCAAAGAGAGAGAGCTCATGTTTTTCTTCACCACCGGCAGCTACTGTTCTACAGTATACTTCTTTATGCATTTAATTCTTGTCCATCACACCGTATTGTCAAATTTGTCAAGACCAGCATGTCGATCTCTGTCGATCTCAGACGGCTGAACTCTGCATGTCTTCTACTGCTCCTCCAGCCAGGATGGCTTGTCTGATCCTGGGGGCTTTAACTTCACGTTAAACTGTATGAGAGTTTGTTCCAGCTGCTGCTGGTTGCCAGCAAAGTAAGCTGAGATAGCATTGTGGAAAAGGAGCAGCTGCTTGTGCATCACTTTTACCTGAGAAGAAACCAAAAGGGGTATAAAGTGTGAAATATGACATTTAACTTCCCAACTTTAAGATTTGCCTCAGGTAAATTAACCTCAAAGCAGCTTGAGAATGACACCGTGACTGAGATGTTTTAAAGGATTGATGAAATGTTGGTATTACTTGAAGCCAATGATTTTATTGAAGTACTGAAGTTTATGTATTCACAGAAAATGTGCATCATAATAAATATCTTCAAACCTTGTTTTCCTCCAGGAACTTGAGCTTGATGGTGACGTCACTCCGCAGCCTTTCATATTTGTCTCTGTGGATTTGATAGTCGTGCTGCGCCATCTCGATGCGGACCATGGCTGCTGCATCCCTTGGGCCCAAACTCAGCTCCTCCAGATCAGACCGGTAGGCATCAAACTCAAGTCTGTAGGCAAACACAGTTCAGGTTATTACAGGCTCTGATCCCCCCCTAAAAAACATTTATTTCTCAATTACTGTCAGGATGTGAGGGTTTGTCACCTTGCGTTTTCATAATGCCTTATGGTCATGAGAGTATCCTCCATTGTTTTGTTGACCAGGGTGTCGACACTGGATACAAAAAAGCTGATGGCGCCCAGCAGAGCCTCGCCGTTCTTGCACAAGAGCTTTTGTGTTTCTGCGTTATACCCAAACTCATCCTGCAAGGACACAGATATATGATGCGACTCCCAGCTTTGTTTCTATGCCATTAAAAATATAATAATTCAAGCACAGTACCTGCAGTTCAGGGGACTTCTGGCTGAGGTCAGTAAAGGTGTCTCCCAGAGCCTGTTGAGTCTGCACCATGCTCTGAAAATGATTGATGAGTGCAGTGGCTAGTCTCAGGATGTTTTCATACTTGCTCTTGGTGTCTCTTAACAAGTCAATCTGAGCCTCCAGCTCCAGGTCTACTGTTCGAGATCCTCGCCCAAACCTTTCAGAAAATATCTGCTTTGTACACTACAGAGTGGAAATAAACACAGAATTTATTAGGACATACACTAAATCGAATTTCAGTTGGATGAAAGAAGCTAAACAGAAACAAAGTATTTACACAGTTCAATACCTTGTATGTGTTTATGCCCCATTTCTTTACACTGTCTATTTTCTCTGCTGCCACACCACGAGAAACTTCTTCAGATGAGTTACCTGAGTTGTGGTTTGATGACCCTATCGGAGAAAAGACAAACAATTCAGGCCTTAATGCATGTCATCACAGAAGAGCTGAGAATGAAGGGTTTACAGAAATGACATAGAAATGGGTTGAGGACAGCATGAACATGACGATGAGCATGGTGATACCTGGATGCTGGCCGGTCTGTTGGTGAAGTTGTGTGGCTGCAGATTGGCTGTGAGGCATGCTAACACCCCTGGATTTCATGCGAATGTCTGAAATGAGCGTGGTGAGCATAAAGAGTGAGGATGGGATGAAGACAAACGATGAAATATGTGGAAAAAAGCTTTTGTTAACATAAGCATTTGAATAAAAGATAATGTAAAGTGAAAGAGAGGTGTTAAGAGTCCATTGCAATGATGCTGTTTTTTTTTTTTAAACAATCCATCATGCAAGTTTCTCATGCAGGATAGAGGATTCATTAAAAAAGATGAAAATAGACTTGATGGGATGAGAGAACCAAGCAACAACAAAACAGTCATCCAAAATGCATTTCTCAATTAAAAAAAACAAGACAATCTTTTTAGACAACAACATTACAAGTAACAGCCCTGTGTTATCTTTTAGTGCATCTTTAATTTTAACAGCGCAAAATAGTTCTGGTTGTTAAGCTTGAGCTACAGAGGTTAAAAGCAAAGTTTTTCTCCCCCAAGCATTGCCAAAAAAACCTCTCAAAAGGTGCTGAAACAGACCAACATACGAAGAGGGGTTAACTTAGACAAAGAAATAAGGCTTGTGAGATTACACAGCCACCTGGTCCAGGTGCAGGGGCTCGTCTTCTGTCCAGATACTCAGGGTTGAAGTGAATTGCAGGCCCTGTGGGATATGGATGTTTGTAACATGAACCAGGAGCCTTAAAGGTTAGCAGCTCTCTAGCAACACACAAAATACTTGCAGAAAAGCTCTCCCAGGGGCAAGACGAGTCATGGCAGCCTGTGACTGTGTGTGTGTGCATGTGTGCATGTGTGTGTATATGCATGACCGTTGTTTTAAAAAGAGTGTAAGCTTGTGAGGACAGAGGTAAAGTAATCTCAGGATCATCTGTTTTGATCTGTGACCCTGTTTAACAAACTAACAGTTGTTTGCATAAATTAAACCCACTCACAGTAATTCTTACGTAATGCACCTTTAAATGTATGTCTTTGGAGAGAAAAGGTTCGAGCTGTGAAGAATAAACATCAAAATTAAAACCTGTACAGTTAGCCGCTCAGCTTTCATGCAGTACCTTTGATGCTGCTGGTGGGAATGATGCCCCCTGCAGGTCCTCCGTAACCCCCTGACACGATGCTGGTTTCATTCAGGTTGGGTCCTGACACCATCACCTGCTGCAGGTCCTGATGGATTACAACAATAATAGCAAAAAAATTTTAAAAACCAGTGAGCCAGTAAATCAGGCTTTTATCATCAGTAATTAGAGAGAAAATCATGATACTGAACAGACCGAAAAACCTGCCACTCTACAGTACACTTTGGGTGTTATTTATTTATGTATGCACTTATTTACTTTTTAAATGTTTTTTTTCCTTTCTCTTTTTTCTGCTTTGTGCTGAATTTATGTGTATGTGTTAACATGATTTACATTTGATCACATGAAAGTAAAACTAAATATGTTCAAAATAAATAAATAAGACTTTTTATAATGATGAAAAAGAGATTGAACAATCCAACTCAATGGCTTAGTATTTATGTTGGACTGCAGCTTTCTCAACTATGTTAGGCTGTTTGAGGTTGAAATTAGCATTATGGGACTATATATTAGTCTATTGCATTGTTTTTTTTCTTGCAAAAGCTCATGTAGTTAAAGCATCCTATCCAAATGAAGGTTAGATGCACTTCATCACCATGCTCTACACACACTGTACACAGCTACTGTACATAGCTCCAGGCCTGTGGCATGATTAGGTAACAATTGGCCTTACACCAGCCTGAGCTCTGGGCTGAACTATAGTGGAAAAAAAAAAAGACAAAGGGGGAAAAACAGCACACAGAGGCTGAATCAGAATCAAAACTGCACATTGTCAGTGAGGAAGAGAAAATGTGACATACCTGCTCCAGACTGTCATCCTCTGTTAAGGTTCCTGTGTCTCCATTGCTGTTAATAGGGATCTCCATGGTAGCAGCCTTGCTCATGATATTGTCAGCCATAATGAAATCTCTGCAACAGAGCAGCAGATACTGACACTTAAAGACGGGTTCATGTATGTAGTCTGGTTAAATGATACTCACAAAGACCAGGACCAGCAGCCCTGTTTACAGTGATGCTAACGGAGCTGGCTAATCTCAGCGGTGCTGATGTGGCTCAGCTTCTATTGACAGCTAGCTTCCTTCTCAGCACTGTTACAACTTGATATTAGAGCCAAGTCCAGCCGAGGGAAAAAAACCCTGCCCTTTACACAGAAACCGAGTTATAATCATTTTTTTCCTCAAAAGATAAGCACCCTTATCCACAGTTAATATTCAATGCGATAGCCGTGAATATTTACCCTTTAACGCTCACGTTATCTGCCTGCTTCCATGTAAGGTCCAGAAAATCCCTGCATCTAAGCAAGCTAACAGCTACAGTAGAACTACTTCGAAATAAAAGTTTGTACTACTTTAATTCTGCTCCAAGTCACAGGATACGACTTCAAAATCAATGTACACCTAATAAAATAGATAGGTCACACTGTTTGGAGAGTGCTTTTTCCACAAATAAAAGGCTGGAAGCGTGTACTTTAAATGGATGCTTTTATTTTGAAAGACAGTGCTTTTTACGGAGCATCATCCTCGAGCCTCCTCCCCCGCTCCATCTTCCACGTCGTGCGGTGCTGACGTAGCCTTATCCCCTCACTGTAGTACCACTGTCCGCCTGAAGATGTCGCTGATAGCACATTAATGACTGAAAATACAACTTCACAAGTTGTTTTATAAAAAAACACTTAGGGGAGAGTGGGGTAAGATGAGTCACCCCTGCTGCTTGAAAATAGTAAAAGAAATTGATCATGTGACCAAATATTTAGGAGATGGGCATCACTTCATAGAATCTGTGAAGGTTAGAAGCACATGGGTGAAGAGGTTAGACATTTTTGACAAGGAGCAAACAGATTGCTTTTTTGTTTGGAGATGTATGCAGCGATTACTGAATTAAATGCCAAGCCTCAACAAGTATATATGCGCCAGTTAAATTGATTATTATGAACTAATGCACCAAACTAAACTAACTTTCTAGAGTGACAGTCACTGTAATCTGAAGTAAGTTAATCAATAATCTAAAAAAATCCTACCTTTGTAAATCCTTTTATAAATGTTAGATACTTTGACATAGAGTAATTTAAAAAGTATGCCAACAGAGTTTGAAAGGGGTTTGACATTTATTTAAAAAAAAAAAAAAATGTTCACTCTTGAAAGTGAATTTAGTCTGTCATAAGTTTTATTCGAATTGTGTTCAAACCAAAAAAGATCATTTTAAATGTGTTTTATACATCAATTATGGAATCTATGAGCTACTACATGAGGTCTAAAACTGAGCGTAAAAGTCCACCATTTTAACTTAGAGGACTAATAAAGTCATATTAGTAGTTCTGGGGTAAGTTGAGCCAGTGTCTCAACTGAGAAAGTAAAGGAGTCTGATGAGAGGATCGGAGTTTCAGTTCAGATTGTTAAAATGTGTTACTTTTTCTTTTCTCGTGTTAAAATGACTTTTTACAAAACAGCTTTTTAGCAGTTATTTGCAATAATAATAAAAAGAGTTTTTTGTACCAGTTGAATAGCGTAAAATGGATTAAAAACATATGAATATAAAGAAGTGACTGTTATTTAGGGTGAAAGTGAAGGTGAGGGAGGGTTGGGGAGGAGAGTGGGAGGTAATAGGGATACGTCTCAACCTACCCCGCTCCTATGGTCAACTTACCCCATACACGGGGTAAGTTGACCATAGGAGACCACTTTTTTTGGCATGCTATATTATCAAGACAGTTATGTTTACACTCATTCTGTTGGTTTGCAGGGATGCACAACATCTTGAAATATATGCAGATACACTAGTTAGAGACAAAACTGTGATTGACTTGATGTAGTGATCAGAAATATGAGAAATGGCTCATCTTACCCCACTCTCCCCTACTCCTCTTTGGAAACTCCTCTGGGGCTCTGACTCCTCTCTTAGATTCTGTGACTAATACTACATTGAAGGAGGACTATTTTGTCCTGCCCGTAGCATTGATTGTAATGGACTATCTCTTGAAATCCAACAGTATCAATACAGTCGTTTGTTTTGAGCCGAGAGATAGAGCTCTTCCGAGTAAACTCACTACTCCAATTATTTGCCTCATTTGTTTCAATCAGGATGCAGAGGATTGCACATGCACTCCAAATGTTAAAGTTGTTTCTGTAATTACTCACGCTCTGAACAGGACGGCCCACTCCTTACATCCACTCATAATGAGTTCCTGCAATAAACTAATTCATTTTCTCCATTGATTTGCTGATTGCCTGCAAGTGACATTTACCAAACACCTAAAATTTCATAATAAAAGGACCTCCTTATACTCCTCCTTCCATAGACTTCCACTCCTTTCTATTTCCAGCCTTTGCACATGACTGCGTTTTATTACCGCATCCTGAGGATCAAAGTCAACAAAATGATTAAGATAGGCTATTCATCTTTCCCCTTTAATCCACAAATCAACATGTCTAATGTTATTGGACTGGCAAGACATGTGCTCTGCTTTTGATCCTCCTGCCAAAATCCTTGAACGCTACTTTGGACGAGGTGTTGCACCATGTGAATACATATTAAATATGTTTAGGTGTCAGCAAACGCTGCAGATCTCGCCAGTCTTAATAAATCTTGAAGTATGATGAAATACCATGTGGGTATTATAGCGGGACGGTGCTTTTTAAGGCTTCCAAATAGTGTCTGGGCCATCAGACATGTGTTGAAAATCAGTCCCATAGAAGTTACATGGGAAACATTACATCTTTTATTGCTTGTTTTCTTGCATCAAGTTGTTTATTTTGTTGGTAAATCCATTTAGATGTGGCAAAGGTGCTCAAGAAGCCTTGAATATTAAAGGTATATACCGGTGTAAAATTAATCCAGGGTCAAACACACTGCAACACTGAGGTAGACACCCCCTAGAGAGATGAATTTTGCCGACCTTCATGGAAATGCAATCAGACCTGAGATGCTAAGGCAGAAGAACTACCGCGTCTGCAGTGCAAAATGATCAATATGATGATTATTACTTCAAGGAAATGATAAAGTAATGATCATAAATGTTCTTCCTTGAGCTGTGTCACCCCGCAGCAGTCCTTAATGGACTGGTCGAGGTCTTGCTACAAACAAGCAGCTGCTGGAAGAGAGTATGTGAGTTGTGTTTAGTCTCTTTGCTAAAGAAATCAGGCAAAGCTAATAAGATGTTTGGTGGCTAGTGCTATGGCTGGGATCCTACATGTCCTGTTGATGGAGTTAGGTGCTGTTTTGAGTATTATTTGTGGCTATAGAGTGGCATTTTGGTTGAGGCTTGTTTATCGCTCCTCAGACCGCTGTGTATTGCTATTGTGTGGCCGTTACTAAAGTTGGTATAACTAAAGAAGCAAGTAGTCGGCAACATTCATCTCTCGAGGGGGTGTCTAATTCGGTGTTTCAGTGTGTTTGACCCTAAATTAATTTCACGCTTGAATATCCCTTAAACTTTCCCATCTCCTCCCATTCAAATACAAAGTAAATAAAAAAGTCTAAAGTTGATACCACAGATTCTGACCGAACAGAGCTCTGTGATTTGGACTATAGTGCATCAGATCATTAGTTCACTCATACATTATCGCAGAGGGGGGTGCTTTGAGGTCACAGAAATGTAGGTGTTGCTGTTCTGTTTAACTCAAGCCTACATATTTCCATGGTCGTCCAGCCACTTGAGTTCCAGTTTGGTGAGTGAATAATTGAAAGGGTATGTTTTGACTTACCAATTGAACAGAGTGACTGACTCAACATCCTTTAGCCCCCGTACCTTTGACCTCCACATTATTCATGGGCCACAAACAGCCTGCTTGTACAAAGGTCTCCATTTTAAATACAGTTGTTTTGTGTTTTGGAGTGTAAGTTAAATTAAATGTATGCAGCTTTTACCTTTATGAGCATTATGCAAGCTACAGTTACTCAAATCCTTAATTACCAAGTCTCCCATGTTAATGTGTTAAACATCACAGATTTAGCTTCATAACCTTTTTGTTTTAACAAGCACAGCTGTGAAGGGTTTACGCCAGTTGTCAAGCTCCCTCTGCTCTCACCCTCGGATAGAAATTGAAAGAAATTCTCACACAGGAGAATGTAAATTTAGTGTCGCCTATAAATTTAGAACAAGACCAAATTAAATTTTAAAGGTCTCAGGCGGGGTCTCCTCTGAGACTGCGCTGTATGTCACAAAGCCGGCGTATGCATTTGAAGGGAGCGTGAGACTTAAACCACATAGTAACCCTCCCCCTGTCATTTGAGAGAATAGTTCATCGAGTTTTTAATGATCATTAAGCACGCTTCCAGATGTTGGGAGGGGAATTCATCCTCACATAGTCCCCTGTGTTCTGCAGCAGCAAACAAGAGTACAGAAGTGAGACAGAGGCATCCAGAAAAACAAGGAGAAGTGGTGCTGCCTGCATCCTAACTCCATGGGAATTACAAACAGCGCTCGGTTTTTACATTAGAACATATGGAAGTAATTGTTATCGTGTCTTTAATGTGCCGGCTGCTCACACAGTCTGTCAACCTTTTTCTTCCCAGTTGGTGGTTCAATCAATGCTCTCTGAGTGAAAGAGCAATTCATCATCATAATGGACCCTTAGATGCTGTTCATGTCGATTGTAGGATGTGAGAAAAGACAACAAATAACCGAGAAAAATAAATATTTATAGGAGTAATCAAAAGTTTATTCTACAAGGGATCAGATAACAGAGGTAGTAAATAAGATTCAGTGTGAGTAAAGAAAGAAAAATTAAAACCCTAATGACATGAAATGTTATTTTGATTGACAGACATGTCTTCAATTGAATCTCTGCTGCAAAAAAGAAGCTTTGTTCCATTTTTGAAGGCTTTCATTTGGAGAATAAACAGCTGTCAGGAGATTTTCTATTATTTAAATCAAGTCCGGCACGGCTGTGGAGAGTAATATCTTCACACATGAAAAGAAACACAAAAAACATAATTTATTTTTATTTTCAAAGTAGATTTTCTCCTCTTCACTGAGAACTGCTGCGAACACAACGCCTTTGTTATGTGGCGTGAGAATGGTGGACAAAGAAAACACAGGCTTTACCATCGCTGTGATGTTTCCAATTAAATTCACCTGCATAATCAGAGAGACGACAAGTCAGAGGCCGCAAATAAACCGAAGGGGCAATTTAAGGATCGTAAATCCCACAAGGGCTTCTTGGCGTTTCCACTGATGTGTTAAAGTTGTTAATTTTGTTTTCATGAATGCTACCTTTGGTTGGCGCACAGAGGCTGCGGTCAGGAAACGCACGAAAAGGGCAGCTGTTTAGTCTCTGTGTACTGTTTACTCACTTTGTCATGCAATTCTCTGTTTTGCAAGTCTCCAATTTTGCAATCTCGTTCATTATAGTTTCCTGCGATTTCTCAAACCATGAATTAAGACTGACTTATGAAGAGGTCTGAGATCTGTCAGAAATAAAACTGTAAACACAAGTTTGATATAAATCAAAACACACTCACATCAACCTCTTTCAAGAGCTGGCTTCTTTTACTGACTGAAAAAACTGGTAGAACTCAAACTATCTGAATTAAATATTGATTTTGCGCCTCTTGACAAAAATGAAACTCAATCTGCAAAAGCCAGAACATCTAAAATACAGCCAAACATCCAGATTTCACTTGATCTTGATTCACAGCATATGCTGATTTTATGGGACATTGCCAGCATTGGAAAGTTTCTAAACAGCCGTGAGACAAACTGCTTGGTACTGACCAAAATCTCTCTCTTCAGTTTGACCAGTCTGTAAACAGCGATGTCCGCTGCCAAAAGAAAACACTCACAGGGTGTTTCAAAGTCATGTAAATGAATGAATGAATAAATAGTTGAAAAGTTTTGCAATGACTTGTTAAGTCAGGGCTTCAGTAGTTATGAAACAACATATCAACGTAGATAAAGCCCACAGTAAATGTTGGGGACATGAGCTTATGTTGGCATTTGCTTTAAGGGTGGGGGCAAAATTTACACAATTGTAGAAGTAGGGCTGGGCGAGAAACTGAAAATGTACCGATACCAAAATTTACGACAATAACCGATGCCATTTTTCCCATATCCGTATATTCAGTGTCAAATAAATAAATAAATAACAGTTCGTTTTTGGATGTGTGTAGGTAGACTATGGTCTCATGTCCCTTTAAGACACTCGTCCTATGTCGGAGGCGTGACTCCACCCCATCCAGTCTGTAACAAAGAGGGAAAGACAGGTGAGGAGATGGAGGATGGTTCAAAAGTTGTAGCGGCTGAAGTAGACGAAGTTAATGTGGGAGGGGGTGAGCAGCTTGTGGAGTAGTTATCGTCCATCCAGGTAATCCAGGTGAACTGCTCAATATATTGTGATATTGATTTGAGGCCATATCGCCCAGCTCTATGTAGAAGCTGCACAAAACAGAAAAATATGTCAAGCCTAACTTATTGCTTTGTACAAATCTTTATCATGTATCCAAAGCTGTTGTTTCACCCAGAAAACAAGTTTTTGACCTTGTTTACACACAGATACTCCATCTAAAAGAAGAAGCCAATAGCAGACTTATATGCACAGCCTGTGAGTCAGACCAAATTACTGATGACTAAGCTTTGCAGAGCCTCTTCTTTCTCTCACACAGCTCAAAATCAAACAGAATATTTCATTGTCCTCACTTGAAAAACTACAGCAAAGATAACTGAAACAGAAACCTCAGCTCAGACAACGAGAGATGCAATAGGAGGCACAGTCGGAGAGAGAAAATTACAATTTCAAGCAAGCTGCGATAATATCAGGTTTTGAAATACCAAGGCCATTGTCACAAACTCAAAGATGACAAAAATAGTGGGATGATGAAAATGTTCAGACGCTGTGCATCACATCATGATAAGTGTCGAGAGTCAGTGGACGGAGCAGTTTGAGGGTTGCGTTTGATAGTTTGTGGTTGGATGGGAGCAGCGTAGCTTGAAACGCCTTTTACTTCCTCATTCCTCATTTTTAGATTGAAGGAGCTCATAAAAATGCGGAGAGAACCATCAGAGCTTTGGATGCATATTTCCTGGAACTAAGAGTTTCCACCTACAAAACATGATTTTTATGCTTGTATTACGTTTCGTTGAAGTTGTACAAAAACAATCTGCACATTACACAGGCTCTGGGTGCAAAGCTGGCCCTGCACAGTAGGACTTTTGACCTCTGTTATTTCACTTCCTGATCACATGGGACATGATTCCTCCAGCACAGTAAGTGGAACAACACCTGCAGGTGTTTCACACTCTAAATCACAGCAACAGGCCAGCTGTGATAAAGCAGATGTGGAGCGGAGAAATGTGTGCGTTGATTAAGATCTGTTTTTACCCTCTGTCACAATTGGCTCGGACTTTTGGGTCCCTACAACCTGGTACCCTTTCAAAAGCCCTACACAGCAAGCACTAACTCTGACAGTCATTAAGGTACAAGCTGCTCCACAGATGTGCTTGTGTGGGTTAATGGCTCGAGCTATCTGCACTGCACCAGCAGCTGAAGTCCAAGTTTTGCCAAGCTTCTGCACTTTTTATGACTTACAGTAGACCCTGAGTGCTGCGCTGAAGTGTTTCAAGGAAAAATCTGTTAAAAATCTGGAGTTTCAATCCTGTGACTTTCAGAAAGCCTCTGCTTCCAAAGACATATATCTAAAGTTGCTGATTTTGGCTCAGCAAGCTTGTACACGATATTATTTACTCCATGTCTATATACTCATTTATATTAAAACTGCAGAATAAGAAGAAAACACTGAGTAAAACCATCATGTATCTTCAGTTTGTTCTGAATTTGCAGCCACTTAAATCGGGCTAATACTTGTGTGGCCATTTGACCCCACATAGCATCTTTTTTTCTGGTTGTAAATGGCATCGTTTGGTCTCTGTGATTGATCTATTCATTCATTTTTTCATTCATTCATTCATTCATCAGGTAATAAGTGCTCCTGCTGAGTTAGCCAGAAGCAGATGTGGACGCTCTGATCCTGCTGTTGTTGTGCTAGAAGAGGCTCCAAGTTCATGTGCTGCTTGCATGACATAGAAATCATGTAAGTGTGCATTTCGTAAACAATCCCTTAAAACAGTCTGTAAAAAACTTGACACACATCATGTTGAAGGAAGCGAAACTTGGACAAAAGAAGACTGTCTCTTGTGGTATCTTTGAATGGCGTCCAAAATTTCTGCAAACGTTTTCCCAAACATCTGTTCACTTCGACTGACAATGTGGGTGAGACAAGTGTGGTCAGTTCCAACAGAGAGAGAGTCTCCCGGGTACGTTTTGATGCTCTTTGGAAGCATTAGGAGCAATGTGGTTCATTCCGATTCAATTAAAATTTTCTGACGAGGCATTGGGTGGAATTGGTGTCCTAAAGAGGCGGCTACCCTTGGGAATGGTCGAACGGTCGGTGAGGGAAAAATGAGCCTATTAATTTTTTTTCCATGGGCGGGAAGGGAAGGACCATGATTCACCTCCTACACTGTGAATACGAAAGGACACACTTTGAAGTTGAAACTAGACTTGCAAATCAGTCCACTTTCTCTGCATCATAATTCAAAAAGTGGTTCACTGAGGCTTATAACAACTTTAGAAAGTGCAACTCTCACTCAGCCGATTCAAAACCCTGGCTGAACCAAGTGTATACTGAATGACCTTCCCTGTGCACATAAATTTATGTAACTCCCTACATTTTGTAAGGAAAGAAGTCCATGAAATTTGCCATTACAGTTTGGACTGAAGCACAGTTTTCTGCTGAAATGTTCCCCCGCAATTTAAGTTTCTGTAAACTTGTTGTGATTTTTAGCCGGTTGTGAATTTTAAACTGTATCGTCCTCTGTGTTTAAAAAAAGTTAGCTGATTAAGAGCTAAACAAAACAGAGGAAGGCTGAAACAGAATAGGAGCTGGAAAAAAATGAGTAAACTGCAGCACAGTATTGATGGGATGATGGCGTTCTTGAAGTCATTGCACGGCGTGCCAACTGAAGAGATATCTTCCTCTGTAATGGGCTGGAAAAGAGCCAAAACTGTGCAAGAAAAAGATAATCAATAATGAAAAGAAAGCTATTAAATATGACCGAGAACGTAGGATTCAAGTTCACAGTTATCAAATCTTCTGTTCTATAGTTAATGAACACAACATTAGACTCGATTATTTATGTATGTCTTTAACTTCATTTTACATACGCCTTTGATCCGGATCAGCATCTGGGTCTTGGGTGGAACAGCACCAATATTTTAAGCTCCTTTCTAGTCATGCCAAGTAGACATCCTGACAATCAAACCTGACTCACCCATAGATATTTGGTAGAAGCCTTCCCACATGGTCTGTACATGAAATCTGATAAAAGCACCTGTAAAACTGAGGTCGTGTTTGTTGACAGTTTGAAGCGTCCTGCTGCCTCTTCGGTTTACAGGGATTAGCAGATATTATAACCCGATGCCCTGGTGGTGTTTCCCTAACACTGTATTCATAAAATTGAAAAGCATAGAATGATTACAGTGCCTGTTGAAGCAGAAAGCCTTTACGTTTTGCAGTTGCATTTGCTTGGCCTGTCAAGTTCAGAGTTTTCATCTACGTATAAAAGGCCAAGGTTACCAGAAATTGGATTTAGCAACACAGCTGAGGACTAGAACATGATTTATTTTTACAAGCTGGAAACAGGTTAAAAATATTCTCTTTTGCATTCTCTTTTCTAAATCATATTCTACTGTAAATGATTTCATAATATAGGACCATATTGGGGCCAGTCAAATGTGAACCTTCAAGAAACTTGATATGTGTCCTCGATCTACAGTCTAGAAAGTCCTGTTTCTTTATAGGTCAAATATAGCTTTGTCATAATGAGGCCAATAAAATCCATTTACTAATAAATTTAAGTTACAAATGCAGGATATCAACACTTGATATGAGGAGCATGTCCTCTACAACAACGTACCTTACAGTCTGTCTCTTTGGTTCTTCCCAGCTGACAGATTGTGGAGCTGGTGGTGATTTAACGCCAAGCTTTGGCTGTTTGGATGGAGTGTTTCCTCCTTGGTCTACAGAGCAAACGTGAGCTGAATCTAGGTCACTGTTGTTTGCAGCGCTGGGCTCTTTGATAACTAGCGTAGCATAAGTGTTTCTTGTCTTGTCTTGTCTTGTGAGTGTGATGTGTTTCGCCTGGTGCGACCACTCAATGTTCCTGTTCTTTTATTTGCAAACTGCAGACCATCAGAGAGTCCACGACAAATTTACCTACGGGGACAATTAAAGTATACAATATGATATATTATGTGTTCACTGTGCAGCATACTCCTTTTCCCAGAATTCTTCTGTGCTGACTTAGGTGTACCGCCCCCTGAGTTGGATTACTAGTTTCATTTTGACTATCTAACACAAAGTAAAGAGTAAAAACTTCTTTTAAACTTCTGTGATTGTAACAGAATTATTCAACTTGACTAGATAGACCACTATTTACATCAGGACCATCTTTGCTTTGTAAACATAGTATCTCTGATGTTACCCTGTGGACATTAACAGCTCTACTTTGAAGCCTCTGCTGAAACAGTGAATCTGGTGTGATCACCGGTCGGTTTGGCACGGCTCAAACAAAAGCTAACCAGCCCGGCTCCATGTGAGAATCTTACATAACAGCTCTTAAGACCTATTAAACTGTTACCTCTCTTTCTTTGCTACTAAGCTTGAGCCAACATTGCCCAATAAAGCCAGTCACATTTTCATAAATCTATTCCTTTGCTTGAAAGTTGAACTATTAATGAGAAACGAGAGGTTCCCTGCTGTAAGGACTCCAAATGTAATAGTATAAGTAATGACTGGGAACTAGCTGTTGGACGTGTGAGTGAGCCGAGCTTTAATGAGATCAGCCGACACGGCAGACGCAGTCACACCGAAATTAAGCTGTTAAGTGTTATCCATATGTAGCGGCATCATGTGTTGGATTAAACCGCAGTCCTCGTGTGGGTTATTGTTCGAGTCATACTGAAGTTTCTTTAAGTAGGGGACTCAAAAGAACAAACAGGCGTATCTGGGAATATCAATGAAATTCCTGTCTGAGTTTAAAGTTTCAAACTTAATAGTTTCCTATGAGCAGTAAAAAACTTTTGCAATTATGAGCTATAACTTTTACGAGACGCTGAGTGAGTAAATCCAAGATCCAAGCGAGTGAAAAGCTTATGATGATGAAGAGAGAAAATCTCCATAACATTAATGTTTTTGAAGTGAATAGCGGTGTGAAACACATAACCGTCCACATGCTGTAGTAGACACTATCTGTTTAGGTGGGGAATCAAAGTGAAAGCAGATGGGACTGTAGGCTAAAATACTTTCCACTTGAAGTAGGCCGCTCGTGTTCAGAGCTCTCTCAGTAGCTGGGCTCGTTCCAGACGCTTGGCTGGAGGAGTCAGTTCAAACTACTTGGCTCCACCGCTCTCACCACACTGTCGCTGGGTTGAGCACTGATTTACAGCTAAAGTCCTCCTCCTCGACTGGCCAAACCCCGGGCAGATGAAGAATGGCATCCGGGAATCCACGCACAATAGTAAAACCCCGATTCCAGAGGAGTTTGGACACTGAGAAAGATGTTGATAAAAATAGAGTTTGATGGTTTGCAAATCATTTAAACCCTGTATTCAATCAAAAGTAGAAACAACACATCAAATGTTGGAAATGAACATGTTGTTTTGTGAAAAATATTTGCTCATTTTAAAATTGATGTCAGAAACATGTTGAGGTAATGTTGGGACAGCAGCATGTTTACCAATGGGCTTCATCAGCTCTTTTTTAACAGAACTGCAAAAGTTTAGGAAGTGAGTAACCCAAAACTTTGTCCCATCCTTTCCTGATCAGCTGTTCAACTTCTTTTTTGCACTTTTTGTTTAATGGTGCTAAAACTGTTCTCAACAGTTGACAAGTCATCGCCCCAGTTTCGCACCTCTTCTTCGATGGAGCCATGCTGTTGTACTACATGTATTTTGGCATTGCTTTGCTGCGTTATGGAAGGTCTCCCCTGAAAAAGTCTTTGTCTGGATGCCGAACAATCTAGTGTTCAGCATGATCGGTGCCTCCCCAGGTCCGGGAAGGTTGATAAAATCCCTTAATCTGAGATTTTGTACCGAGTTTCAATTTTGTGTCTGTGGACTTACTAAGTTAGAAGCGCATAAAAGACACTCGATCCGACCCGAAAAACTCTCAAAATTAACTTTGTGCGACTCCGTGACTCCACCCCCGCATAGTCGTGTCCTCTTTTTGGGAAGTCAGAATATGGTCACCCTAGCTAAAACATGATTGATAGTTGCAGCTGTGCCTACTGCGCCTTTTCTCTCAGCATTCACTCACTTAAATACGCTCACATTTTCTATCTTCTTGAGTTTCAATCTTGTTATTTTTTCAAAGAAATAGGTTACAATAATCCAAAATCCTCCATCACACTCAGCACAGTATACTTGGAGTTTAAAGTCAGCGGGCCTCTCTTCACAGACAAATGGAAGGTACAAGACCTGCGGTGCGCGATTGTGTAATGGAAACTGGAGAGGCTCTTTCATGCTGCTCACACCCACATGTAAACAGCTATCAGAAAAAGATCACAGCTCCCATACCAACCACAAAACGAATGTGCGGAGGGAATGCAGTCTATGTCTGGTAAGACGAGACAACAATAGTTCATCACAGAAAATAAAAGCATTTGTTCAGAGGAGGCTCTCAACCTCCATGTGTCCTCACTTTAAATATGTAAAGTCAGAAGGTCACCCAGATTCTGTGTCCTGATGTTGTTCAGTGGTGTTAATTTATTCATCCTGTAAACCTAAATGATGTGTGGCTTTTAAAGCCATTTGTGAGACCACTAACAAATACCAAACAGCATGGTGGTCATAAAAAACACCCCAGTCCCCATATGGTAAACTAACACTGGGCCATTTTTACAGCTTAATGCAAAGTTAAGAGCCTGACAAAATCCCGCATAACTGTCATTAAAGAGGCCGGTAAAGCAGACCAG